TGTCGTTTCGGATAGCAAACGCTTTGACAAGCGACCAGGGTCCGTTTACGGTGTCAGTGGCGGGTGCTATTACGGTTCAGGGGGCACTTGACTATGAAACTAAGCGGTCTTATCAGCTCTCACTTAACGTGTTTGATGAGCGTGGGGCATTTGACAACGCGACTGTAGTCATCAGTGTTACGGACAGCAATGAGCCTCCCGTATTTCAGTCCAGCCTATACAACTTCAGCATTCAAGAAAATGCTCCAGCACAAACGGTCGTCGGAGATTTGGTGGCGGTTGATACTGACACGTACCAGAACCGAACCATTACGTACAGCATTGTGCGTGGCAACGATTTGGATGCTTTTGGAGTGCTATCAGTGGGTGGCGATGGGAAACTGGTTGTAGATTCTCAGGGAGCTATAGATTTTGAAAGGCAGTCGCACTATTCGCTGCACATTTCAGCAACTGACAACGGTCCTGAGAGTCTAAGTGGATTCTGTACGGTAACAGTTGACGTCACGGACGCCAACGAAGCGCCACAAGTCCGTCCATCAGTGTTTTACATCGCTGAGAACATCGTAATCGGATCATCCGTATTTACAACCAGCGCTCTGAATGAAACAGCAACTGGTGCTGCATATGCTTCCGATCCTGACAAAAACGATTCCCTGAGCTTCGCTATGAGTGAACCATCCACTACATTTGTCATCGACGCCAACACCGGGGCAATTTCCACATCATCGTTGTTAAATTTTGAGCAGAACTCGAAGTATGTCGTGTATATCAGCGTCACTGATAGTGGCAATCTGACGTCCACGGCAAAGATGGAGATTCTCGTGTTGGATAGAAACGATGCTCCTGTGATTACCTCCACCGAATTCACTGTCCCTGAAAACCCAGCGCGAAATTTTGTGATCGGAACGATTGCAGTAGCCGATGACGACTTCAACCAGCACCACTTCTTTACATTGAACCAAACTACTCTCGTATTGCGCGATGGCTCAGTCGTATCGAGACCAAACAACGACGCAGTATCCGTTGAAATGACCTCTGGGTCCATCAGCGTTCTGGACGGTAACGTGTTTGACTTTGAGAGTGTAAATCGACTGGTTCTGCTGGTTACTGTCGTCGATAATGGGAATCCGATAATGCAAACGACCAGCGCCTTGACGATCAATGTAACGAACGAGAATGAACCCTGCTCGTTTCTGCCGTCCACAACTACGTGGTCGATACCTGAAAACAGTATCGGAGTGGTCGGAGAAGCTCTTGCAATCGATCCAGACGCAAACACTTCGAGTATTTGGGGTGCACTTAGCTACTACAAGCGGGACACTGGATCGCAAGGCGAGGATAACGCACTGATGTCAGCGTCGGGTGAGGTGAAGATTCAAATTCCTTTCAACTACGAAGTCCAAAACTCAGTATCAATTGGAATTGCAGCCGTGGATGGCGGTGGGTTGATCTGTTCCGGGAATATCCTGATATCAATTGAGAACGTCAATGAACCTCCGATAATTGACGTTAAGCATTACTGGGTACCTGAATCCGTCAACGGAAACTTAGATTGGGTGAGATCTGATGACGGTAGCCACGCCCGCGTGTCTTTTTGGGATCCTGAGAATAACTCCGTGATACTCTCCCAAAATTCGTCCGATTATTTTATGGTCTCGAGCGAAGGTTTCATCTCGCTGCGGCTACCAGTTGACTATGAAACAAAGCGCTTCTACGACCTACTGGTTGTTGCAGTTGACTCTCTCGGACTTCAGTCTACTGCTGTAATTCGAGTTGATATCGTTGATGTCAACGAGCCGCCAATCTTTACGTCCCAGCCAACATTGCGAATCGCTGAAGATGCTTCAAGAGGAGCTGTCGTTGGAGTGGTTGGGCCTGCATACGACCCTGATGAGTATGATATCGTCTCCTACGACTTAGTATCAACAATGGATCAGTCCGGCACGTCTGTTGATGCCTTTATGATCCACTCGTGCGATGGTGAAATTCGCATGAGCAAATCCAACGCGCTGGACTTTGAAGTGAACGACATCTATATGCTCACAATAATTGCAACCGATCGCGCTGGCCTGCGAGCGGTTTCTAGTCCAATAAGCGTTGAGATCCTGGACGTCAATGAAATGCCAGTATGCCAAGATACAACTCTCAAAATCCCTGAAAACGCTACTTCGGAGGATTTGTTTGGTCCCCTTGCGTGGAGTGACCCGGATTCTATCATTAAAAACAGAATTACCGTGTTTGAGGTGGTCGACGACGTTGGAGATACAAGTTTTGGATTGTTTGAAGTAAGACACGACAGCAATGAGTACTGGATAGCGTTACGTTCTTCTGGGTCCTTGGACTACGAAGCTGTAAGTATGTACCTAGTGGGCATCAAGATTGGGGACAGCTTCATGTCCAGTAACGATTCAACCCAACCGGTTTCTTCGCTATCCTCGAAATGCACCGTCATAATCAAAGTCTTGGACGTGAACGAGCCACCGATTGTTGAGAATGAGATAAAGAGAACCACCGAGGAAAAGGCTCCGTTCTATGCGGTTATCGGCCTCCCCATTGCTGCATCTGACCCGGATGCGAACGACGTCTTGAATTTCACGCTTGTGGATAGTGAAGCGTTGCCCTTCGCGATAGATGGTGAAAGTGGTCAACTGCGTGTTATTGGGGACTTAAACTACGAAACGCAAGCTCGCTACATGGTTCAAGTCGCCGTGGCCGACTCGGCGCATAATGTTGTCGTTGCCCAGGTGGATATCACTGTGGTGGATGTTAACGAGGCACCGCATATACCCCGCAACTGTTTTGTAAACGATAGAGGCATCGCAGAGAACCGTTTCGAAGATAACCAGCACGTTTGCTTGCAGGTTAATGAAACTGTAGAGGTGGGGTCCCTCTTGGGTCACATCGAGGCGGATGATCCGGACAATGGCCAGCGTCTGTATTACGCTACCCACAAAACTTCATCACCGTTCGTTCAGATCGTGCAAAATGACGACCGAAGTTGCGATCTGGTGTACAGTAGAGCGGTTTTCGACTACGAGACCGCTCGAGTCCACCGTGTGCAGCTGACAGTCACCGATACAGGGAAAGGCTTTCTTTCGGACACCGTGACATTGTTCGTCTTCGTTGTTGATGTGAATGAACCCCCGATGCTCGTGCCTGCATCTGCGTCTAATATGGCAATTGTGGAGAATACTGCAAGTGGACAGCTACTGGGGCTGCTGCAAGGTGTGGATCCTGAAGGAGACGCGTTTGAGTTCTCATTCACAGACTCACGCCCAATTACGAACGCGGTCGTGATCAATCCGGATGGTCAGATTCTGACGACTGGGGCGTCGCTGGATTATGAAACTCTTGCTAAGCTGAGTGGAGCTTTGAGTGAGCCGACCCTTTCCATTCGCGGGAAAATCACTACAACCACGGACAATGTATCTACAGCATTTAACCTAACGATGCTGGTGTTGGATGCCCCAGAACCACCGATATTTTCACAGCGAGCGTTTGAGTTCGCGGTTCACGAGTCAAGCGATGCGGGTACTCTCGTTGGTATTCTCCAAGCTGTTGATCCCGATGCCAATGATACACTGAAATATGTTTGGGACGACGTGGATACTGATAACGACGGCTATAACGTGTTTTCAATCGCTTCTGACACGGGCGTTATCACTTTGCGGCAATCCGGTATTCTTGACTCGGAGTCGGTTGAATCGTACAGCCTCATTGCGCGGGTGACTGATTCAACGGGCTTGTCAGGTTTGGCTGATGTGGTGGTATCGGTGGTTCATGACAACGAGCCTCCGATTTGTCCGTCAGTTCAGTGCTGGGCGCTTGAGAACGCTCCTGTCATTAAGTACGGGCTGCCTGGAACTCAAGGGCTGTGTCAAGTGACTGTCAAAGACCCGGATGTTGGACAAGCCCATACCTACCAACTAATTGCTACCTCTGACAGCAAACAATTCTCAATCAACTATGCAACTGGAGTACTACGTTATGCTGCAGGTGAAGCGAAATTTGCCGACTTCGAAGCGCAAAACGTGTACCATATCCGCTACCAAGTGAACGACGTTCCATCAACTGGATTATCCCTGTCGTGCAGCAATGAAATTGTGGTGAGTGTCATCGACGTCAATGAAGCACCAGTAGTTCGTGGGGGCACACCCCTCTCAGTTGCCGAAATGAGCGCGGTCGGAACTGTTGTCGGTGTAGTGGATGCTTACGATGAAGATGTTGGAGATGTCATCAGTTACGAGCTGCTGAATGCTGCTGCATCTCCGTTTAAGTTGGATGCGGCTAGTGGAACGCTTACTGTTGCTGATGCTGGCACGATAAACTTTGAGGTCACTCCGTCGCTCTTCGTTCAGGTTGCTGTTACCGATCGCCAAGGGCTACGCACTCTGGCCACGCTCACGGTCACAGTTCTAAACGTTAATGATCCTCCTGTTCTGCAGTCAGCGCACTTTACAGCAAATGAGTGTGCTCTATCCAGGATGAGTGGAATTAACTCCCGGCATCTAGAGCTTCTCGGAGCTATCCAGTGCTATGACGAGGATGTCGGTAATGAGTTGGCGTTTACAATGGTCAACGACACCGCTGCTTTCGTTGTAGAGAGAAAAAGCGGCTTGCTGTATGCTGAAACAACACTTCTTGATTTTGAAACGAAGCGAGCGTATGATCTTTCGATTCAGTGCTCTGATGGGGTGGCAAACTCGACCACCATCGTTTCCGTTGACGTTGTTAATATAAACGAAGCACCTACCATTCTGGACAAGGTACTTCGTGTCAATGAAAACATTCCAGCTGGCACCAGTCTCGGGTACTTGAATACGATCGATCCTGAGTATGATGATGAAAACTTTTTGACAGTCCAAGCATCCACCGGAAGTGACAGTATTTCAATATCGCGGCTTCTGGAGAAATCCATCGTGTTTTCTGGTTCCACTGACTACGAATGGGCGAACATCCCCTCCGTGTTTTCGAATGCTTTCATAGTTAATACCCCGATCATGTCCCCCTTGTCCAATGTGTCTCTCAATCTGGCTAGTAAGGGAAGTCTGGTCGTGCTGGTAGAACAAAACGGCGATGATATTCCGGACTGGATCTCTACAATTGGTTTCGAGAAAGTTGAGGGGCAAAATGTATCAGCTCAAGGAAGTTCCAGTTATATTACCTTCGAGGTATACATTAAGAGTGATGTTGAAGGGAACTTCAACATTCCTATCGCAGCAGCCGATACCCCACTATGTATATTTGGAGCTTTCGCGGCCCCACTCGAATACTTTGCACACGGATCAAACAGTGACATCATTGAAATTACGTCGTCAGGAGAGCTTCTGCTGGAGATATCATCACTAGACTACGAGAGTATCAGTGCAGCTACGCAACCCCTTCATATATCCGTTAGTGTTGTCGATGTGGGCGGCTTGACGGGGGAGGCAACGCTCTCTATCTTTGTTGACGACGTGAATGAGGCACCTTTGATAACGAGCTGCTGCTTTCAGATCGAAGAGAATCCCGCTGTAGGAACGCTAATTGGGCAGCTAACTGGAGTTGATCCAGACTTGTCAGACAAGATCACGTTTGAGCTGGCGTTCCCATCCACGGATGTCATCGTCACTCCTAGTGGTAGCATCTCCGTTGGCAACAGCTCATCATTCAACTATGAAGTCACATCTTTGCTTACGATACGCGTACGGGCTACCGATAGAGGCGGACTCATCGATGAACGCGAGATCCAGATTACGATCGTAGATGTCAACGAGCCTCCAACTTTTCTACAGTCAGTTTATACTTTCGCTGTTCCCGAAAATTCTGCTTTTGGCCTACCATTTGGGACTCCAATCCGTGCTATTGATCCGGATCGGGGTCAAACGGATACTTTACGCTATGAACTTGTGAACAAAAATGCTGGTGGGTTACCGTTTACCCTGGAAAGTTGTTCAGGGCAGCTTGCTGTTCAATGGGATAAACTTGATTACGAGGCTACGAACCTGTATTCGTTTGGCGTTCGTGCTATCGATGCTGGGTACCCAAAAGCTCTAGACTCGCAAGCTTTTGTCGAAGTCACTATACTCAACGTGAATGAGGCGTCTCAATTTACCCACGTGGGACCGTTTAGCATCAAGGAGAACGAGCCAAACGGGACTTTTATCGGACAACTTCTAGTTACCGACCCAGATCCATCGTCGACCTTCGCCTACGCGGTAAATGCTAGCGACTACGTGTACGTTTCTGCCAGTGGTGGACTGTACTCGCAAGTTCCGTTTGATTACGAAGCTGTACCAAGTTTTGTTGTTCAAGTCACTGTTCAAGACAATGGCGTGGCTTGCGACTATCGACTCGATCTTTCCCAATGCGAACCTATAGCCACAACTACTACCGTGGTTGTAGCGGTACAAAACGTAAACGAGCCTCCTACCCTAACTGCCGACACTTTTACCATCGCAGAGAATCTCGCTTCAGGCTCTTTAATTGGGAAGCCAATTCGAGTCATTGACGCTGATGGCGCAGTAGGAAACGATTATGGGTTCACGATATTCACTGGTACTTCCAGTGGGGCCGGGTCTGAGTTTAAGATCCGCAGGGATGGTCGACTCCTCACTCAAACAACTTTGGACTTCGAAGCCAAATCGAACTACGTTCTGAGAATCGGCTACTATGACGGCGAGTTCTGGGCCTATCTAAATATCACTGTTGTAGTCCTTGATGAGAACGAAGCTCCATCGATCATTGGAGGCGTTAGCGGGTCTATAGCTGAAAACATGGCGGCGGGTACTCCAGTGCTGGTTGCCGAGTATTATGACGCGGACCGAAACTCAGTCAACGTATTCGCGCTCATGGATACCTTCGCGCCTTTCAGCATTAACGGAACGACAGGAGTATTGCAAACCACACACCCGCTGGATTTTGAGAACGATCCTATCAGCTTTAAGCTGAACATCCGAGTGTGCGACGCAGTTCTAACGACTCTTTGTGGGAGTGGATTTGTGACGGTTAATGTTACCGACGTGCCAGAGGCGCCGTCGATGGCCGCTGTTTCCTGCACGATGGTTGAGAACACAGCGACGGTATTGAATGAGCAAAGCACAGCAGGGTGCACGTTTGTAGCGACTGATCCAGACAAAGCATCGTGTTCATTCTACCAGATTATTGGGAGCGGCTCTCCGTTTCAGCTTGGGTCCAGTGCTACCCAAGCTCTAAGTTCTTCTGAATGCACGAGTGACTCAGTGGAGCTGAATTGGGTAGCCTCCTCGCTTCCAGACTACGAAACCCAGGCTCAATATGTTGTCGCCATTCGGATTCAGGATGAAACCGGGAGCACGACCGGTCTATACGTTGATACTCACATCACTGTCAGCATCCGCAATGCGAACGATTGCCCATCTCTGGCTTCGCTGACATCCATGGTAAGAGAACGCTCCGCGGCTGGGACGACGATTGGGTACCCGCTACCGGGCAAGGACCAGGATGTATCGGACATTCTGTCGTACGCAGTTACCGGGACGAATGCCTCTGACGGTTTGATTGGGGTCGACAGTCTCACCGGCCAATTGGTTGTGGCAAGGACGCCTCTTGATACGGAGCTGGTGTATCCGACTCAGTTCTATGTGGTGGTGAGTGTCACTGACAACAGTGCTCAACGTTGCTCGAGTAGTGCAACCATTACAGTCCTTACGACAAAGTCGAACTTTGCTCCTGTATGGTCGAGCTCGCTGCCTGCATCGTTCAATATCAATGAGAATTCTGCTGCTGGAACCCAAGCAGGGGCGTCCATCTCTCGGTACGTCACCGACCCTGATAAAGACACGATTCAGTACACACTCCAGTCGAAGACAGATACGTATTGCGCAGATACATTTAGTATTGGGCTATCGACTGGCGCTATCAACCTTCGAGCAGGGCGGTCTCTGGACTTCGAGCAACGCCAAACGTGCATTTGCACTGTCGCGGCGTGTGATCCAGCCCTAATGTGCAGCACGAAAGACGTGGCTGTTCAAGTGAAAAACCTCAACGAGCCGCCGAGTTTCACCGAACCGACGTACACCTTTACAGTGAAAGAGAACGAAGCAGCCAATCTCGCTCTACCTCGCTGCATTAGTGCCGTGGATCCGGACGAAGGTGATGGCTACGCGCTTACGTACGCGCTGTCCTGTGTGAATGCAACCGACTGCTCTCTGTTCTCCTTACAAATTGAAAAGGACTGCAGTCAAGAGTTGTGTGCCCGAATTATTGTCAAGCCGAGCTTAAACTTTGAGACCCGTCGCTCCTACAGTTTTAATCTGACTGCGGCTGATCCTGGCAAACTTTCGGCGGTTGCGAATATTGTGGTCAATGTCGAAGATGTGAACGAACTGCATTCATTTGTGAGTTTCCCGGCGACAGGTTCTGTACTGGAAAATACCGAGGTTGGATCAGTGCTGCTTCGCATCAACACCACGGACCCCGACGTTTATTCGGGCGCATTCAGGACCATGCAGTACTCGCTGAGCGCAGTATACCCACAAGGTCTGGATGTATTCCGTATTGATGCCACCACGGGTGATTTAACAGTGACTGGTCTGATCGACTACGAGGCCGTGCAGGCATTCACGATAACAGTGGAGGCGCGTGATTCGAGTGGAGTTGGAGCACTAGTCATTGCAGGCAACATTGCAATTACAGTGGTCGACGTTGGTGATACTACAGTTGATATGATCGGGCTTGTTGCCAATGGAGCGACGCAGCTGAATACAATCGGAGGGGAGCGATTAATCCTGACCGGTACAAATATCGGGTTCAAGCAGCGCTCTGATGGCTCAGTTATAATCAAGCAGCTCACTGTCAGCTATGGAGGGTACGGTAGCACCTCGCCTCACTACGCAACGAACTGCTCCTTGGTTAACGGTAACACTGGGGTAGAGTGCACATCGGCGCCTGGGGTGGGCTCAAGTCTGTACTGGAACCTTACGTTAATAATGAGTGTACCTAGCATCGGAGAGACTGTTTTCCAAGCGTCATCGTCGGTGCCGTTGGCATCTTATGGATCGCCAGTGGTTAACTCAGTCGTGTGCAGCGATGCATTCCCCACAAACGGCAGTAGCACGGAGAACATTGTGGTTTACGGAGACAACTTGGGGTCGATACAGCTCACAACTCAAGATGCCTTGCCCGTGGTACTCCACGGTGTGGAATTTCAGGCGCAACATTGCCAACTGCGTGAATCTAACACCACCGATGCCCCAACAGCTCAATACATTGGATGCCAGAGCGCTGCAGGCTCTGGCCAGAATCTCACGTTCACGGTGGTGGTTCTCGGTCAATCCAGTGACGCCTACTCTTCGAGTTGCCGATACGCGTCTCCAACTATCACCGCTATAACCGCGCTCAGTGGATTGCAGACTGCCGGTGGCAACGAAATACTGATAAACGGAACTGGATTCGGCTGCCAAGGCTGCGCCACAGTCGCTGTCACGTACTCAAATGGCCTCCACTCATTCACGTTGGACGACTGCAAGGTTGTTGTCGACCATGTGCAGGTATCATGTACATCGCAACCTGGCGCAGGCGCAGCATTCCAATGGCAAGTATCGGTTGATAACCTGTCCAGCGTGTCTACCCGTCAGCTCGCGACATCTTACGATGTACCTGAGGTCTGGGAAATTATGGGATTTAAGGATCTCCCCACAGCAGGCGGTACAGTCTTCCAGTTGCGGGGTCAAAACTTTGGCCCTGACACCGCCATTTTCGTGGACCCTGTCGTCGAGTATTCATTCGATAACGTAACCATCCTGCGAGCTGTCAACTGCAAACGGAAGTACAACGACCCCAAGGCGCATAGTCTGATCCAGTGTGTGTCGGTCCAAGGAAGTGGCTCTTTCCACTCGTGGCGGGTGATCATTGAAGGCCAAGCTTCACTGTGGACAACGCAGAACACGTCGTATGCTGGACCGATCGTGACGAAAGTATTCCGCTCTGACGGCGATACAGAAATCAAGACGAGTGGTGATCAGCAGGTGGTTATCACGGGCAAGAACTTTGGTACAATTAACGCCTCGAGAATTTCTAATGTCACTTATGGCATGATTGGAGATGAGTTCACTGCAAAAGACTGCAGTATTGTGATTGACCATGAGCGCATTGTCTGCACAACGGCCCCTGGCGTGGGTAATCGCCTCGCTTGGATAGTCACTGTCGATGGGTTGACCAGCGCCACGCCCACGATCAGCTACGCGAAGCCGTTCATCACTTCTATTGAGGGCGAGGGAGCATCCAACGCTCTTGTTCGTGGTGGTCAGAGCGTCGTCCTCCGCGGCGGGAACTTTGGGCCCAGTTATATCGTCATTGACAGAATATCGTACGGAACGTCTGGACGGGACTATCAAATTACAGAGGTACTCGAACACAACGACTCCACCATTGTTTGTTCGACTGTACCTGGTGTCGGAGCGAACCTCTCGTGGATTGTATCGGTCGGTGATCAAGAGTCAAGTTTGTCCAGTGTAACCAGTTCGTACGCACCCCCAGTAGTAACAGCGTTCTACCCTTCGGTTGTGTTGACGGATGGATCGAGTCACGTCACCATTGTCGGTGAAAATCTTGGTGCTAACGTCACTTTTGCGGCATCACGTGTAATTTTCTCGCCGCCGCAGACCAGTTTGTCGAGTTATCGCATATCTATCGTTGAATTTGGGGACTTCGGTGATGATAACAGCAGCGAGTACGTGGTAGTGCGTATTCCGGTGGGATACGGTACTGGAGCTTCGTTGCAGCTTTTGGTGGGGACGACAAGTGTCCAAAAGACTGCAACGATGACGATCAGCTATGGTTCTCCTTGGATCGATACTGTGTACACGGATGAGGGTCCAGCTGACTGTCTACCGTCGTGTATACAGCTCACAGTAACTGGCAACAATTTTTACACCACTGGACGTGTACTGGTGACGAAGTACCCTATCACAGTGAGCAATCTAGGAAGTGCGGGCTATGAATTCTCGGTCGATGTTTCGTCCTGGTCACACAATACCATTGTTGTGCCTCAATTTGTCGGACGATCGGGGTACGTTACTGTGGTGCTGGGTCGGGAGACAATTCTTAGCAACTCGGCTCCGTTCAGCTGGGACGATCCGTCCATCCTGGATTGGTACACACTTGGTCTTTCGTGTTGGACATCGGATTGCACTACGAGTTACAGATTGGATGGAGATACGCACCTTTTCGAGACTGAACAAGTAGGAACTGGGGTATTTAACTATCTGTCAGCGACACAGGGTGGAGCTACTCTTAGTCTGTACGCCAAGTTTGTCGGTCGGAGTCCTCGCGTTGCTATTGGTACAAGTGCGTGCACCAACGTTGTGCTCAGTACTCCTGTGATCCCATCGAGCGTTCTCTTGTCCGGATCGGTGATTGGGGTCAGTAATATCCGCCTCTTGTCGTGCACAGTACCGAGTGGACAAGGATCGATGCTTCCTCTACTAGTCATGCGGGGTACAACGTCTAGCAGCCCGAGGTATTTCAGCTACATCCCTCCCAGAGTGGATTGGACTGGAAGTTCTGCCACCTCAGCCCCCACCAAGGGGAAAACGGTGACCCTTACAGGCTCAAACTTCGGTACAAGCCCCGTCATCACTCTGACGGGGACAAATAATACCCCGAACGTCCTCAATATCGCAGAATTCGATCACGTCCACGCTACATTCACGATTCCTCCTGGGGAGGGGCAAAACTACTCTTTCAAGTTGTCAGCAGGGAATCAGGACAAGTCGGTCGTGTTCAGCTACAACGTTCCAGTCATTCACACCATCGAAGTCGAAGATGCTACCACTGCTGGAGGATCAACCGTGACTATCCATGGCGAGAATTTCGGATCGAGTGCTCTTTCAACCGCGCATGCAGTTGCTCTTGGTGATATGTTCTCGTGTACAATCGACAGTGTCGACCACGACACGATTGTTTGCACAACGAGTGAGGGCCAAGGCAGCGGCCACCAAGTGGTTGTGACAGTCAGTGGACAAGTAAATACCGACAGAAGCGTGACTTTCAGCTACGATCCTCCAGTAATCTACGACATCAGTCGGAGCGATGGTCCAACCTCGGGGTACACTTGTGCCTGCATAGATCCGGACCAGCCTTGTGCTACGCTTACTGCTCCGTTTGAGTGTCGGTACCTGGAGATCAGCTCTTCTAGCTCCACAGATGACAGTTATTGCGTGCAGACAGCATTGGATGGGGTGACGCAGAAGGTGACAGTCACGGCTGTGGCGGATGTGTATTCTAGCAACAAGCCTGTGTACACAAGTGAGTCGGAGTCGGATTTGCAGCTTCTGTATACGGGTGGGTCTTGGCAGTTGCTGCAACATGACGTCAGCATTTATCGTGCTGATGTCGTTGCAGCAAGTCCGCCGCCATCAGGTTGGCTCAACGTGATAGTGGACCCTGCTGTTGCTATGGCCAGCATGAAAGTGTACCCTGGAACTTGCTCCAAGGCCGCAGCTCGTGCCTGTCCCGCAGACACGGAGTTGTGTGAGCGTGTATCCATCACACTTGCGGGTAAGAACTTTGGCGTACAGTCCCTGGATTGGCTGCTTGAGTTGGTAAGCACTGATGATACGGCGGAGATGGAGACGGTGACTATCACCAATGATGACGTTGTGTATTTCAGTCACTCTAACATCAAATTCAACTTGCCATCGGGCCAAGGCATCTCCAGGGTCGTGAAACTGACTGTTTCGGAGCTGACTGTCGTCAACAAATCGATTGAATTCGGCTATCAGACGCCTCAACTGGTTGGATATGAAACCAGTACGGCGAATTTGTCGACTTGTGGAGGCTATGCGATTTCGCTTTATGGTAAAAACTTCGGTTCGTCTCGAGCCAAGGTGTTAATCGGTGGTCGGGATGCTCGTGTCGATGGCCAAAGCTCTCACCCGAGTGCTTGTGGCTCTGACGCGTGTGAATACTCCACGAGCGGGCCGTGCATCGACATCAACACATTTGTCTGCTACCCCTCGATGTATATTGTGAGCCCTGCCTTCAGCTTCCTCGACGTCTGCAATGATACGACGGGGACGCAGATGCTATGTGAAGCTGCCGATCCAGTCGCCGATATGTCGGAAGATTTAACAAGCCACTCGGACTTTGTGATCGAAACGATCGTCCCCGCTGGGTACGGCGCAGATCTGCTGGTTTTCGTCATTGTCGACGATCAACCGAGTAACGCGTTGGCATTCTCGTACAACCAGCCGGTCATCAGCGCCCAGATGCCGAATCAACCCGACGCAAACGGAGCAAACGCTATCACGATCAAAGGAACCGACTTCGGTTGCTTCCCCAATGATGCAATCACAATTTCGTTTGTTTCGACCGACTACACGACGGATGCGGTGCAGTCGATAACGCGGCAGTTGAGTACGAGTACCATTTCGTATTTGCCGACCAGTATATTCGAAGAGGACTATGCTCGACGATTAGTTGAAGCGTCGACTTCTGCTACCTCAGCCAATACGAGCGAGAACTCGACGGGGACCGTGGTGTGGACAAGCGCGTCGGAATTGGTGTGGTACCCTCCCAAGACGAAGGCTGGGATCACGAGCATTGTGCTGTCAGTTGGTGGCAACGTGATGTCTCCTACCAGCCAGACGCAGTTGAAGTTCCAGTGCAGTCCAGGCTACTACCGCACTACGACGGAGTTCTGTGACGCTTGTCCAGAAGGTGCCACATGTGCTGGCGGCGATGACATGCCGCTGGCCAAGCCTGGCTACTGGCGTGAAGGCGAAGTGGTTCTCGCGTGTGATCCCATGTTCGCGTGTCTGGGTGCTAACAAGTGCGCTGAAGGCTACACCGGTATAAGGTGCGGAGAGTGCGAGAACAACTACCACAAGCTCAACTCCGAGTGCAACGTGTGTCCGGATGACAAGTGGGGGTCTATCGCTATCGTTGTCATCTGTATCACAGTAGCGTCCGTGGTGAGCTACCTCCTAACCCGAAAAGGAGTGAGCTTGGGTCTGCTCTCCATCGGCATTGACTACTTCCAGACGCTATCGATCTTCGGCAACGCCCGCATCTCATGGCCAACGACGCTGATCAACTTATTCTCGACTTTATCAGCCTTCAACCTGAACTTGGAGCTCATCGCGCCTGAATGCTTCTCGTTCCAGGTTTCCTACGTGACCAAGTGGTTCATCATCGAGTTGTTCCCGTTGGTGATGGCAGCCATAGCATTGGCGATTTTCGCTGCACTTTACGCTTACAAGCGGTTCATCAAGAGGCGGCGAACTCGACTAACGTCGCACATGCCTCAGCTGTTCGGATCGACGTTGGTGATGATGTACTACCTCTTCTTGTACCTGACGCGGACGACCTTGGACGTCTTCAACTGCGTCGGGACCATCCCATCCGATGGGAAACTGTACATGGTCGCAATCTACACGCAGTGCTTCAAGCCTGGAGGGATCCACATGGAACTCTTCCCGTTCGCCGTCCTGGCGTTCATTATATACTCGTTGGGGTACCCGCTCTTCGTGCTGCTTACACTGTCTCGAAATCGGGCTCTAGTGATGGAGGACCAGCTTCTACGAGCCATGCAGCGCGGGACAAGTCGCCGCACCAATCCGAACTGCTGGGTGTTCCGCAAGAAGTTCTCCAAGTTGTACTACCAGTTCAAGCCCGAGTACTGGTACTGGATGGTGCTCATTATTCTGCGCAAGTTCTTGCTGGCAGGTATCGGGCTGCTCTTCCGACAGGACCCTGTGTTCCAGCTGGCCACTGCGACGTTTGTACTGTTCGTGAACTACTCGCTGCAAGTACGCTGTCGTCCGTACATGAGCGCGTACGAGACCCACCGAGTGCTCGCAAACTACGCCAAGCGGGTTCTACTGGAGACTCGACGTGCCAAGGCCAAGGGAGAAGCGTACATCCAGCCTGCTCATCTCCGCTTGGAAATGCACGCGTCGACCGTGACTGCTTGGAAGAGTGGGCATGGAGATCGCGGAGGCCAAGGAGTGGCGGCAAGCTCAGCACCGCCGACATCGGGGCTGCGTGGGGCTAACGAAGCCATCCTCGCCTCGCAGGAGCCGCAGAATCTGGTGGGTTACCTATGGGATCACAACACGGTCGAGGCAAGCCTGCTATTCAGTGCCAGCCTCGTGCTTCTGGCCGGTGTCATGTTTGAAAGTGGACGGCTGGGGAGTACTGAGGCCGGGTTTACCGGTACTTCGGCGCAGATGCTTGCCGTTGCCACTACAATGCTCGTAGCCGCGAGTTGCGTGTACTTCGCCCTCGTCCTGATCACGGAGTTGGTGGTGGCACTTCGACCCGATTACTACCGACGAATTACGCGTGTGCAGAAGGTTTTCAGCAGTCCTCGCCATCGCCACCAGAAGGATGAATCTGGCCAGGGGAAGTATCAAAAAGCCATTCGTGATAGTGACGACGACAGTGATGATGGTGATGACGATGAACTGGAAATGGTCGCGACGATGACGCAAAACCCGCTGCATTTTAACCGCACTTTGGCTGGTGCCCGAGGATTGGCGATGCGAGCTAGGGAGCGTGACGCGCTGGCAGCTCTGCAGGAAATTCAACGCCGTGGGTCGGAACGTGGAAGAAATGAACGACAGCTGGAAGAACGAGATGAAGAGGATGCTGCTCCTCGCAGGCGAAGGTCTCAGCGTCGGCGGGCCACTGCCTCAAGAAGCACCGAAGAACACGATAAGTATGACGAGCAGGCGATGGCAGAACTGACCTCGGCGATTGAGCGCACAGACGACGTCCGCAGGGGGTCCACGAGCGACTAGAGATACTGCATTTTGTGCATTTCGATTAATTCATAATAATGCACATTTCATGTTATACTACCACCGAGTTGTCGTAGCTTTTCAAGAACTGACAACGTTTTCAGCTCAGTCTGGAAGCTGGATGCCTGCTGATCCGCGGCTTCTTGCCAGCTTTTCTGAAGCTCCTCGTCGACTGCTGAGTTATTACTCTGGCTGCGCTGTGCAGCGTTTAGGTACAAGTCAATATGGCCGAGATGCCGAAAGGCATCCGCAAGATTCCACCACGCTGCTGTCTTCCTCTCCAAATCTCCACCGCTCTCGCGTTCTAAGGCATAAATGTATACCCGACAGGCAATTAAGTAGTGGCCTTGTTCCAGCGCTCGCTGTCCCAGATCTGTGAGCAGCTCAAACTTCTGTCGCAAAGTTAAGGTTTGTCCACCTGCTCGACCACGAGCCAAAGAAGCACTTCCAGGTCGCTCTGTAGAGATTTTCTCAAGATTCCATTGCCGCAAAGCAGCTCGCCAGGCCTCCTTGGCTAATGAGGCGTTTGTATTTCGTATTTCGGGTGTCTTCGCTGCTGTAATAGCTAGCTGCTCGTATCCCATCGCGCATAACCCCAGCATATCACGCTCCAAATACGGAGGTGGCGGAATGTCGTGCAGATACGTCAGATACTCGACGCTTTGCTCCCATTCACCTTGTTGTTGCAATTGTACTGCAGCTAATAGGAGCCACAATGGAAGCTGAGGATGTCGCGCAAAGTATTCGATCAGCTTCGCAAATAACCGCAAGGAATCGCTGAAGTAGCCTTTGTGCATCGCCACAATCGCGAGGTCTTGGAGGATGAGAGGATCAACGCGTTCACCGGTTGTGGGGTGTTCCAAAGCTGCGCAATACAAGTCGTAGGCCCGAGACAGGTTGAACTGATCATACGACAGGTACCACGTCATGTGATGCGAATACGCGAGCGCTTGTTGTACGTCCTGGGTCAAATTTCCGTTCCTCAGTTCACAAAGCCGTTCTAATATTGACGCCGAATTCCAGAAATCGCCTCCCTGGTACAGCTCCATGCCTTGTTGCTCAAGAATTTCATCAAGACGCGCGCTTTCTAGTAATACTTCCTCTGCAGCTCTTGCTTCTTGTGCTGCTTCATAAGCGGCGCGGCGTTGGGCTTCTTTCTTGGCTAAACGTTGCAGCAGCCAGCCGGTTAGTGTTCGCCGCAGCTTTTTAAACGCGTGCTTCTCGATCAATTCAGTAAATCGTTTCCGAGTCCGTAATCGGCGGTAGAACTGCTGGATTCTGGTGCTTGCCTCTAGTTGCAGAGCACGTTGCAACAAACAAACAGCGACTACAGCCTCTCGCCATTTACGAAGGTATAATAAATGCCTCCAAAATCGTTGTAAGCGGACAGCCATCACGGTTTTCTTGAGCTTCACGTAAGGGTGGACTCGCCGTACGAAAAAGCGGCGGATTCGCACCTCCGCCAGTTGCTGCTCACGTTCTCGCTTCAAACTGTCGTCAATATCGCTGGAATTCTCGGTGGTCAATGGAATGCTGTTGTTCAGCCGGGTCTCTTCTGCTGCGTCACGGAGAACCAAAAGCATCGCTTTCTTCGTGCGAGACTGTCCCAGCATTTTCATCAGTAGCACAATAAATTGAATACAAGTCCGTAACAGACCAACAGTCGACTGCGCCTTCGCTCTACGTGTGGCCTCTTCGAGTGCACGTCGTTGTCGATTGGTCCGGTCAACTCGTCGACGCCAGAGCCGATGGCGAGCAAATATTCGCTGAATAATCACTGCTGCGGCGTAGATTCCACGGCTAGTGTGGCTATCTTCCTGGTTTTCTTCGTCGAATTTCGCAATGGCTTCTTCAATCTCAGTGATTACATTCATGATAATTTCCTGTCGAGGGGAAGGAGCACTGGTGTCTTCGTTCATCATGCATACGCCCTCTTTCAATTCATCGAGAACATCAGAAACTTCCATCCGTTCACCAGTAGTCCAACACATGAGAGCGCTTGGTGCTTCACCTTCCCAGAGTAATGGTAGCTGTGGAGGCCTCCTAGAGTAAGTTTTGTACTGGATAGCATCAACGAGGTCAACGTCGTCATCCTCGACTCCATCCCAATTGTCCTCAGACTCCACTATTACTGTGTCCTTGTCAGTGGGGTTCGGCACGTGCATCACCTTGTATTTCCCACTTGGATACAGCATGGCTTTCGACTCCACATCCTCTTGGCGCCGAAAACGCTGTCGCTTTAGCACGTACTTGCGCCAGGTCGCTGCAGTTTTCTTCATCAGCGCATAGGATTTCGAATAGTAGACCAGCTCGTCAACACCATTGTGACAAGAGTTTGTCTTGCTATCCAGATCACGAAGCACCTCAGCTTTTTCGGATCGAAAGCGGTACCAATCAAACACAACGGCCGAGTGTTCTTGCCACTGAGGTTGTACTGATGGGATCCAACCGGATCCAGCGTCATTATGTTCTCCTGTGTATGGTGATACCTCCGCAGTTGTCGCGACAACTATTGAGTCGCTCTTCCGTTTGTTGGTTGAGCGTTCCGACTTCAGCTTCACCGGTGACTTGGTGGACGAAGTGGAAGAAGGTCTGGGGTTCACATTGAAGACAACCGCGGTGCCTGCGCACTTTTCACATTTCCAAATAGGCGGAGAGCTGTCTGGATCACTTCCACTCGTTTGCTGCTGTCGGCGGATCAGGAACGCCGGGTGTTGCTTGCGTGGTGGAGAGAAGCAGTAGAGGTGGCAGCGGAAGGAACAGGTCGCACACTGAACCATGAGCTTCCAATTCAGGTCGCTCTTGCAGCGATCGCAACATTTTGGCGGTAAAGCGCTCTCCGAGTCGCCCCGGAGTACTGCAGTGGCTCTTCGGCGGCGTTTGAACAGCTTCGTGATATTTGTGTCATCCAGACCTGGTGTTTCCTCTTGTAGCAGATCCTTTTGAGCACTGCGAACACAGTCTTCATCGCCAGGGCAGATCGTGGGGGCCCCACCGACGACAAATTCCTCAACTTGTACACCCACAGTCCCCATTCTGGTCAAACACACGAGCTGTGTTGGAATCGGTCATGTACGGATTCCACTAAGAATAGTGAGGAGAACACGCACCTGTGTATATTTGAAAAGTGTTGCGTGCAGACTCAGTTTTTGCAGCTCTATGTATTCCCCGCTCTTGTTTGTCTTCTTTGACTAGCACCTCCAGACATTTTTTCTACCCGGTGTGCGTAGAACGAAATGTTCGGCAGACAGCTAAGCAACCACGGGGTGCTCGACGTATTTCCAGTCCCATTCCTCTCTGCGGAGCTCGACCGTAGGCCAGTAGTGGTAGTCCGTCTTGAGAGTAAACACCTTGGGCTTCGTGTTGATGGAAATGGTCTTGAGCCGCACCGATTCACGATTGCCCAGGCGTTCCACAACCCGCAAGAAGTCGTCCAACGTGCGCGTTGGCTCACCGTTCACTTCCACGAGCCAAATCGTCGCGCGCAAGCCGTACTTGTGCGCTGGAGAGCCATAGCACCAGCGCGAACAGTACACACCGCCGCCCTCCTCCGGGATGTAACCCAAGCTTGCAACCGCATAGTGCGGGCTTTGGATAACGAGACCACACCAGACAATCACGCGATCAGTGCCCATAGCCGAGAGCTGGGACGTGCTGACAGTCACCTCCACTTCCTTCTGGTCCCGTACCACCAGCGCCTTTAGTTCCGTCTTACCGTCGACGGCATTCTCCACGTCTGCGTCACGCACCACGACCTGGCCATCGATGGCTAGAAGCAAGTCGCCGCTTTCAAGTTTTCCGGCACAATCTGTGCCAGCAGCGCACCGCTTGATTCCAAGCACTTGCCGCTTGTCCTCGTAGCAAGATCCCAGCTTCTGAATCCACTCGTCGGAGAGTCCAAGACCTGAACGAGCCTTCGAGAGCGAGTATGTCAACAGTTGCGCCGGGAGAATGTTCACTGAGTTAGGGATACGCGACGCTCGGAGCTCGTCGACGATGGGGCGAACAATGCTAATAGGAAGTCCACGGAATACTTCCTTACGACCGGCATTGTCTTGGTAGCTGAAGGAAAGCCAAAGCGCGTTCACAGCACCTGCGTCGTCAATAAAGACGCCGCCCACAGACTTCGTAATTCGGTCAAAGTGCAGCACCTCGATGTTGCACGCTTTGTAGCGAGGTGGCTGGAAATCGCGAAGCACAAGGCGATCTAGCTTCGTAACCACAGATTTCATCGTAACCACGGTCCAGTTACTGCTCAATCCAATGTAGTCAGCAGTCTCACCGACTTCGAGTAGCTTGTCCGCTAGCACAACACTCTTGATGTGCTCTGCCACAACACCCAAGGCCTTCGGGTCGTACTGGACGATCGAGAAGTTGTGAACGGGGTGCACAAACACCACTTTAGCGGGGACTTCAACGGTGGCAGCAATCGTTATCAGCACGTCTCCCAACGCAATGGGAACCGTGTTCTGGTCCACAAGTACGAACCCCTGTTCGGCATCGATCACAACGCCCATTCCGTGGTAACTGGAGCTCGAGATACCATCAATCATGTACGGGATATCGAAAGAAACCATCACCAACGATAGTAGCGTCTTCTTGCCCAGCGCGTTACCTCCAGGAAAACTCAGTGGTGCTGGAGCAAACGTCGGGTTTGAGTTCGCAGTGTTGACAAGAGATGAGTTGTCTCCGCTCGTCGCATCCTGGATATACGACTTGGAGTACCACAGCCCGTCTTCATCGTTGCGCGTGCACATTTGCATCGGGAACCAAAGCCGATCCATCATGATGAAGGCCGTGCGAACGCGGTGGCGGTCGCGAATCATGAAGTAGCGCAACACTGTGCGCAAGCCGTTCGGGAGTGAAGCCATAACGCGCGCAAAATCATCCAAGGTAGGTGTGGGTTGTCCAGCCACAGATGTGATGATGCAGGGCTGGGCCAGGTGAGCCTTCATGAACATGTGGCCAGCTTGGGCCAGATAGACGCCTCCAACAGGTAGGGACGCGTTGCGAGCTTGCTGGTAGGAGAGCGCGTGCACAATGCCTCCTCCGATTTCCAGGTATCGGTCAGGCGTGATCGAGTGCAGATCCTGGATGCTCAGAGTAGTCGTATACTGCTCGTCGCCGCGCTGAAACTGAGCTTCGACGGTCTGCCCAACATGCGAGTCCAGGAAGTCCTCGATCTTTAGGAATGTTGCTCCGTACTGGCCAGCGAATTGGATGAGCACATCGCCCGTCCGCAGCTTGTCGTGTGCTGGTCCTCCCTGAATAACCTGGTCCACGACCAGCATGCCTGTCTCCTGAGGGTACTGCTGGCGCACCAGCGCCTCTGTGTCCCCGGAAAGGCCAAGTCGCCGCACCTCATCAAACGCTGTGTGGCGGAAGATGGTCTGAATAGTTCCACGCGGGACCGGCTGGCCCTGCTGGATGAGTCCGAGCACGCGCACGACGCGATCCAGCGGCAGGTAGAACGACGAAGCTGCCTTCTTCGCTCCACCCGCATTAAGCGCGATAGCGCATCCATCAATGTTCAGCACCGGCGAACCACTCGAGCCTCCGCTGGTGCTGCTGGCTGCCGCGAAGTAGAACGTGTTGAAGTCATTGTACGAGCCCGAGCCGTAGGACGGCGCGTCGCGGTCCAGCTTGGCCAGAATTCCAGGCAAGATCGACAGCTTCTCTCCGGCATCGTTGCCCACCACGCGGATTTCCGCGCCAACTGTGCAACAACAAGCAAAACGTTAGAGCTGTCAATGTACAAAAAGTATACAAAAAAATTGCAGCTCACTCTTGGCTGCCTCGGGCCGCAGCGGGATCTCGTGCAGCTGCAGGAACTTGACCTTCTTGGGGTCAAAGCGGAAGAAGCCGAAGTCGTGCACTGGGTCTCTGTATGTAGCATCAAAATGCACAGCGTAAGTGAATGTTCCCCACATCTCCCTCCTTTCCCGCTGTCCACCTGGAGAGGACGATTTAGCTCTTGTTACCTCACCTGTAGATGGGCACGAGGTCCACCTCCTCCTTGTTGAGGAAGATGGCGTCGGCCACCACGGGCCCGGGCGTCACCACGTGGCGGTTCGTGAGGATGATGCCGCGCTCCATGTCCACCACGAAGCCCGTGGCCACGCTGAAGCTGGCGCCGTTGCCGTCGAAGGCGCGCACGCTCAGCAGGCGGATGCTCACGATGGCGCGGATGCACTTCTCGAGGCTCTGCAGCCAGCGCTTGGACTCGCCCGCGGCCGCGTCCACGCCGAAGCCGTTGAGGTGGAAGCTGCTACTGGTGGTGCCGGTGTTGCTGCTGCTAGACGCGTCCGGCGGCGCCGGCTCCGACGTGGGGCTGGGCTGGAGCATCGGCTCGGCAGGCGTCTGGTCCTCCATGGGCTGGCACTCGGCTAGAGGGCGACCTGCAGAGTGAATGCTTTGGCTCACTCGCGATGGGCACCGAGCTTGCGTACACAAAAGACACCAAAACTGAAGCAGCGCTGCACTCTTAAGTACGTTTTCGAGTGGTCCACACCACATGATATGTTTGCTTTCACTTCAACATGCACGCACAGCTAGCTACCTCGTCTCTCCTTTTCTTGCTGCCATGAAGCCTCTTACGAGGTGAACTGCGGGGGCGTCGTCTCCTCCTCCTGCCGCTTCGACATCTTCTCGATTGTCTCCTTGCGCTCCTGTCCGCCTTCTTCCACCACCTTGCGCTCCTCCGGCGTCGCGGGCTCCGGAACCTGGCCAGGCTGCAGCGTCTCCGTGGGCTCGTCCGGCTTGTACTCGATGCCGAAGGCCTCGTACACGCTGCGCTCCCGGTCCTCCAGCCACTTGGTCTGTTCCTCGTCCTCCGCGCGGCCGAAGGGCGTCTCCAGCCACTCCCTCTCGAACTCCTCGGGGCTGCCGCTCGAGCAGATCGTCTCGTGGCCGCCCTCGTCCTGCGTGTTGGACCGCAGCCACATCTGCTTGAGCTTCTTGCCGTCGATCTCGCGCTCGTGCGTCGCCTTCAGGCGCCCCGTCGAGTCCTCGTAGCGGCGACGAACAGTGCCGATGCGGTGGCCTCCGTGGTCCAGCACCGTCGAGCAGCTGTACGAGTACGACGTGTAGGAAGGGTGCGGCACTGTGCCTTCCGCGCCGGCCGAGGGCTCCTTCTTGTCGAGCGCAGCTTCTGTCCCCGCCTTCTCAGGCGCGTCGCCAGCTAGATCTGAGGCCGTTGCAGTCTCCAATCCATGCTTCGTCCCATCTTGAGGCTTCCCGATAGGCAGGTCCTTGAAGAACTCGTCGTCGTCGCAGTGCAGCTCCGGCATCGTGCTGGGCGAGAACGCTGCGAACGGCGGGAAGCGAGGCGAGAACACCCGGCGAGTCATCACCTCCATGTCCATGAGCGACTGCTCCAACGACGCCATGGGATACCAGAACGACGGCTGCACCCGATCCCACACGTGGATGATCCGACGAGACCGCAGTCCACGCGAACTACCTGCAAGCACGGTAGCAGGCAGAGCTGCAGTCGGTTGGGTCAGCACTCTGCTCCACATGGATTACCAACTCGTCTGCTAACTTGAAGGAAAATGCTCTAGTGGGGAGGAGGGCTCAACAAACAAGAGGGTGTTGGCTGCATGTGGTACGACAAAACCCCGCAGAATTGGGACGCTGAAGTGCCAGTTGAACTTCCTTAGCGCAAAACACCTACATTGATGAGAACAGGGGACGGGGAGACAATTTCTTCTTGTACACTCGCGCTGCAAAGAGCAAGACACCAAGTTCTAATGCCACCACCGCGTTGCACGGCTCATAAGGCCGGGTCAGTTTGTGTCTCCCCTGTCCGCGTATTTTTTTTCCTCTAAACAAACTGCCTCTTGAACCTTTCTCGTTATATCCCCGCACTGCAGTTAGGCCATCAGATTGTTGCCGCAGCTTCGGCAGAAGCGCGCCTCCGCCGGATTTTGCGTCGAGCACGAGCTGCAAAGTCCCGGCGTGCGCTTGGGCTTACTCTTGAACGCACTCATTTTCTTCTTCGGCTGCGGCTTCGGTTCTTCGATGGGCCGCTCAATCAAATACGAGCCTGGTACGTAACCACGCTGGTTCCTCAATTCCACCAGCCACCAGCCATCATCATCCTGTAGCGCAAAAGCAGTTAGTAACCAAACTCAAGGCATAAGGTTTTCTTTGAAGTTGACGTACCTTCTGAAGAATAGCGACTTCGTCGCCCGGATAAATAGTCAATTGTGTGTCATCCTGGGCGTCGAACCGATAGCCAGCAATGCCCTTGGACACCGGAGTCATGTTCTCTCTGTGGAACAGCAATGTGTAAACCAGTCAGTATATGCAGCTTCTACTAGTAAAGCTATGTGCTTTACTCACGGGAAGCCGGGTTCATCCACCGCGATTGCTTCGTGTTTGCACTTCGCGCAAACAGCCTGGCCGTCGTGTTCGAAGAAACTCTCTGCTGGACGAGCGCAAATACTCGTGTGTTAGTATAAGGAAGCGCATATTGAATCTGGTGCAATTTTGAGACGTACCCTGAAGGGAAGAGCTGCACTGATAGCAAACGAAGCAGTCCGGGTGGTATAGGTGGTCGAGGGCCTTGACCACTTTTCCTTTAAGAACCTTGTCGCATCGATGGCATTTCTTGCCGAATCGAGCCTGGTAACATCCTTGGTGAAATGCCTAACGCCAGACGATAAAGGATTCAGTTAATCAGACAAGGTTAGTAATGGAAAACCGCAGCGTACACCATACCTGGTTGTCTTTCTCCGCGTAACCATCATCTTCCGCAATGACACGGGTGCAGTGGCTGCATTTGAAGCACTGTTGTAGACAAGCAAAGCATACACGAGTTTTCGTTAGACACTGCACACACCATGCTTCCCGTTCACACGCGCATACCTCGTAGTGGAAGTACTGGTTGAGCGCGCCAACGGCTTCTCCTTCCAGAACTTGGCCGCAACCGCCGCACAGCTCGCGGTCGTCCTCATCTTCCGAGAAGGTCTCCTCGTTTTCATTCACCGTTCTTTCGATAGTTGAACGGCGCGCTCTAGCTCGTTCAGCGGCAGTTCCTTCCGAGATGCCGCTTAGATCAGACAAACGGTCATCACCGTAAGATTCCAAGTCAAGGACCTCCGACAACCGCAGCGACTCCCTTTGGCCGGTGCCCATGTATCCAGAATATTCGCCGTCGCTAAGAATCGAGTCGAGGTCGGACACTTCAGAGATTCGTCCATTCTGACCGCCCATATCGATAGGTGTGGCCTCTAAATCAAACTCGTCCAGGTTTGACGTGCTGGAGCGAACGCTGTCCATTCCGGACCGTCCGTGGCCATTCGCGACTGCTGCCGAGGCAGCTCTTTGCAGCGCTTCCGCCTCTGCTGCCTCTCTCTCCGCCTGAGCACGCGCGGCCGCAGCAGCCTCGGCCTCCGCCTTTGCCTTCGCACGAGCCGCCTCCTCGGCAGCCTTCGCTTCTCGCTCCTTCTTCTCCTCCAGCGCCCGAGCCGCAGCAAGAGCTGCCTCCTTCTCCGCCTTCGCCTTGGCAGCGACCCGCTCGCGTTCCAGAGCAGCTTCTCTCTCCTCCCTCTCTTTCCTCTCCTTCTCTGCAACGCACTCGCCGCAAACGAGGAGATCGTTTTCCAACTTCGCTCCAGCTTCCTTCGACTGTTTGTTGCAAACGGAGCAGATCATGCACAGCTTGTGGAACGCGCCGTCACCAGCCCGGTACACTCGGCCCAGAATTTCCTTGTCGCACACAATGCAGTGGTTGACATCCTTCGCGCAGTCCGCGTGGTACGCCTTCTTCTTGATGAGCGTGAAGTCCTCGTCCTCCTCAATCGACCCACGGCAACCCTTGCACAACAAGCAAATTTCGTGGAAGATCTGGTCCTTGCACACTTTCGTGCGGCCCAGAATGGTCTCCTTGCAGGCGTAGCACTTGCGCAGCTTGCGCACCTCGCCTGGCTTGAATTCGGTGCCTCCAGACTTGGCGTCCGCTCGCGCCGGTCCATTGGGCGGCTTAGGTGCGCACGAGTCCGCAATCGCGAGCGCTTCGAGGCCCAACGGCGACTGGTACTCCACGCCTGCTTCCGCTCCCTGTGCAGCGCCTCCGGAGGTCTTCTGGAGCTCCTGGAATCGCTGATTGGAGGCCTCGCGCGCCGCCAGGATCGCCGCGTCCGTGACGGGGATGATGGGGTTCTCAATGTGCAGGTACGAGCCGGGGACGAGGCCCTTCTCGCCGTCCTTGATGACGAACCACCAGCCGTCGCTGTCCTTGCGCACCACGTCCACCTCGTCGCCCTTGACGAGCGCGAGCTGCGTGCTCGGGTCCTGCGGCACGAAGTTGAAGCGCGCCACCGCCTGCTCCTTGCGCGCGGGCTCCGGCACGGGCTGCACCCTGCTCAGGACACGATAAGAAACACCAGACAACGCGCGACGGCCACGCGACCGCACGACGAGAGGTACCAACGTCAGTGACTGAAGGTCCGCAGCAACAAGCAGCAGCAGCAGCAGCGTGGACTGCATGCTGCAAGCCTACATGGTAGCCTATAGACAACACGCACCCCATCATCTTGATGCGCGCCGCCGCAGTGAAGGCCGTGGGCACCGCCGGGAGGCTCATGTTGTCGCCTCCGGGCACTTTAGACGCCGCCCTCCACGGGTTCTCCTGGGTCGTCACCTGATCGCGCGCACACCACACCACAGCGTTAGCCTCACGTCTAGACTCCTGCAGCCCCCTCTCCTCATTGCGACGCACCGCCTTCTCGCCGCACTTGGCGCACGCGTCCGCCTCCACAAACTCCCCGCATCTAGTTCCAGCAAGTGTCATATCACACATAATCCACGCGTCAGTCAGTCGGCCAGGCACACGCTCAGCTCAAGGGAGGGAGCGCGCACTTGGGGCAGACGCTGGGCATGGCTGTCTCTCTCGCTTCTCTCTGTGCGCGGCGGGGCGTGTGGGCAACTGGGCGCTCTTTCCCCCCTTCGGCTGCTTCGGCTGCTTGACGACGCCACCACGTCCGATCGTCCGACTGTAATCGAGCAAGAGAGCCGGGACCCCGACATGTCGAGCTTTGTATGCGCGGCGAAAACGGGGCGCGCCACGCGGCGATTGGTGCAAAACGCGCGGCACCACCTCAACGATTCGCCGAAAACTTGACAATTTTTGGCTAATCGCTGCGCGGCATCAATCCCGAAGGACATCAAAAACACACGTTGACATTTTGACTGGAGCCCACACTATGGAGCTCTCGAGTGCGCTGAGGACCGGCGCGCTGTCCACCGAGGGCCTGCAGCGCGCGCGCGAGCTGGGCGTCTGCGTGCGCTGCTGCCTGCGCTTCGCTGACATCGACGACTCGGACATCTACGCGTGCGTTTACTGCAGCGGCTAGCGGATGGATGTCATCAAGGAATTAATGTGGCTCCGACTTATTTACGTTACCTTCTGCTGTGTTACATTTTGTGGCTCTTGGCGCGCTGCAGCTGCTCGGAGGAGAAGCTGGTGGACGCTGTGCATGAGTTCGTCAAGGAGAGCGGCGTGCTGGGCTTCGAGCCGCAGGAGGTCTCGGGTGCGTTTATTGTGTCAATGAACTGGAAGGCGTTGGCTGCAATGCGCTAACCCTCAGGATCTGCATTTTTTTAGGCTGCACGTGCTGCGTGGGTGTGCTGAATGGCACGTTCCACGAGAAGATCTTGGCCGACGTGCAGCAGCTGGCGGACAAGGCCGACTACGACGTCAAGGCCTTCTCGCTCAACATCAAGCTGCCGAGCGTCGTGATGCTGCGCGAGTACTCGCTGCTGCAGTTCCTGCGCTCCGACGTGGAGAACTTCCCGCGCAAAATGCCCTTTGACATGAAAGATGTGCTCAAGGTGCGGAGGCCGTGTGGTGTATTGGTACTGGTGGCGCGTTGGTGATATCATTATACTCACCTGGATTCATTGCTGTTGGTAAATTGGACAGTCCTTCCTTGCACCTTCCATCTCGAAAATGCTCAAGAATGCCGAGTGCGCGAATGGGAGCGAGTTTTCCGTGCTGATCGACGTGAAGCACGACGAATCCGCTGATGAAGTGCGCCAGATCCCGGCAATCAAGGTACAGTGAGAAGGGAGCAGTGTATTGGCAGTCGCTATCTTTGAGCTAACACTCGCATGCGTGGTTTCTTCTTACAGAAACAGCTAGAAAACACGCGAAAGCGCGGTCGTGGTCCGCCGCCGGTCTTCGATGGTTTCGGCGCAGTGTCCCGAGCCCTGGCAGCGCTGGGGTCGTCCATGCCCGACACGATCAAGAGTCCACCGGCTCGTCTTACTACTGAACCCCACGCTGTGGCCACGTTCGAGCGCGACTCCGTGTACATGCAGGGGCGATACCTCAAGTTTCAGCGTGGACTAAGCCAGACGCCATGGGTTCTGGACGGCGAGCGAATGGGTGAGTCGTCGGTGGAGGAGTGCATCGGTGATATCGCGCTGCCATTCTTCCGCGGATCAGGCTACAAGTTCCACACGGCTGGTCGTGAAGATGTTGACGTGCGTATGCTCGGAAATGGAAGACCGTTCATCTTGGAGATTCTGGGTAAGCAGCAACATTCTGTCCACAATCCATGGACTCGAAGCTAACCGGTTATTCCTACGCAGATGCCGAGAAAGCGTATCTGGACCAGTCCGAGTACGACCAGATCGAGAAGGCTGTAAACGACGCCAACAATGGCGCTGTCGAAATTGTCAAGGTCAAGAGGTCCACCAAGGACTATTTCGCCGGGCTTCAAACTGGGGCTGATTCGAAGAAGAAGACGTATTGGTACGGCTATCCTTGTTGCTTTTGCAGCTAACTATCATTCTGGACTAAAACTTGTGTCTCGTTTGATATTAGCTGCGTTGTGTGGTCGGAAGGAGTGTTGACGCCGGAGTTAGTTGCAAAGATCGATGCAATTCAAGACCTCACCATTCAGCAGCAAACTCCCATTCGTGTGCTGCACCGTCGAACGTTGATGACGCGCCCGAAAATTATCCACGCAGCCAAGTGCGAAGTGCTGAACAAGCACTACATGTTGCTGCGTCTCACAACGTCTGCTGGAACGTACGTGAAGGAGTTTGTGCACGGCGATCGTGGTCGCACCAACCCCAACGTTGCATCGATTCTGGTATGTATCGTAGATGCGCCTGTGTAATTCGTGGGTCCTGTCTGCATTACTCACCGTTCATCTCTGACCTGTTGTTGCTTGTTGTAGGGCTGCGACGCTGATATCATCCAGCTTGACGTCGAAAGCCTGATTGATGCCCAGTAAGCAAACGCGACCATGGTCAACGATAGAGATTTTTTTCCAATCCAATACATAGAGAGGTTCTGTAGAGCTATCGTGTCATTTATTCATTGGTGGACTCGGGAAATGCTAACGAATCGTACTGGGACTCATCCCATAGGTCTCCAATCTGGTTCAACAACTCTTGGGCTCCCTGGGGAAGTGCTGCCGCGATATTATCGTCGCTGTCGCCTGCTTTCTTCGCAGCAACTGACGCTCGGAGCTCCTTAGCAGCCACGGCAGACGACGACGCCTGCAACAAGTTGAGGACACCTTTCGTGTTGGTGTTCATACTCGTCTGCGCGTCACTCTTCCTTACCACCGTAGCTGCAACTTGTTCCTTGAACTCCTGGAGATTCAGAATGTGCTCCTCCAGTGACTCCTCCATGATCAACCGGAACACACGCACAGTTCTCTTCTGCCCAATGCGATGCGCACGATCCATGGCCTGCAGATCGACAAAGGGGTTCCACGAGTGCTCGATGAAGATTACCGTATCAGCGCCAGTGAGAGTGAGCCCTAGGCCGCCCACTGACGTCGTCAGCAGCAGAACGTCAATGGATGGATCAGCATTGAAGTGCTGCACAATATCTGCGCGCTTGGCGTGAGGCGTTTGGCCATCAAGGCGCCGATAGGTAACTCCAGGTAAAGCGTCTCGCAACATTTGCTCGGTGAGGTCAAGTGTTCTCTGCAGGTGCGCGAATACCAGACACCGATGAGGAGACAGGTTGGTCTCGTCGAGGTTATCAGCGTCAGCACCAGAGCCCTCGCGGCTGCCCTGATCCCACGCTGCAACATCGCAGCATTCAACCAAGAGATCGCGCAAGCCCGTCATCTTTCCAGAGCTCTTCCAGTCGCCAAGAGCCTTCATCTCCTTCGAATTGAGACCTCGAGTAACTGCGTTGTCGGCAACAAGCGCGGGGTGGACACAAATCTTGCGCAAAAGTTGGAGGTTTGTCAGCACGTTCGTCAACGGCTTCGTATCGGGTTTCTTGGCGTTAGTCGAACGCGAGGACGCCGTTGCTTCTGTCTCAGCTGACGACGCCAGAGAGTAGAGACGCTTCTGCAGTGACGACAGCGGCAGCAGCACATTCGAGATGATTTTTGGAGGAAGTTCCTCCAGCACCTGGTCTTTCGTTCGTCGTAGAATAAACGGCAGGACTTTTTGATGCAGTTGAGCGATAGCGATTGCCGCTAGCTCCTTCTGCTTTGTTGTGGCATTCCGCTCCTTTGACTTGGTGATCGGAAGAACAAACTCACGCCGGAAATCCACAAACTCGCCCAAATAACCTGGCATCAGGAACTCGAACAGCGCCCACAGGTCGGTGACGTTATTCTGCAGCGGTGTTCCACTCAACGCAACTCGGTGAACTGCACGAAGTTCGAGCACGGCACGAAACAGAGCAGTCGAAGGGTTCCGGATTAGGTGTGCTTCGTCCAGCACCACAAAAGAGTAGTCGATACCGCTTAAGAACTCGATATCTGTACGCAAGATCGCGTACGTTGTCACGATCAATGTCGGCCCGTGATCCAATATTGGCAGACCCCCCTTGCGATTCAGAGCCTTTCGCTCGCTAGCTGGCAACGAGTAGTCGATGATAGATTCAAAGAACCCTGGCAGGTATTTCTTGGCCTCCTGGATCCAGTGGTGAACTATGATCGGCGGGCATACAATAAGACACGCACGGCCTTCTTCGAGGATAGAGGAGGACATCGAGAGCGTTGCAGCCATCGCAGAAAGCGACTGCAGTGTCTTTCCGAGGCCCATATCATCAGCAAGAATTCCGTGGAGATTGTTGTTAGCCATGAAGCACAACCAATCGACGCCGTGCTGTTGGTACACACGGATAGAGATATCTGGAGCCAGCCAAGATTTAACGTCGACGTGCTGAATAGCTTTCCCTTCCGTGAAGCTCTCAAGGAAGGTACGAGAAACTGCGTTCTGGCTCACAATCGTTCTCAGCGCGTCTGGGAGAAGCTTGTTAGAGTCATGAAGCTCCAGGTCCATTTGAAGTGGTATCAGCGGCACCAGGTCCGCAAAAGCCCCAGCAGCGAGAGTGCGGACAAGTTTGAACTGGGAGCTCATAGTCTTCATCGCGTAATGAACCATACTAGGAACATACGGCATCAGGTCGGATCCAAGGCTGTGGACGATCCGATCGAGTACCATCACAGCACCTTCGAGTACTTCTGTTGCGTCGACGCTACCAGTCCGTGTAAACGCTACAAAAATCGAGTTATACACAACAAGCATAGCACTCTCGCGGTGCTCTCCTTGCGCGTACTTGCAAATGGTAGCGACAGCATGCGCCACAATCCGCCGCGTCCGATGGTTATCATAAGGTCGTTGAATCAATTGCGCAAGTTGGTCAAACCACGACAAGCAGGTTGGCATCGCCCCACTCTCAACATGGGACATCATCAACACGATCAGGTGCATGCTTCGTTGAATAGTCAACACGTCGGCATTTGGCTCGTTCCACGCCTTGGAAATATTGTCCTCCAATGCACTGCATGTTTCGAAAAGAGATCCACCAGCGCGCTTACATAGTTGGCGCAGAGTCGCCTCTGCTCCAGCTACTCGAACTTTGGTCTTCTTGAGAACTTCCGGGGTAATTGAATCACTCTCCTTGTCAGGTGAGCTGCTGCTGCCAAGAATGTCATCGAAAGGATCACCCGGGAGACCTACCAAGGCCCCAGCACTGTTGCACAGGTTTGAGATAATCTTCGATACACATTTCTTTTGAACGTGTGCCTGGTCCACCACAAAGTTCGCGATTGTTTGGGACGAAATAGTGCGAAACACTTGCTCCTCTTCTTCCTTGATCGAGTTCATCAACGCCTTAACTAGAAATCCACTCTTTTTGGGAATCGGCAGTAGCTCACAGAAAGCACTGCTCCCGAGTCCTTGTATCCGATGATAAAAGCGAGAAAAACTTTGCTGAACGAGCTCGTCCACAAGGAAGAGATCTTGTCGTTTGAAGTGGGCGGATTCGTATTCTTTCGGGCGGTTTTGCAACTGGTCGTACGGGAAAAGAGCAACGTGCTCAGCGATCTGTCGTGAGATGTCTGCTGATGAAGCTGAATCGGGTCGCCCCGCGGGTTGTACCGAGATACCCACGGCGGATAATATCTCGACGATTCGAGCTTCCATCTGCTTCACGCGTTTTAGTGATCCAAGTTGTTCACTGTAGAAGACCGGCCTTCCGTCGCTCACTGCGTCAGGGTGAAGCGTTATCCACTGGTTCCCCGCGAACGAGCTCAGTGTGGGCCCCATCGAATCCAAGAGATGCTGGACTCGTTGTGACTGTGTGTCCAATTTTTCCTGTGCCAACTGCTTTTCAAAGCAACTCCACTTCGACAACGCTAGCAAAATCCCACACTGTCGCGCACCTGAGCTACTACTCATGCCATCTCGGAACAGCTTCACTAGATCAGTCATGCACGCACCGGAGAGAGGAACGTGAGCCAAAACAAAGCCAATCGCTTCCGCGAACGCCACACGCGAAGACATATTCTCTCGAGCGATCCGGTGTGCTGAATTGCACACCGATGTATCCGATACCGAGCCTTCGGAGGTAGACATGTCAACGTTTAGATAATTAATGTCGTCTGTCGACCACAAGAGCTTCGTCCATCTTAGCAGTGGCTCTGCAATGATAGACATCAGCATCTCACCCTCCGACAGGCTGCTCACCACTTTCTTCCACGCAGCAAGCAGACTTTGCTGGACCGATTCGTCCTTTTCCAGCAGCAGCTGAAGCAGCAAATGTGGCAGAAAAACTCGAGCAAAGTCGACCGAGCTCGAACTGAAACACGAAACCTCCCCTGAAAAGATGGCTGCGACGCAAATTCCACTGGATGCTCGAACTGACGACGAATGGTGATGCAACATCGGGACTGTGTACGACAGATTTTGCCACAGTGAACGACTGACTTCACTGTCATTTTGCAAAACGGTTGCCACGGGGGCGTGGTTATACCAGGCGCTTAATGCTTCAACGATGCTTGCACTCACTAGACCAGCTTTTTCGTGCAGCTTTAGAGACCCCCAGAGCAGTTGAGCAGCTTTCTTGATCCCTGTATCCTCAACTCGATCCAAGTATGGCGCAAAATCTTTAAACATTTCTGCAGCCAGAACTAGCACGTCTTCCTCCGAATCGGATTGAGAAAAGGCAGTCACGATATCGTCGTAGAAGCGAGGAACGAGAACCTTGGCGTGGTTGCTATGGGCTCGCACAAGATACTTCAGCCCCAGAAGGCCACCGTGACAAGCCTGCCATGTCGAACCACTGAACAACGTGCGCACCACTTGCAAATACCCGACCAGCGTCTCCTCACTCGAGAGGCTTCCAAGCAAAATGCCAAAGACTTGCGCGCAAACCTCTCGGACGGGCGACACCGACCCGTCCGCCGAATAATCCACAAATTGATCCAGAGCGAGAACGCAAATGCACCTGATCAAACACTCTTCCAGCCACTTGTCCACGAAACTCCGCTGTGCACTCACGTCTTCAGTTGGCCGAGCAGCTTCAACAGCAGCGGTGAATTGCACAGACAGTAGAATCTGACGCAGCGACAAAACTGCGCCGTGGCGAACCTCCCACTTGGAATCAAACATACTCTCGAACAGATCAGAGACCAGGCTTGCCACGATCGAAGCTTTAGTCTGCGTCTCAGCTTCGTCCGCTCTTGTGGCTGAACCCCTTTGTTCCATGACGACGTCCTCGGATTCGTCGGTGTGATCCACTTTCACCCTCTTCTCATCACTCCCCGGCCCATCCGTGTCGTTAGCAGGACGACGCTTCGATCTCGTTGGGATAGCCAGCATCTCGCTTGCTTGCTTTCGGTTCTCCGTTGCATCAGGTTCGCTAGCGACGCTCGGCTGTGTTTCACTCGCCTCGATATCATCGGCGATTTCCTTTGCATCTGCAACAATGAAGCCACACCCGCACAATAGTCAGCATCATTAAAACGCTCACCGTAGTCTAGCAGCCCCGCCGCACATACGATCTTGGTTGAGTCGAGGCAGCAGTTGCTTCGTGAGCGAGTCCTCTCGGGTCTTCCAAATGGGTCCTCCAGCCCCACTAAGTCGTCTCAACAGCAGACGTCGCTGCTTCACGGCATGAATACGTCGCTCCTCCTCCGTCAAGTTGGTGGCATACTGGTACTCCTACTAGCACAAGTATCACACACTTGTCAATTTACGCGCCCCTCAAGACTCCATCCAGCCGCCTCAGGGCACCCACCTCTCCTCCACTGCGCAGCAGCGGCGCTCCTTCGCGCACCACAGCGTTGATGTCCACCGTCTGCAGGTTCAGCGCCGTACAAGACGCCTCCAGACTGCCAACTGCAGCCCACACACAACAACACTGTCAGTCCCAGCAAGAGGTAGTGAGAGCCACAGTCAGCCAGCCACACGTACGAGAGACCAACGCGAAGAGATCCGCGACGTTCTCGCGCTCGTGACGCAGGGAGCGCGCCACCACGTCGAGGCACTTGGAGGCGGCCACGCGGATATCCCACTCTTTGTCTACGATGAGCGGCCGCAGCTGCTGCAGGATGGAGGCGCAGGCCTCGGAGGAGCGCACGGCCACCTCGCCCAACTTCTCCGCCGCGTTCTCGCGGATCTGCGCGCTGCTTCCATCTGAAATAAATGCACCGTTAGATAGAGGAGACACACGCGCAGCTGATGCCGCAGCCCGCTCACTCTAGCGACCGCTACAGACCTCGCACGAGCAGGAAGAGGCTCTCGAGCCTCGTGGCCTGCGCACTCATGGCTCCAGCAAATGCAGCAAATGTACCCATGTGTCACTAAGTCCCCTCTATATAGTGTCATGTTAGAGCTTTATTGTGTCCTGTTGGGACTCATAGTGTGACGTGGCGCTGAGGATGGAGGCTAAGACCGTGCAGGAGTTCGAGCTCACGTGGGTCGTGTACGACCCGACGGACCCGCTGGGCGCCACGCTAGCGCTCTTCACGCTGTCCCCCATGTGCGTGGGCTGCAGTATTGGCGACTGTATTGGCGGCAGAGCTTTCGTGCTGACACTGCGATCAATTGCTGCAGCTTTTTGGTGATTGTGTACCTCACCGTCGTGACCTCGCAGCGGGACCTGGACAGCATCAGCATGCTCGTGGGGCAGGTAAATAATACTATGCAGTTGTGTTGCAGTCTATTGCACTGGTGAGGATGGATAGCTGAATGCGGTGGTGACTGGTGTTGCGCATTGGACAGTTGATCAGCGTCGTGTTCAACAAGGTGCTGAAGAAGCTCATCAACCAACCGCGACCGGAGGGCGCGTACATGGCCGGACCGGGCATGCCGTCCGCGCACTCCCAGTTCATGGGATTCTTTGCAGCCTACACGGTGATCTACACGTGGAAGAGGTGGGTTTTAGCTGTGGCCTATCGACTGTGGTGAGTGCGACAGGGGACGTAACTGGTGTTGGCTCTTGATGCTTCGTGTGAATCAGGATCAACTTGCGCCGACGACTGGAGCAGTGGTTCACTATCCTCAGCGTTGTAGCCATCTCCGTCTTGACGTGCTACTCGCGTATCCACCTGAACTACCACTCCACCGACCAAGTGCTTGTCGGTGCCGGTGTCGGTGTGCTCACTGGTGTGGCTTGGTACATTTTCGTCGCCTTGGTAAGTTGAAATTTAGATAGTTTCGGACGCTTCATCGACTCACGCTCTGCTGTTCTATCTGATTAGGTCTCTCCGTGGCTGTTCCCGGTGGTGGCCGAGTCGCGCCTCGCCAAGTTTTTTTACGTGCGTGATGTCTCGCACATTCCCGACCTGACGGTCTACCAACACGAAACCTGCAACAAGGCTGCTGCTTCTCCTAAGAAGAAGTCTCAGTAGCTGCAGGGAGCTCCTTCGCACGCACGATAAAACATCAAATTCAGCCTCGTGCTCGCTAAATACAGTAGAACTGAATTCTTACATCTCCGATGGTAGCGATCTAGCAACTCAAAGTTGACAATGAACGGTACAAGTACCTACATGTACCTATTCATTTGCCCCCTTTGACCCCGCAGTGAACAACAAGAGTGCCATGGCGACAACAAGCCGAGCAACATGCAGCGTCGTCGCCAACGCAAATCCCGAAGGATACCGGTACTGAATCAAAACGTGGCGCCACGCACCACTCCCGACGACCACCGGACGACGCCATGACCAAGCCAGTGCAGACCAAGGGCAAGGCGCTGAAGGCCTTCGAGCTCACATGGGTCGTGTACGACCCGACCGACCGGTTCGGCGTCATCATGGCGCTCTTCACGCTCTCTCCAGTGTACGATCAGCAGGACTAAGCTCGATCTCCCAGGCATACATTATTGCTAACTCGAATGGCCTCTGTAGGTTCGTGACGCTCATGCACGTGACGCTCGTCATTTTCCAGCGTGACTTGGACAGTGTGAGCATGTTCCTGGGCCAGGTACGCCAACTCAATCTCCTTGACCAACCTTCGCCTAGACTCACGCTTGGAACGGGTGGTGGCAGGTGGTGAGTGAAGTGATCAACAAGGTCCTCAAGAAGACCATCAACCAGCAGCGGCCCGACGGCGCGCGTATGAGCGGCTCTGGAATGCCCTCGGCGCACTCGCAGTTCATCTCGTTCTTCGCCTCGTACTCCGTTGCCTACACGTACTCGAGGTACGCCACGCCGGTGTCGACAATCGTGTGTATCACCGGGAAACTGAACTGACGAACGGCAACGTTGCAGGTTGAACTCGCACCGGTACCTCGAGCAGTGCGTCGCCATCGTCGGCTGTGTCGTGCTGGCAGCGCTGACCTGCTACTCCCGCGTGCGACTGGGCTACCACACCAAGGACCAAGTGGCCGTAGGAGCCCTGGTCGGAGCGATTGTGGGCTTCACCTGGCACTTGCTGGTGTCGACGGTACGTCCTGATGAGCTCGATTAACCTCCAGACAAGGCGTAGTAACCCTCAAGGATTCTCTGCAGGTGTCTCCGTGGTTGTTCCCGCTCGTTGCCCAGTCTCGTCTTGCTCAGCTCTTTTACCTGCGCGACGTCTCTCACATCCCCGATCTCATCGTCTACCAGCACGAGCTCTGCTACTCAGAGGCTGCTGCCACCTTCTCAAGCAAGTTCCTGTAGCTGCAACTCAACAGCTTCTAACCGCCGATCCAGAGGGTTTTCATGTCAAAGTCCCATTAGAAAAAGTTAGAGCGCATGGGCCGCGCAACCTCCTAAACGAATAATCAAATAGCGGGCACCAGGTGAAAAGCCTGTACCCCTCCTCTGCTCCTTCACCGATCTCATCCTTCTAGCTGGCCGTTTGCGTCGGCGCCAAGCTGGTCGAGTAGTCGACGTGTGACCGCTTAAAGTTCTCGGCCCACATCTTCTCGAACAGCTCTCGCTCGTGGCGCGGCTGCGGTGGACGAAGCTCCTTCGGGAGCTGAGCAGCTGGGCGGTAAGCCACGGGGTCCGTTGGCCGCGCGTTCACCTTGCCCAGGTAGCCGCCGAGGAAGTTGATCAGCACCGTCGGCTCGTTCGACTCGTACATGAGCTCGCGCATGAAGTTCTCGAGGGTGATGCACTTCTGGTGCAGGTACGACGGCTCTAGCCGGTTGAACCAGCGCGTCTCGATGCCTGCCCAGGCGTCTTGTGTCCGCGAGTAGCGCTTTTCGTCCAGCGTCTTCACCAGCTCGCCGAACTCCGAGTACCGGCGCCAGTCGGCGTACAGCTCCTTGCCGAGCATGAGGGTAATTAAATACTGCGCGTGGCGGTCGGCGCCCGAGCGCGACTGCACGATGCGGAACTTGGGGATGGAGACCGTAGCGGAGACCACCTTGCTGTTGCCTTCCGTGACGATGGTAAACGTCTTGTGCGCCGCCGTGATGCGTGTGTTGGTCTGTTCATCGCCCAGAACGTGCACGTTGCCGACGTCGATGAGGCCCAAGTCGGCGCTTAGCCGGCGTCGCAATGAGTGGACGGAGCCGTCGCCTCCCCAGCTCTCGCTGCTCGAGTCGATGTCGGCGAACCAGCCCCACTCGGCGCTGCCCTCCTTACTCATAATAGAAGACGATCGGATGCGCGACGGCGGGCCACCACCTTCTCCACCACCGAGAGTAGCAGCAGCAGCAGCAGCAACAACAGCCACGACACAACACATACGTCCCAACGACAAGACACCAAATCACACCAGTCAGTTCAATCGTCTGCCACACAAAGTCCTTCAACTTCAACCCCAGCAGCAGGCAGCAAGAATTCAAGTAGGCTGTTCCGTACCTCGCGGAGACGCAAAGTGCGCGTGGGCGCGCATCAGCTCCGATTTCACCGTGCGCTGGTCGCACGTGTTCATGTAGGTGGCGATGACGTCCACGGCGGGGCGGCCGCGCGGCGTGTTGGTCACGAGCGTCGTGGACGGCACCGAGTACGACAGCGACGTGGGGAACTTGTCGGCGTGCTCGGGCGACGAGTTGGCCGTGTCGGACGTCGCGTTGGACGCCAGCGAGATGCGGCGGCGCGCCGCCGAGTCGAAGCTGAACACGGCGCTCACGCTCTCGCGGCACTTGACGTAAGGCAGCGACTGCACCGTGAGCTGCTGCGCGTCCTCGTCGGCGGTCTCGGCGGCGTCGCCGTCGCTGGAGCTCTCCTCGCGCTGGCGGAGGCTCTCCAGCGGCGCGTCCGGGTCGGTCATCATGGCGGCGGACAGGCTCAGCAGGCGCGCGAGGCGCTCTCGCACGTCCTCGGGCGCGCCGGGCGCGTGAAAACTTAGGACGCCTGCGCTCGCGAACGGGGCCACGGGCTGCGGCCGCGTCTGCAGACAGAAGAAGGCCTGGCCAATGGTGCTGCTCAGTCGCTGCGGGGTCGCTCGCTCTTCCTCTCGGCGGCGCGGCAGGCGGAACTGTGGCGGGGCTCGAGGCTCGAGGCGAGTCAGCTGGAGAGGAGAACGAGAAGGGACGATTGGGCGAAACCGGTGCGCGCAAAGATGAAGGCAAACACCTGGCTCGGGGCGTTCGGCTTCGACTTGGAGCCACGGCGGTGGCGCTGGGGCGGACGATCGATCGGCAGGTGACTGAACTCTGGGTGCTCTCTGCCCAGCTTGAAGAATGAGAGCAACAGCCGCACTGGAAAAACCAACCGATCTTTTCGAGGCCAAAATACCTGATCCGGTCCGAATTAACTGGGCACAGTAGACGGAGCGGTGCTTCAACTGCAACACCATCAGCAAGCGCGGCCGCGGGTTCCGCCCTGATTTTCGACGAACAACCATAAGCGCAGGGAGCTATGTATTGAGCCTCTGGTTGACACCGTACATATGCATATACAACAGGTAACAACATATAGTTCTTGCTACTTATTCACCTGAAGATCTTGTACAGTACCAATTTGGGGATCATATTTTGGTGGTACGCTGATGATTCGGCGGCATTTCCCCATAAGCTGATTTCGCTGTTTTACATTGATTTTCAATACTGCGTGGGGCGCTCTTTAGATCGTCTTCTTTCGTCTTAGGAAACTCGAGCTGCCGGAATTTCCTAAAAAGAACGTACGCTGACTTTACTGGTAGAAGAACGAGCCCTACACAGATCCTAACAGTGGAAGACAACTCAATAAAGAATACCAGTACTCATTATCACATTTGTTGCACAAAAAAAGGTTAACGTATCTGGAGCGGACTCATTCGTTTTCTTATGTTTAGCTATTCTCGAAATACGTGTTCCAACCCCCAGCTATGAAATTCTACACAGTACAATGAATGCAAGTCTTCGTACAAGCATGGAATGCCTGGCGTTTGTGTTCGTGGTGACGATGCCGTTTGGATCGATTGATCGAACAATGGCGCGATGATGAAGATGCCTTCGCGAAGGACGATCAATGCAACTTGGCCCACAATTATTGGGCTGACAGCGAAAACCGGTCATTTCCCCTAACTGAAAACAAAAATAGTTGTGAAAAATGGCAACCCCCGCGGCATCAAACCTGCGCGCGGAACCGTTTGTCATTGCAATTCAAGAAAGCCAGTATAGCTCCGCTTGCTGGTACATGTAGTTTGATACCGCAGGCACTGGCTCAGGCTGAACTTCAGCGCGCCGACAACATGACACTTATCTGCGAAAAGGTCTCGATCGGCGACAATGGGTTCGCCAGCTTTCTCCTGCCGCCATTCGACTCACAGCAGTCATCCACGCGAGCTCAAGCCATTGATGTCTTGTCGACAATAGCTATGTAGCGTCAATAGCGAAGCAAGGCTGCTTGGAGATTCCCAAGCCCGCCTCAACTTTGTCAACGCGATGTCTACCCATCACCGCAATGGGCTAGGGGCCACCCTCGGGCGATATACACTTGCGGCCCGCAAGTGGCGGGTCGCCTGCAGCTTTCACTGGTACATTTCATGAAGTGACCCCGAAGGGCCCGCACCACCGTGGACGACAGCCACGCAGCACTGCCGAAGCTCGGCGCGTGGGCTGCAATGCCAGTGGCAGCGCCGCCTGCTCTCCGCCTCTGCCAAGCTGCAGTCGCGAACGCGATTCGAAACGGCCTGATTCCGCTGCCCATCGTGCCCATTGCACTGCAATGGCTGGGACAATCTCCTCAACTACGTTCGGAGCTCCAAGCCCGAGTCCGGTACCGGGAGGAGTCGAGTCCTCCGAGGACTTCAGCCCTGTTGGAGTGAAGACCGCGCGCTGTCCCGTGCGGTTCGATATCGCTTTGGAAGCGATTGCAATGGAGTTGCTGGCTTGCTGGTGACGACACTTTGGGGCACAGGCAGAGACCTCCGTCGATTTGGTCAAACGGGAGCATGCACAAACGACCATCGCGATGAAAATTGCAGACGGAGTCCGAAGTTATGACCCGACTTTGGATCGCAACGTCCGGGTGTGCCTGGCAGTCTGCAACAGTGAAGGCTGGCAGGACATTTGAAATTGGTGCACGATACTGCAGCGAGGCATTCGTTCGCGCCGTCGAGCGACCCTGCCAGGTGCCCTGCCGACGCGAAGTGTATGTCGGCGATCCGCTGAAGATATCGCCGAAGTGACAGTCGCACTTAGCCGAAGTTGATGTGCCAGAGACACGCAAAATGACAAAATGTGAGTACAGATACCGGTACCTTTCGCAGTGCCAAAGTACGCGTAACGTTAACGGTACAAGTTGCTCGGTACCATCGAGGCGACGCTCGCTATGGGCTCCGAATCCGAGTCTCCGATACAGATACCTGCCTGTCTGGCTGCTCCGCGGTGCCAGGCAGGCACTGCCAGCCGATTGCTCGGCTGCCACGCTGCGGCGCTGGCAACATCAACTTATGATAGGTGAGACGCACGCATGATGCAATACATTTAGCCCGCAGCGGACGTGGCACTAATGCTCGTCAAGCATTGCAGTGAATCGCAATTGTGGGGCTCTCATTGAGGGCTTTGACTCCGGCGATGAGGTACTTTTGGCCACCGAAATCCGGCCAGCAGCGGTGTCCAATGCATGTTTGCTGAAGGGGCCCAGTGCTCACTGATGGAGCTGTTGCCGACCCTAGCGAGGCAGGATAAGTGCACTTGCATCGTCCTGCAATGCAGGACCTGAATGTACAGTTACTGCATCCCCCGGCCAAGATGTTGACGAACCACTCGCTCTCGATGGCATCGACTCGGCACGCTGCACTTCGCCTCGCGCGTTGGCCGTACATGCACCTATCTCTTCGTGAACACGCTGCCGCTGGCAGGCGTAAGCTACGCCGCGTAGCGCCGCAATGTACTTGCGGATCCCGTCGCCCGTCGGAATGCCCTCAAAGAGGGAACCGCGCCGCCAGTAACAACTGGACATATCGCCGACAGCCAATCACCTGCATGTTGATGAAGAAATGCAGCACGGCCTTGCGCGTGCTCGTGCAGCCAGGGATTCGTAGTAGCGGTAAAACATATTAATATTTTAATTAATATAGCGCTATTAATAGCAATGATTTCGAGAGAGTCATATCGATAATATATCATTATGATTTATGACTCGATATTACTTCACTATTAATAAAGCTGGCCAAAATAATATCCTCACATGGTAGGTTAGGCTACCATTGTACGGTGGCGACAAGGACGAAGAGCGGCCGCTTCTAAAGTGTATGGTAAGAATGCAAGTGCAATTTCCTGTGCGAGAGCCGACCAAGCTGCTGGGATTTCATAACTAGATGAAAGCCATGCCAGACTGACTTGTTCGGGTTTCCCAATACTTGTAGGTGCCTACACCGGCTACTTCGTAGGTTACTCGATAGGTTACTCGACACAACATACAAGATGAGTTGTACGGATTACTCAAAACCTACACGAGTTACTGGACTTGGCACCAACGGGATATTTCGTACGCCGTCCCGAACTTTTGTGGGGGATACGAAAATTGCTTGTCCGGCCGTTAACTCTGCGCCGGGCTAACTCAATTTGGCCGCACAACCTTTAATCATCCTATGAGGTTTGTAAACGAAACCCACGCGCAAACCGACTAAGAAAACAATCACGTACGCTTATCATTCAAAACAAGATATTTCCATGCCTGCTACGCGAAGGAGAGTAACGCTGCGGAAATATTAATACGCATTCCTATATCAATGTCAGTTCACATTAAAAAGTGCAATACAGTATGTTACTATATTCTATTATGTTTTCATTATCACTACAATATAATCCCACCATTTTCCCCGTTACTACGAAACCCCTGCGTGCAGCGCCAATTGAAGTGGGCGACCACAGAGACGCGCGCGCGCAGACCTCGCCAGGCGACTTTGGCGGCGGTCATTTGGATTTTCGCCCCCACGTTCTCGCCGGAGCTCGCCGCTGGATGCCTTTCTCCCAGCCAGCCGCGGCCTCTCCGTTCCGCTACCAGCAGCAGCTGCCGCACCTCGACATGGTGGGCGGCAAGACAGCGTACTTCGGCTCCCCCGCCGGCTCGGGGCGCAAGTACCAGCACGACTCGGTGGGCACCTACTCGGAGACGGAGAGCGAGCCCGAGCCGCTCCCGTTCTGCTCGTGCGACGAGGACTACTTCGTGCGATGCGAGTACCACCGCGGCGAGCACCACGGCCTGAGCTTCGAGCTCGCGCACGACTTCGTGGACCTCAAGCACCTGCTGCGCACCATCCAGGAGCAGGAGGTGCGCCGCTACGTGTATCAGGGCACACAGGTGGGCAAGGTGATCGAGTTCCTGACGCTGCGCCACTTCCAGATGAGCGAGCTGCAGCTCAACTCGCTCGCGCGCCTCATCGGCGACAAGATGGCGCACGTGCGGCAGATCCACCTCATTGACACGCTGGACGCCGAGTTCATCCACCAGCACCGCGTGGCCTTCCGCCGCTTCTGCACGGCCATCTTCGCCGTGCACCCCGTGATCAAGTACAACTCGATGGCCGCCGAGCTGCCCGAGGAGCAGCGCGGACTCATGAAGGAGATCGCCGTGCGCGAGTGCCCCATGGACAACACCTTCTTCGCGAGCATCGGCTCGGCGATGCACTACTCGAACACACTACAGAACATCGACTTGCAGGAGCTCATGGACCCCGCGCAGGTGAAGGAGGAGGACCTGCACCTCTGCTGGGGCTGGCTCGTGTTCGGCCTGTTCCACCCGAACTCGACTGCGCGCATTGAAAAGCTCGACCTGTCGCGCAACATGATGCGCATGAAGGACATCCGACTCGTCGAAGGCATCATGTCGGGAGGCCACCCGGCGCTGGTGCTGCTCATCCCCGAGTATGCCGCGGCGCTGCAGCGATACAGCAAGAGCAACCGCGACAAGATCCTGCGCGAGGACGTCAAGCGCGCGCTGCTCAAGGGCATCCCGCACCGCCGTGTCTTCGCCCTCATCAAGAAGGGCACCACGGTGCGTCCGCTGCCGACGTCCAAGCTGTCGCAGCACGAAGTGTACAGCGACATGCTCGTCGAGAAGGAGCTGCTGGAGGTGTTCTGCATTCTGCGCAAGTGGCTGTGCGTTGTTATTCCTGGTTTCGGACTCGGCTGGGTGCCGCGTCAGAGCGCTGTTGAGATGACGGAGATCGGCATGTCGCCTCGGATCTGCTCGCCGGCGACGCTCATGCGCTCAGTGTCGTTCTGGAACATGATCGAGGCCCCCGACGCGGAGGGCATGGTGGTGCCGCTGATCACGCTCTTCTTCCAGATGACGGGCATCAGCGACCGACTGGAGGACATCAACATCAGCGAGAACCGCATCGGCAGCCCTGACCAGTTCGGCATCCCGGCCACGGAGATCCTGCACCGGATAATCTACTTCTCGCCCTATTTAACGACGCTGAACCTGGCCGACTGCCAGCTGACGAACATCACACCGCTGCTGGAGGCGTACAAGAAGGGTCGGTGTCGCATCCGGAGTCTCAACCTGGACTCGAACATGCTCGGGTTCCGTGGCGCGTTCGACCTCGCCATGCTGCTGATCAGCGACAGTCAGTCTCCGATGGGCTCCTGGCTCACGGACTTGAGCTTGCTCTTCAACGACATCGACGCCATCGGCACGCGCGCCCTGCTGGAGGCTCTGCAGTACAACGTACATCTGGAGCACTTGGCGATCGAGTACGGCAACGAGTTCCCCCCGGAGCTCGGCGACTTCGAGTTCACGGGCGACTGCGCGACCTGGCACGAGAACTACCTCTTCGAGCGGCTAGCGGTGTTGCGCGTGTTCGAGAGGTTTTCGCTGGGCGAGCCGCTAGACGAGAATGTGATGCACCTGGTGTGGGAGTTCCTGGGCTTCGACGAGCCGTGATCGGGGACGAGCCGACTCGCTGGAGTATCCAAAAACCTGTAGCGCCAGAGATCTCCGCCAAGTTCGCTGGGAGGAGCGGCATCACCCGCCCTCCCGGCATGTATGTATATAAGGCGCGCTCTCCTTGGTAGATGGAATATCGTGGAGCTTTTAACTTACTAATGCACGTTGTTGAAATGATTCGATTCGAATTGCGGTGCTGGTGGAGCAGCTTTCCAGACCGAAATCGATAGCTTTAGTGAAAGTGGTGCTGAAGACGTCCACAGCGACACATGCACGTTCTGGCAAATTGAAGGAAACAACACTCGCTTCAACTTGTTCCAGCTGCTGACACCGTACCAATATTTGGGTACGTCGTGTTTTGTTCGCTAAAGTTCGACAGACAACAGTGCAAGAAACGACGTGGCAAGGCCAACATGGAGCTCCGGACGCAGTACCTGCTGCTGCTCTTCGTGTTCGGCATGATCGCCAAGGGCATGGTCAAGGTGCGTCGACGATACGAGCCATACGCCGCGGTGCTATATAGTGTAGGGCTGGTTGTGGCTGACTCGTTGTTCCTTTGCTCGCTGCGCAGTCCGCCTTCGGGTCGAACCTGTCCATCCTGCTGCTCGTCTGCGTGGGGATCTACTACTGGCGCACCAAGCAGAAGGAGAAGTGCATATACGACGACATCGCCCGCCAGCAGGCCGAAGCCGCCGCGAAGCTGGACGCGCTGCACGGTGTCGGCGATGGGAAAGTCACAGAGCTCAGTATGGCCATGCGCAGGACGTCCTTCAAGCTCAGCGAGTCCGACACGGGCGTCATCACGTACGTCTGCAGCGTTTTTCTAGTGTGCAGGGCTATTTCTTTACTTATTGAGTGTGTGAAATGGCTCCGCATTACAGGGACCGCATTCGTCAGTACTCGAGCAAGCTGGGCGGGTCAAGGAAGGACCGGCAGAAGTTCCTACGGAGGAATGCCAAGGCCAGGACAGTGAACACGATAGACATCAACGACCCGGCGCAGGTGGCGGCAGCGGAGGCTGCAGAGGCAACGCAGACGATCGAACCGTCAAAACCAGCGACTAAAAAGACCAGCAAGAGCAAGGCGAAGAAAGCTCCCATCGAGACGATTGTGGAGGAAGCTGTAGACGCCACCTTGTAATCACAAAATCGCAAGAAGCGACGCTACTGTAATGGTTTCAAGTCTCTATTGATGAAGGCGTCTCTAATTCTAGGAGTTCACGCCGGTCAGGGCAGAGCGAACTGGCTGTAGAAGTACAAGCACGGCGCGACAAACAGAAAGCTGTCCATGCGGTCGAGGCAGCCGCCGTGGCCAGGGAAGAAAGCTCCCGAGTCTTTCACTCCGGCGACGCGCTTCACGTAGGACTCAACCAGGTCGCCAGCGATGCACAAGACTCCGAGCACCACACCGAGCACCATCTGATGCGTGACGGACACCACCTCCTGCGGGGGCAGCAGCTCGTGCGACCACTGACCAACGACCGGCAGCTCAGCAGCAAGTCGTGGGAGCGCAAACAGCACCAGAACCGTGGCGACGCTCGAAATGACGCCAGCAATAGCCCCCACGAGGGTCTTGCCTGGACTGACAACCGGCGCAAGCTTAGCGTGGCCCATGAAGGAGCCCGCGACAAGAGCACCGCTATCGCAGACCCACGCGCAGCACAGTCCGAGGATCTGCAGCCCGAGTCCATACTTGCCGGAGCTGTACCGCAGCAGCACGGCGTGGCTGAAGCCGTTCACGATGTACAGCAGCGCGAGCAGATCCAGCAGGAGCCTGATCAGCGCTGCAACAACGGAAAACACCAATGTGTCAGAGCCAACAAGAGCAGTGGTTTTTGTCCATTCATCACTGACGTTGTACCTGTCTGGTCCATCTTCTTGGTGGTCGCAATGTGGAAGATGACGATCACCAGCGTCGCAACGAGACTCAGCGCGTCTGCAGAGACGTCAACGACGCAAGACATGACATCAGACAGCCCTGGCAACAACAACGTCCACCGTAGTTCCCTCACCGTGTACGAGCTTGCTTCCCGTCCACGCGCCCCCACACAGCAGCGCACCCGACGCAACCAGCAGCACGTGATGCAAATGCTTCTCCACCCGCGCCTTGGGCTGCGGCACGATCTGCGGGCAGATGGTGGCGGTGAACTCCACCAGCGACAGGCAGCACAGCGTCGTGGCGAGGCACAGCATGCCCACGTCCGAGCTCAGCAGCCGCAGCGCCGTCGGGATCCCCACCAGCGCCGTCAGCGCGCGCCGACCCCAAGCGATCGCCATGTTGTGCGTCACGATCGGAAATGACAGGGTTCAGTATTTTCCAAGCATCCCACGAGCTGAGCGGGAGCACTGCTGAGCACGAGCAGCTAAAACCTCATGAGCGCGCTCGCTGATCTGTAGCTGCTCACATGAAATCGATTTAAAGGGGGGAGCGCGAATCAAAGCTCCACACATTAATTGGATAATAATAAATTTACTTAAAAAAATTGTGCCTAACTTGCACTCAGAGCAGTTGTTCATGCTGATGGGGGTATCATCGGCTTCTGTAGTTACTGTAGCTGACGGCCAAACCCGTATCAGTATTATGGGGCACCTCTGTTGAGTGTGATGCTGCCACAAAGCTGAGCCATTTTAGCCTATCAGTTCACTCCAAACGAGCTGCTCGTTGGGGTCGTACTTATCCGAGGGAGCAGCAGAACCCGGGCTGCATTTCGCTCGCTCATGACCCTGCTCGTGGGATGCTTGGTATTTTCGGCACCTTCGGCTCGGCCTTGGTTGGCCATAATGGCAACCTGCTCACCTGCGGCTGAGCTTCATGCTTGCCGCCGAGTAGATGGACATTGATGGGGTCATGGTGGCCATGTCCATCTACACCAGCATTGCTGCACCACGCTGGATTTTCATTCGGCGGTATACCCAGTGTAGGTCGCTCTGTACCGGTACCTCCATACCGCACTTTTCTCATTCCAAGACTTCGACGGTACTGCACACTTCGCCGAGGTTGGCATGCGTCGCAGTGCTGTGAGCAGAGCGCCGCTGCTGCTGCTGCTGCTGGCGGTGGTCGCCGCCGTCGCGTCCGCGCAGTCGTCGAGCGGCTCGACGTCCGCCTCCATCTTCGCCAACTCGAGCACGTCCACGTCCTCCAACTCGTCGTCGTCTTCCTCGTCCAAGACGCAGTGCGAGATCTGCCGCGACACGGGCGACTGCTCCGAGGCCTACAACGGCGCGGCCGGCCAGTTCTGCAACTCGTGGCTGGACTCGTCCAACACGCGCCGCGCGTGCTGCTGCCCTTCCGGTGACGTGTGCTCGTCCGACTCCAACTACGAGTGCACCTGCAGCCACAAGAGCGACCGGCCGACGTACTGGATCTGGATCGGCCTCGGCGTCTTCGCCGTCGGCGCCTTGATCGGCGGCGGCATCTTCGCGGCCATCCGCAAGCGCCGCATGCAGCAACGCCGTGACGAGTACCCGGCTCAAGCGCAAGCTGGCGTGGCCTACGCCCAGCAGCCTGTGTACGCCCAGGGCGGCTACGTCCAGCAGGGCTGCGCTCCTGGGACCTACGCTCAACCGGTGTATGCTCAGGGCGGCTACGCGCAGCCCACGTACGTTCAGCCAGGCTACGGCCATGGCGGCTACCGCGACGACTACCGCGGGCGTCGTGGAATGGGCACGGGCGGTGCCGTCGCCATGGGCGCTGCCGGAGGTCTGCTGGGCGGGCTGCTGATTGGCGAGGCTCTAGGCGACATGGGCAGTGCCGGAGGTGGCGGTGACTTCGGAGGTGGCGAGTTCAGTGGAGACTTTTAGAGCAGTCTGAAGAGTAACAGCGTATTGAATCTCAACTCAAGCTTGAGTGACCGACCACAGATGCGTGTCTTGAATGAGTGAGTCTTGACGAAGAGGTGGGGTCCGATGGGCTTGTTGAAAGACGAAATCGACTCTGAAACGCAGCGCGCGTCCTCGCGCTCGGGCTGACAACAACGCGCAGCCCCACACGCATCGTAGCGCTGCTATTTGTGCTCTTCCTTCGTCGTGATCAGCTTTCGGTGAGACCCCCCATGGGACTCTTCTTGTGCATTTCAACGCTAGCGTCATGGACACTTCTAGTAGTGGCGCAGCATGACTCGTCGTCGGGATCTCTTCATCTTGAGGAGATAGCCTCATCGTCAAGCTCAGCTTCCGGGTCGATCGACCTACCAAGAGCTAGTGGGTCGTCTTCAACACCAGACCAGTCCTCCTCAAGCAGCGCAGGAAGTGGCTCTGCAACTTTGGATTGGATCCCCGCGGCGGCAGCCGGGTTGGTGGTCGTGTTGGGCATCAGCCTCTACATACACATTCGAAATCACCGGTCCCAATCCGCATCCTCTTTGCCTGTTGCGCATCGAGTCTCCGACCCCAAGACCACTACGTACAATTTGGATGCACACTACAGGTCATCGCTCAGCCAAGTGACTCGCCGGGTTTTCAAGACGGAAGGCAAGGTCATCGCTTAGATGAGGGTAGCGAGCTGTAGGGTCCATAAAACATACACGTACACGTTGAGGTTGCCTTTTATGACCATCACTCACGAGTTGGCCGAGATGGGTATTGCCGCTTGCAAATACTTTGCCCTCTAAAATAGACCTCTAAAATAGACCACGCCTGTCTCTTAATATGAGTGGACACGAGATAGGCGAGGGATGATTTAGCTTTATGCTTTGGTGGGGGCCGCTTTTAGGCCCAGAAACTCGGTTTGGCCCGGCATTTCTGCGTTTCCAAGTCGAAGCAAAGCGTAAAACAGACCCCAACCTTGCATCTCAGACCTGTACTGGCGAGATATATAAATCAGACCTAGGTCTCAATTAAGAGCTTGCTAACTAAAATCGAGATTATTAACGAGATAATAAGCATGCGTTGGCCAAAATATCTGCAAACGGCAATACATGCTACGGACGATCTCAGGGACGACTCCACTTCCCAACTCGTCGCCTAGAGGTCAAGACACCTTCTTCCTGCTCCTCAAGCTGCAATGGCCCCCACTACGAAGTCCGCTACCGCGCACTTCCAGCTGCTGAAGCTGTCCACGCAGATCAAGTTGGGGGAGCTCACCAAGCACGAGCGGAAGCTGGAGACGCACTACACCGAGCTGCTGGCGAAGACGGGGCTGGATGGGGATGACGTAACGCCTTCAGCAGATGCAGAGCAAGCTCGGAAGAAGCTGGAGGGTCTCTACGAGGGCGTGAAGGACCTGCAGGTTGTGCAGACCAACGTGCACGAGGGCCTGGAGGACATCGGGGGACTGGTCGAGTTCGCAGCCGCCGACCCGTGGAGCACGGAGACGGTGGTCGAGCAGCGCAAGCAACAGATCCTGAGGGAGGTCCGACAGCGTCGGAGTCTCTGGCAGCACAACAAGCTGCTGGGGGAGCTGCTCATGGAGTCGCTGGAGGAGACAGAGCACGACCAGGAGGACGGAGAGCTGGTGCGTCCGCAGGACGGCGCGCCAGAGTCCACGACTCTTGGAGCAGAAGCTGGCAATGAACCACTCGCGAAGCTCTCGCGCGAGGAGACGCAGCAGCGCCTGGAGTCTTATTTCTTCCAGAGTAGTGGCGTGTCAGAGGACGAGGTGTTCGAGTTCTTGAAGACGGAGGTGTTTCAAGAGCGCGAGGGGTTCTCCAAGGCCAGGACCCAGCGCCAACAGGACGCATTGCATCAGGCTCGTAGTCGACTGGGCGAGTTTGGGGACACCATGCTCAGCGGAGAATCCCCTGTTTCAGAGGAAGACGTGTCTTGCTGTGTGGCTGCACTGCTGCGTGATAAGGCGTTCTTGAACCCCAGCGTCGTGGCTCTTTTCACCGACGCACAGCGCAACAAGCAGATTACGAAGGAGCTGTCGCACGTACTTACGATTGAGCTGAGCAATGTGAAAGAGTGGCGCTGGCCAGAAGATGGGGTTCACGTCGACATCCAGCGCGGTATGAACGGCCGCTTCCGTTGTCTGCTCCAGGAAGAAGCGATCACGTTGCTGTTGTTCCAGTACATTGGTCTCCAGTGGAGCGTCGAGATGAAGGCTGTACTACGATCACTGCTGGATTCGCTCAGTGACAAGCCTTGGATGAGCGGAACGGCTTCTGTGGAGTCTGTCCGAGCTGACATGATGAGGAAATTTCAAATGTTTGCGCTTCCGGACTCCATGAGGGCTGCAGGAAGAAGTCCGTATGATGAAGATGGCACGGAGTCGGACGGTGACGAAGAAGAGGAGGACCAAAAGGCTGATAAGCAGGATATCATTCGGCGTGTGCTAGTGGAGGCGCATCTGCAGAGCATTTTAGCCAGCGACGGGAACAAGCCATCGCCACTCGTGGCCGTCATGACCGATCTCGAGTTCTTTGGACCGTCCGTCTCGCATGAAGCTGTGTTCGCGATTCTCCGCTTCTTGGGGATCCGCGATGACATGCTAGGCGTGTTCCGAGCATACACTAAGATTCCGCTGCTTTTCCCAGGCTTTGAGGAGCCTAAAGTCATGCAGCGAGGACTACCTGTTAGCCGGATGATGACCATGCTGCTCGCCGAGGTCAAGTTGTTCGTGATGGATTACCTCGTGCTGGTGTCGTCGGACGTGTTCCTGTACCGCTCGCATGATGACATTTGCTTTTTCGACGCCGACGAAGCGAAGGTGCTGCGGGCTTGGAGGGAAATGCAGCGGTATGCTCAGCGTGTTGGCCTGGCATTTAATGAAGAAAAAAGTGGCTCGATCCGCCTGTACGCCGGAGCCAGCACCACAGAAGCAGAAGTGGGGTCAGCTCCTCTTCCAGCGACTCCAATTCGATGGGGTCTCCTCGAGCTACAGTCAAACGGGTCGGTGAAAATTCTCCAAGACGAAGTGGAGGCATTTGCAACTGAGATGGCGGATCGATTGGCTGCTGCCACGTCGACGTTCGCGTGGATCAACGTGTACAACAAGTACATGTTCTTCTTTCTCCGCAACTTTGGCAAGCCATCACCGATCTTCGGTTTATCCCACGTCCAGGACGCGTTATCTACGCTTCGTCGTATTCACACGCTTGTCTTCCCGAAGACGAATGGGGACGCGCTAGGCTACCTGCGCGACCAAGTCATGTCTGGGAGGAGTGGAGCAGCTCCTGCGATGCCGGCAGCATGGGCGTATTGGCCGCTGAACCTGGGCGGGCTGGGGCTTTGCAACCCGTTCTTGGCTGTGTGGGACGTTCAAAACTCGCTGTACGCATACCTTGAGATGTATCACACTCGCGTTGGCCGCGAGTGGCCAAAGCTGAAGAAGGACTGGGAGTGGCAATCTCCGTTCTCCACCGTGTTTGAAGAGCTGAAACAGCAGTATGATGTATTCGCGGAGCAGACAGAGACGGAGGGATTCGAGTGGATCAAGAAGCGCAGCGAGAACGAGCGCTTCGCCTACATGAAGAGCTCCAAGTTCAGCGACAAGCAGCGGAATTATGGCCGCAGCGAGCCCAAGTTGGATCACAGCTTCACGTTGCGCTCGTTCGAGGAGTATGTGAAGCTTCTGCCAAGCTTGATGGACACTCGGCTGTCCACCGAGTTCAACGATTTGTTGTCCGAGGCCGAGGAGTGCGCGCCACCGCTTCCCAAGTCGGCGTTGCAGCAAGAGGCTGAAACGCTGTTCCACGCGGCGAGCGTCAGCGGGTATTTATCGGAGTGGGTGGCGTTCATCTACAGCGCGCAAGTGATGGAGGTCTTCGGGACTCTGTCCTTCTTCAGCCGCGAGCTGCTGCCAGCGCAGCTCATCGAGTCCATCAAGAAGAAAACGGTGACATGGTAGGCGTGCATAACGCGCCGAAAAGATCTTTGAGGTCGGACCAACCTGTTATCCCTAATACTGAAGCGACGCTCACATGAATCTGTGTAAACAATTGAAAACCTAGTACCTCCTTAATAGGATACCCTCATTTTATTCTCTCAATCGATTATGACAGGTGTACGTAGCTCGTGGCTGTTGTGCTGTCGTGTCAACAGCCGAACGAACTTCCGACGTGCACATCGCAGTCTCTCCCCCGTCCGCCATGGTCAAGCGCCGCCCCGCCCGCGCTGCCACCAAGGCTCCAGCGCCCTCCCCATCCACCCCACGCAAGCGCAAGGACCCGGCTGAGTCGTCCCCTTTGTGGCTGTCAATCTGCTCCGAGTTCCTGCCGAATGCGCTGGTGATCACCGTCGCGGCCGCCGCTGTCTGGTTCGAGTTCACGACGGGGGAGGTTTACGTGCAGTCCCCGTGGCTCCAGACGCTGCTCAAGCGCTCGTTCATCGTCTGGGTCTGCTTGGCTGTGCGTACGCAGCTTACGGACTTCGTGACGCCGCCGGCACTCGCGCGTCGCCCGCCGTCACTCAGGAAGGAGGCGGTCCGCCACGCCCGAGCGCTGTTCGCCGCCGTCGCTGCCAATTTACTGGGAACGACCATCATCCGCCCGGTTTTCGGCGCCGCCCCGCAATTTGAAGAGACCGTGAGACTCGTGGTGCCCATTTACTTCCTGGTCGAGGTGGTGCTGGATGGTCTTCGAATTCCCTTGCCTTTGCTGAAGGCAGTCGTGGGGCTGAGTGTCAGCTGGTTGAAGGCTGTCACGATCCCCAAGCTGGTGATGGAGTGGCACACGAATACGGATGCGCACCCGCTCGGGTTCCTTGCCATCTCCACTGCCAATCTGTATGCCAGTGGCTTAGTGCTGCGCTACCTGACAAACTACGGCCGGACACATCGCGTTTTGGATTTGTCCCTGGGCGCCTTCGCCTTCATCCTGCAGATTGTTGGAACCAGTGCAGTTATTGGCGTTGTAGCACACGTTGCGAACCATTTCGTTACGAATGAAGAACGAATGATGGAGGCTCGTGTACTCTACTTTTGCGTGGCTTGGTTCGCGCTGGACAAGTACTGGAAGAAGGCTCTTGGTGATCTTCTTGTCCAGCTGCTCACGTCCCCCGCCAAGTCGAAAACAAACTAGAACGTACCAACATACGAATGGAATTTTGTATTCTGACTGTACAAACGAACATTTCCTGCTCACACAAAAGACATTTTGGCGATGAAGTGGTTGCTCGAAGCTCGAACTCCTGGTTTGATCCAGCAGCTACGTAAACGTATTGATGACACAAATTTTGCAACAAGACTGGTAGAAAAAGTTGATACGTCGCGTTGCACAGGTTACTTGGCTCCCTTTTTCTTCTTCTTGCCTCCGGATTTACCGCTTTTGCTGCTGCTGCTCTTTGAAGGTTTTGCTACGTACTCAAAAGCCTGGATCTGGAATCTGCTGCCAGGAATCACATGTGCATACTCACCTCGCGCCAAAGCCTCGGCTGCGTCGCTCACTACGCCGTTCTGAGACGATCGAACGCGATCCAAATTGCGGGCGATCAGTCCTACACGAGGATGCGAGGGCCCGAACGCGTCTGCGTAAATCTGCCGGGCGTGTTTAAACAGCAGATATGCGTTGTCCAAGGATTTTGAGGAGAGCGCGGTCTGGTCTTGAGATAAACAACAGGCAAGGTTGTTCATGGCCGTTGCCGCGTCGATGAGTGCACTGGTGGAGTTGGTATCCGTTTTGGCAGCGGCTCGTTTGTCTGGCTGCTGGTCAGCTTCAGCTGTGCTGCTTTTGGCAGCTTTCCGTGCATCTACGACAAGCTGGTGACATTGCTGCGCCAACGCTACCTCACCCGCGTAGAATAGAGTGACTCCTAGGCAGCTCCGCACAAGCAATCGTCCGGGGTGCGACGCAGGAAGTTGACGCGCTAACTTCATTGCCTCGCAGTATTTCATCAAGGCTTGTGCATCTCGACGGGCGCTGTCATACACACTCGCAGCTTGCAGAGCGAAAAACAGCAAAACCTCAGTGCGGATCAGGTCGACAGTCGCATTGTCGCTTGGCGATGGATACTGAGCTTGGTAGCGCTGCGTACATGAATCCAGGGTGCTTAGCGCCATCTGCGTAAGTATAACGAGTAGCAAAAGCTTAGTTCAGATGCTCGACACACGCAATGATACTGCAAAGCCAACGTACGTTGTGCTGACCCATATTTTGAAACTTCAGCGCGCTTTCGAGTAGCTGAATCAGGTCTCCAGGCAACGACGGGGGCATGATAACTTCCCGTATCATGGCGACCTGGGGAGGAGGCTTTCGATTGTTTGAAAGGTGCGCTGTAGCTGCGGTCGAGTGCATGGTGGGTGTACTCCTACCCGACGGATCAGGCTCAATTAGACTGGCGCTCGGCTTTCTGGACAGGGGACCTTGGTTTACTAAGCTGCCTACGCGCTTCAATCCCCGAGACCGAGGCATCTTAGACATCGCGTGGTCAGCAGCATCGAGTCGCAGCACGTCGCGGACATTTTGAACTACAGAAATCAGGGCTGCTGCGTCATCGCCACGGGGAGACTGCAAGTTCTCGGCTGTTAGCCCTTTCATACCCGCAATAACGGAAGAAACCTCTTGCTTGTGTTGGCTGGGGGCAACCTCCGTCAGTGTGCCATCGTTCGGGATCAGCGTCATACGCATGTGATCCAAGAGAATCTCGAGGCTGAACTCGAGGCGGCAGGATTCAACCGCTCGTCGAAGCTGCGCCCCCTCTCGGACAAGGAGCTTGTGGTGGAAAGCAGAAGCCACGCGGCAGAACAGCTCCAAGAACTGCGCAAAGTTGAGATCGTCACCGGTGCGACATGCAGAGTCCTTGCAGTCTTTCGCGTCGGCCTTGGCGCTGGCCCTTTCAAACCCCGCCAGCACCTCTCTTGACATCTAAAACGGCAGGTTAGCGTCAGTTTACATTAAGTCATGGCTGAATAAAACATTGTGTACTCACTCGTGCGAGGTCGTCGAACGAGAAGAACTCCTCGTACTCGAAGTACGCGTTGAGGAAGTCGACGAATCCGTCCAGCGTGATAATTGACCGCATCGAGGCCGCGACGTTCGTCGACAGGCAATTATGAGGCCCGTAGAGCTGGAAACTCTGCACGAGCAGCGGCAAGTTGAGCTCAAGCGTATCGAGAGCGCTGCAGCGAGTCATTTGGCAGCGCAGCGTATCAAGTTGCATCTGATGGTAATGGCGCTCGCTGGTGAGTTGATCCACCAGCGCGCACACCAGCTCCAGGTCGGTCGGTCGAGGGTGCTGTTGCGGCGAAGCATCCATCGACCCACTCGCCTCGTCGTACCCGCCGCAATTGCCATAATACTTGACACGAGCAGTCTTGCTGAGGAAGACCTGGAACTCCCTGTAGGCCAAGAAACGCTCGCTCGCTCCTGCAGACGAGCGGAAGGCGTCCTTTACGTCGAAGAGCGTGAACTCGGCGTGCTGCACAAAATAGAGCGACTGGGCCAACGCTTCGAGACTGGACGAGCAAGAACAACAGCACAACTTCAGAATCGACAAGCACAGCGCGGCTCGTCTCAATTCGATTAATTAAATCGACTGTACTGTACCTGACGCCGTGCTCCCCCGTCCGCAGCGCATTGTACAGGTCGCGCGTCTTGCCTTCCTCCACGGCCATGGCCAGCGCGGCGGCCTCCTTCGACGCCATGCTGCGCACAAGCCACTCACTGCCACTGAGCAACGCTAGCGTGAGCCGAAGTGTAGCCACTTGAGCAGCGATATATTTATCGCCTGGCCAGTCACTAAAGATACCAAAACTGAAACTTCAACATGCGTGTCGTTTCGCGCGCATTCGCGGAACCTCGATGCACAAACACCTCTGCGGTGGTCAAGTTGCCACCACCAGGCTGCCAGGCTGCCGGCCTGCGCGGGCCATCACCAGAGCCGGAAGAAGAAGAAGTTGAGACAGCGGGCGGGGTTTCTTCTTGGTGGCTCCAGCTGGCGGGGCTTGTGACAAGCTTTGGCAAAAATTGGTCAGCGCCGTCGAGCTTGTGGCGAGCATAAAGGCAAGCATCCAAGTTGGATATCCCTGCTCTTTCGTCACAAAACAAGCGGCAGCACACCATACAAAAAGCAAGTGTACTGAGAAACTTGGCGTTTCTATTCGTCGACCTTCAGGACGGATGTCGCGATGTGAGGGCCTTATGGCAACACAGCCTCATTACTCGGGTGTGGGGGCTCCAAACCGGAGATCAAGCCTGCTATGCAGCTATATGACGTGCATACCCACGAGTGCGGGGCCCGGACTCTAGACTGTAGGTGGGAATGCATCTTCGCGGCTGGAGATGCAATAGAAATACTGTACTTGTACACGGGGGCAATACAATACAGTACAATATGGATGACACCCCTTCCGCCTGTCCGCTCGAAACGGCCTTTCCCCCTTCAACATGGACGACACTGCGTGGCACGCACGAGTGTACAGAGCCTGCGCCGAGACGCCGGAGGCTGCCATTTCCATTCCGACGCCAAAGCAGCAGCAGCAGCAGCTTCAGTAGTGCATACCCCCCCCGACAAGGCAAGAATGTCCAGCAGCCTGACACAGAGCGCAGCGGCGCCCGTGAGTCTCCGCGAGCAAGAGGCCAACGAGGAGCTCAGTGCTTGGGTGGGTAGGGCTGTGAAATGCTAACGTATCTCAGTACTATTCTTACCGTCTGATTTGCTGCCGAGCAGAAGCGCGAGACGCGCTATTACCTGCTGAAGGACGTGAACTCGGCCATCGACTACGCAGCGCACGAGCTGGAGCGCATCGACTTCATCTGGGGCCGCATCCGCTCGGACCGCGGCGCGGCGTCGCCCGCCATCAAGGCCGACATCCGCGTCGAGGTTAGTTGCCGAATCCTTCTTGTATTGATTTTAGTTATATTCGGACTGATTTTACATGTGTTGTGTTACACACGCGTCTCCTAATGACAGGGCCACCTCGTGGTCTTCACCAAGGTGGAGCTCAAGCTGACCAAGGCGCAGCGCAATGCGCCGATCATCAGCACGTACGAGTCGCAGCGCAATGGATGGAGCTGATTCTGCTGATTCTGCTGATTCTAACGGTGTGCTGATGTCCCCATGACGCCTCCAGACTGCAGCAGTACTGCGTGCTGAACCAGATCCTCGAGTTCCACGGCATCGTGCAGAGCCAAGTGGGGAGACTGGCGGCCCTCAGGGAGTTCATGCACGTGCAGCGCCACGACCTGCTCAGCGACGAGCCCAGCAACGACGACGTCGAAGTCTACGTGGAGATCGTGCAGCGCACGTTCCAGAGTCTGGGCCGCATCTGCCAGGAGCTACGCAACGCCGCCAACGTGCTGCGACTGCCCAGCCGCCGTCGGTTCCCGTACTGCTCGCACGTCGACCACGTACGTGCTAAAGGGACTGAGCAATTGCAGGAGATTGGGTGACTAACGAGATTCTGCTGTGTGTTCTTTGATCTACGCAGAGTTTCAAGCCGGCGCTGCCGTCGGAAGTCATCGTGGACTTTTCCCTTCATCGCGGAGAGCTGGTACGTGGGTGGTAAGCATGCTGCTTGGCTGACCTTCAAGCTAACATGCTGGCTGTGGTTGCTGTTCACTAGTTGGTGGAGGCCTTCAGTTTAATGGCCACGCAGAAGCCCATCACGAACATCCCCGAGGGCTGCGCGTCGCGGAAAGAGTTCATCGGCTGCGTTTGGTGAGTTCTATCGACGGTGAGAGGTTTTGCTTGTGGTTTACTAACAATGCAATTTTCTTTTTACTATTGCAGCGCCTTCCGTGGCCAAAAGGTTGAGATCGTGGAGTACGCACGCGTCTCCGTGCCGATCCCGCAGCTCGAGGAGATGCTGGTCCACCTAGACGAGCAGATTGCGTGGCTGGTACATGTTCGAGATAACGTCAAGGCGCTGCTCGACTGCCAAGACATGTACTACGATTACTACTAAGAGCCTCAAGTTGGACTCGGTCGGGTACCAGTAGATCGCAGCCCGGTATTGTCGTCATGTGTGTATAAAAGTCTATTTCAACATAAATGTATATTGCGGGCGACAGCGCCTAATTTGATGCAGCTATCTTTGTTCCTCGCTCTGAATGTCCGATGAAATCAAGGTGCTCTGCATTTAGCAAACGCAGGTGCAAGCCGAGCTCTTAATCCGCCGCTGGTCCAGCCAGCCCTACGTCCAACGCTATTACCTTCGATGGAGGGGTCTTCGACCGCTGAGGTCGAGTCTGTGGGCGAGCATGAATCTACTAACCTTACATCCGGCCCGGGAGTTCCATACCGTATCACCAAGGTGGAGGGCGTTTCTGGGTCGTCCGAAGGTGCAGCAAATGAGTCCCAAGTGTCCCAAGTGCCAACGTCTGCAGTCGATACGGTTCCTGTTAACGGAACGGAAACCAGCGCTACTCCAGCCGCAGATGCTCAAGTGGAGCCTGTACCCCCGCCAGACCCTCCTGCTCTGGTTGTTGTGAAGCCAATCATCGCCCCCAGTCGGGCGTCAATGGTTGAGCAGAGCAGTACCGACAGACAATTGACCGGAATGAAGCCAATTGTGCCACTGCGGAAGCGAGGCCAATCCTTTCGAGAGACCAAAAAGATGGTCACCACTGTGGACGCCGACGGCCGACGGCATCTCAATCAGTAGTACGTGTTGGCATGTTTTAGCGGTATTGATGTGCCTTTTGGTTGCTGACAATGTGGATTTATTTTATCATGGATAGCACATTCATGGAGCAACTGGGCAAAGGCGCTTATGGCGTTGTGTTTAAAGTGGAGAGTACCGACACAAAGGAGGTGTTTGCAGCGAAGTGCGTGGACAAGAAAGCTCTCAAACGCATTCGCGTGGGCCGCTTTGGCAACGCGCTGCAATCTGTCAAGAAAGAGCTCAATATCTGGAAGCGATTCAAGCACCGACATATCGTTGTGTTACGTGAGGTCATTGATACCGATGGTGCGTCTTTCGCGTGATCAGATGATGATAATTGGTCTTTAACTTACCGAGGTGTATTGACTTCCTGCAGATAGCGACGAGTTGTATATGATCAGTGAATTGGTGGACGGGGGGCCAGTACTCGACGATGATATGTAAGAACGAATACCTTAACCGCTGTACCCTTTCAGAATTGCACTAATTCCAATCGATTTCCCAACAGAGAGTGCACCCCACTAAACGCTGAGCTGACGAAAACGTACTTCACGCACTTGGTAATAACTCGACCCTCTCGACCTTTTCGTATACCATCTCTAACAAACTGTTTGAACCTTTAGATCGAGGGAATCGACTTCCTACACGAAAATAAGGTAGGATTGATACGAGCACAACGCGCAACTTCACGTTTCTCACGCCTTTGTTTCGACTTAGATCATACACCGTGATATCAAGCCGGGAAACTTGCTACTGAAGACGGTCGATGAAAATGAAGTTATCCTCAAGATTGCCGACTTCGGTGTTTCACATGTACGGGTGCCTGTGGTATCATATATATCGAGTATTGGTTTACAATTTCTCCTTCATTACGCGCAGGAAATGGAAAACGATAATGAGTCCATGCGGCAAACTGCCGGAACTGCGATCTTCATGGGTATGTTGCCTTTGGCTTCCCTTTTTGCAGGTACCGGTACCTTGCTAATGCTAACATGACACTCCTGCGCTCTTGTAGCACCGGAGATGCTGACCGGTGAAAGTTTTCAGGGCAAACCAGTCGATATCTGGGCGTGCGGCGTTACACTGTACATGTTTGTATACGGACACCCACCCTTCGTCGCCCAAACCATGACGGTTCTGTACGGGAAAATTCAGGTAGGAACGAAAGTATTCGTGATCCACGTCATTTTGGCGAACTAACCTTACTGCATGGTGCAGAACGACTCCATCGAGTACCCCACCACTGTTGGTGATCGCGTAGTAGAAAGCGAGCTTATCGACCTCATGAAGCATGTGCGTCCGTCGAATTTAACCACTTGGCAGCAGAATTTATTGCTCACCTCCTTTCACGTACGTACTGTCGACCAGATCCTCGAAAAGGACCCGAAGCTGCGTTTCACGAGCCAGCAGATCCGGGTATGCCCTCGCTATAAGCTCCCAACTTCCTAGGATTGGTGTGAAAACTTACCCGATGTTCGTTACTCGAAGGCTCACCCGTGGGCATGGCGCGAGTTCCAAGTGTCTGCTATCAAGTGCGTGACCCACCCCGACGGACGTCGGACATCCTTCTCTGCCGTCCCCAAGAGCCTTGCGGGCGTTGCGTCCATCGGCAAGAGCATGCGAAGTCTCTTCTCCCGGTACGCTCCGCACATTGAACGCCGACACGCACGAAAATTTGCCAGTCGAGCGCTAACCACGATGTGACTGTTCTGCTACTCAACTGCACCATATCCAGGCCTAGCGCAGTGTTCCCAGGGGCGACCACCCGCTCGTCTGTTCCAACCGTCCTGGCCAATTTCAGAGCTCCCCAGTAGAGGTTTCGTATTGAACGACAAACAGTTTATTTCCCAGTGTGTTTGTGTACGTGCGTGTGCGTTTCTACTTCTTGTCCGAGTGGCCGAGGCCCCTCTCGGGGCTCACGAAGTCGCGCACAAGCTGCTTCAGCTCCTTGGACTCCGGGAAGCGGCGCGCGATCTTGCGCGACCAGAGAATCTCCGGCTCGGCCTCCGGGTCCGCCTTGGGCCCCACTTCGCGCAGATAGACGTTGAACACACCGCCCTGGCGCGAGTTGGGCGTGAGCGTCACGGAGCGCAGGCGACTATTTTCGTCCTGCTGGAAGGTGGTGAGCAGCTCCTGCGCCATCCACGCGGCGCGCAGCATCCAGCGGCAGCCGGTGCAGTACTCGATCTCCACCACGTACGCCTCCTCCTCCGCGTCACCGCTCGCGGCCTGCGCCTGCTGCTGCGGCTTCAGTTGCTTCGTCTTCTCCGTCTGCAGTGCCTGGTGGCGATGGCGAGACACGAACTGCTGCAGCAGAACGGCGCCCAGAGCCGCCACCGCCAGCTGAAGCTTCGCGTCCGCTGGTATCATCCCGTCCGTCGATCGTGATGGATGTCATTTCGAATTTGATGTCCAGATAGTGTGGTTGGGAGGCTGAAGTAAGTGCGACGTGAAGAGCACCGAAACTGAAGTTCGAATAGAGCGCCCTGGAGTGACGTGGCCGTCGTTCGGTTGCTGCCAGCAGCAACTTGCTGGAGAGAAAAGATACGGCAAGTCGGTCCGATTTGACGGCATTTGGAATCAAACTGCAGCAACGCGCTGCGCAACGTCGCCTGCGTCACGGTGGCTACACGCGACCCGACCACCGACCGACTTGGACATGCCTACATTGCGAGGTGTTGGGCGCTTCAGACATTGGAACGAGAGCGCAAAAGGTTAATAGTGTGAATCAAATGCATTTAGGAGTTCTACCGGCAACCGGTCGGGATTATCGTCTACGTTACTACTAGATCGGAACGTGCGTGGGCCATTTAGGACATGACGACCTCGCGCATCTTCATGTGCTCGGCCTGGATGAGCTGCTCCAGCTTGGACACGTTGGCGTCGGCGTTCAGCTCATAGATCTTCTCGAAGGAGTGCTGGTTGGCGTCCAGCACCGTCTTCCATGCCTTGCCGCCGCACACGTCCATGCTCGAACGCATCACGACCTTCTTGCCGTCGGGCAGCAGCACGCCGACGACGACGCTGCCCTCCTCGAGGCACAGGCCCTCGGCCTCGTCCGATGTCACGTTGTACACTACGCAGTTGGGCGCCTTGATCGAGCGCGCAGTAACGTTGATAAGAATGGAGCCGTCCGCGTTCACTTCCTTCGCGACCACGCCGCTGAGCACGCTGTGCTTGATGTCGCCGTGCTCGATCTGGCTGTTGAGCACCGTAGCCTCCTCGATGATGGCGTCCTCACCGACGTTGCTGTGCTCCATGTTGTTGCTGATGTTGAGGAACGAGCGCAGGCAGTCAGCCTCCACGCCGGGCTTGGTCACCAGGCGGTTGTTCTTCAGGTACAGCTTGAGCTGGCCGTAGTCCCACCAGTACACGTTGCTGCCGACGTCGACGCAGCCGAACAGTCCGAGCTCCTTCGTCCGGGTCTCCTCAAAGTTGGCCATCATCTTCTGCATGCGCTCGTAGTGGACCGTCGACTCGGCGATATCCACGCCCTTCTGGGCCATCACCTCCGTGTACGCTTCGAGCTCGAGCGTGAGCGGCATCCAGAAGTGCGGGTCGCTGTCCAGCTTGCCCGACTTGGCGGCCAGCTCCTTGGCGAACTCGCTCAGCAGCGCGCGCAGCATGTCGGCGTCCACGCTGAAGGATCCGAGGCTCGTGCCGACCGACTTCATCTCGCCAAAGGACGAGAGCAGACGGATGGCGGTTTCGTGGGTCACCTTGTCCACCTGCGCGGCGTTGTCCTGCTGGTTGACGACGATGAGGCCGTACTTCTCGAGGCCCTTCTCCTTCCACTCCTTCTCGGAGGGCATGGGGGCGAGCGCGGCGAGGATGTCGATGTGGTGCTTGGCCTCGTACTTGACCTCGGCCGACGGGATGAAGACCTGGTCGCCCCAGAACACGGAGAGACGTCCGCGGCGGCTGGAGGCGTACACGCCGGTCTGCTTCACCACGGCCTCGAGGATGGTCATGGGCACGTGGTTCTCGTTGACCTCCACCATGGCCGGCAGCTTGACGCCCGACTTGTTGTTGTTCTCGCTGCCGGGCAGCGGTGCGAGACGCGTGCCCTTGCCGGCGGTGTGGTACAGCGCGACGCTGATGCTGCCGGCGGCGAGCAGCGCTGGGATGTCGATGCCGTAGAGCTCCTTGCCGGCGGCCACGGCCTTGGTGTAGGCGTAGAGCGTGCCGAGTCCGTTACCGGCGCCGCCGTCCCAGTCCTCGAAGACAGCGATGACCTTGGCGTCCTTGGGCGAGATGGAGCCGCGCGTGGCCATGAGGCGGTCCTGCCAGTACTGCGCCTGGTGCGGCGTGGACGTGCACACGATGACGACGTCGTAGCCGTCGAGGCGGTTGATCTCGTCGATGTTGCGCTGGTGCGCCGTGCGCGGAGCCATTGTGGCGGGCTGCTGGGAGGAGGTGGGGAGCTTCGGGGTCTGCTTGGTCGGGCGGAAGCGCAAGTGAGCAGCGATGGCGGCGACCGCGGCGGCAGAGGCTGCCAGCGACAGCGCGAGCGGGCTGAAGAACTTGACCATCGTGGAGTGTTGCGCTGGGGGTTTTACGTCGTTATCTCCTGCGAAGAGGGGATTGATTGTCGTCCGTTGCGGTACGCGGCGTCCTATTGATAGGCTTCGGTGCGGTGCGAGGGTGCTCGACCAGCAGGGGAAAATGCGAAGTGAGCGAGTTGCAACGAACCCGCAACCGCTGGGCTGGCCAGCCCAAGGCGTAAGGATACTGGCAGCAGCCGGACACGTATGCGAGCACAATGCCACGATCGCGAAAAAAAGACAGTTCGACCTCCATGTTCAGATCTCCTGAACTATCTTAACTATCCCGAAGATTCGGACCGAGTGTGGTTCTGCTTGGAAGACCCTGCGAGATATGATTGGATTTTCAAGTCGGCGCGGTCTTCAACTGCCCGTTGGACATGCCCCGCCGCCGGACCGCAAGTTCGAGGACGGCCCCGCGCATGGGGCTGCACATGTAAATGCGTGTAGCTCTTCGATGCCGTGCCATGCCCCTGCCGCGCGGCTGGGTGGTAGGCGTCGTCCTCGACGGCGGCTGCTCCTCGCAGCCGCTGCACAGCCTGTTGAGCTGCCTGCGACGCTAAGCAGCCAGCTGCAGCTGCGAGGTGAAGCACTGGAACTACTGCCAGTGCCGAGCAGGGCTCATTGAAGTGGCCGCGGAATCTTGGTCAATCTGCATCCAGATACCGCCCCCGCGGCGGCGTATCTACACGATGGACACTGGTTGAAGTGGGGCGCAGTCCCGCCGCGTGTACAATCCCCGCCGAGCCGAAGTCCACGAGGCCGCGCTGAGCACCCGCCACACAAAACGCCTTCCTCGGCACCAGACTGCAGCGCCGCAGTGCAGCAGCAATGCGCTTGCTCCAAGCTCCTTGCGTGACGAACTTTTCGGCGGAGGCGACCAGGCGCGACGCGACGACAGCTTAGTCCACAAAGTTTGTGATCTCATTTAGGGCTGTTTCGTGCAGTGCTCGAAAGTGCACGAAAGTATTTTTACCGATAGTTTTTGCTTATTGAGGTCTACAGAGGTTCGTTGCGTGAAGTATCTGTTGGAGTCGATCTTTGCGTTAGTTTGTTGGCCTTGAGTCCGTTTTACGTTGTAAGTGTACCTAAGGCTATTTCCGTAATAAAGGGGTGATGAATTTGCACGGGGTGAATACCCGAAAGTTGAGTCAATCCACTTGTTTCACAGTAAATATTTTTCTATTTGACCCCTTAAGAAATACATTAGCTTCTGATATGCCTGACATGTAGGTTGTGAATCTTTACCAGTCCTTGACTAGGTTCTCAATTACCCAGTCCTGGTATTTATTTACACTGTACCAATGATCACTGATCAATTATAAAATTTCTCAACTAATTATTGATCAATAGAGAAATGTCCAAATTTTAGTTAGGGTATTTCTAACGTATAATAGCGAATAGAGTTCCCCTAACTAATAGAGCGCCCTTGAAATTGAGTGCTATTAAATAGAGTGCGCTCCAACTACTAACAAGTGGAGTGAAACACAAATTTTCAAAATGGAGCAGGAAAACAAAGTGTTGGTGTCCTTTACCAATTTCCGGTATATTTTCGACTTTGCCGTTGCAAATATTGCAAAGTCGGCAAACGGTAAGTTTTGATATGGTCTAAACTTTAAAAACAATTTCGTTATTTATTATAAAACCAACCCAAAAACAACGACGGGCATAATTTTGCTGATTCAAAGTGATAAATTCATTTGTTCGTTAATTTCACTTGTGACCTGAACAAAGTCCAGGTACAAAGGGATAGTAAAGATGTCTAGGTGAGGGCATACACAAAGAAACGACGGATCCACGACAACTCAGAGGTGGATTACGTCGATGGCTCAACGGAGGAAAGTGTCGTGGTGGTAACTCTCCCTGTCACGGTCGCGAGGGCCAGTATAAAGGTAGATAACAACGTGGGAATTTTCTTGCAAGAGTTCGGACTGCGCTCGACGTTAAAATGACCGACCGAGTACTCCAGTGCTATCTCCCGAGTTCCTGTGTTTATGGTACGCCCTGGAGGCTGAACTCAACAGAGTGACTGGCGTGACGGGACCGGAGAGCGATGTGCACGTCACAACATTCATGGTTCGAGAGGAGGGCATCGAGATCGAGCTGGTTGACCAAGATGGAGCTGTCGACGGCGACGAAGGACATGAAAACGAAGAGCCTCGAAGGGTGATGGCCGTGAAGCTGAACGCTCTCATCTTGGAACATATCGGGGCGGGTATTGTTCGGACGACGGTGCTGTCGTGCCGGGTTTTCGACTTTGGAGTTTACGTGTTATGTTTCGGCGCCCTCACGACGTACAACGAGCGCGGTGAGCTGACTTTCAGTGTCATTGGTCGTTGGGTTGGCAACGTAGGGAATGATCCAAGACCGTATCGCGGTCGCTACCTGTAGAAACTAGGCTACACGTCAAGAACGTGTTACATCCGAATCCGTTAGGCGATTTCTGAGATGCTCAGTTGTGGTCATCCTGAGGAGGAGCTGAGCGCCGTCGAGCTGAAAGGGGTGCTGGTGGGCTTCTCGACGCAGTGGTGGTCCAGCCTGGGTACCGGACGCCAAGATCCGAGAAAGTGGAGTTTCTCCAGGGCGACAACGAGGGGTACGCGTGGGAGTCATACACCTATGTGGAGACCCGATGGTACGCCGCTTGTTGGTGATGCTCGTGTGGAGGAACTTACACGGCCCAGGCGACATTGGAAAGGCAGTTTGCTACTCACCTTGAAGATGTTCAAGAAGCCGATACGAGAGCCTTGAGGCTTTGAATCATGCGTGGAGGGGCAGGATGGAGGCGTTGATGCCGTACCTTACAGAAGATCAAAGTGAGTGCTCGCATGCGACGCCGCAAACTTCTCTTTATTGATGTAGATGACGACGCTACTAGTGATAGAAGAAATGACAAAGACGACGACGCTGCAAGTGATGCGGTAATGACGAAGATGACAGCGGACCCGGATAAGACTCAGGAGATACCAGCACTACGCATGGCAGCAACGAAGGCAGAATTAACGGTGGCGGCAGTGGTGATGCTGTTGGTGACGATGATCAAGACGATCACAACGATGAGAACAATGATAACGGTTAGATTACGTGCGATAACGATGCTGGTATTGGTACCGAATACGCAGGTGATAACTATCACCGCGGTTATCGCGGTGGAAGGAGCAGCGGTGACAACAATCAAGTGATGACGCTGGAAACGGCACGGCATCGATAAAAAAATTGGTCGCCCTGTAGGTCGTTGCTGCCTGCTTGGTCTAACAATGAACGGGTTCTGTTATTGGGACAGAAGCGCAGGAGCGGGAAGCTCGATGCATCTGCGTATCTCAAGAAAGTACAGGCGAAGAAGAGAACGTACACTGCCAAGCAGTATCGAAAAGTCACCCAGAATACATTTTGTGGCAACATACTTCTCTGGCCCACATAAGAAACAACACTTCGGTTTTCAGGACATAACTATTTACAAAACAATCGTTTGGCGACTCGCAATACCTCAACCGAAAGCTGCGCATTTGCTCCGTTTCACGCTATGATTTAAAAAAATCTAGCAGCAGAAAGAAAAGAGAAACAGCCTTTTATCTGAAGTCCGTTTTAGGCAACATTAGGTTTTTTAGCGAGGTGCCGTCAAAAATTAGCGATATTAGAAAATAAAATGTCACCGTAATCGCGAGTGACTGCTTTACCCTTATGTTTGGTTGTCGATGTTGTAGCGCCTGTTGGAGACGAGTTAGAAGGGCTACAGTTTTGAGGTTTTTCTACGCGATTATCTCGACATGCGCAGACCCATTTATTTTGGCCAATAGTAAGCTGGAACAGTTGATTATACCCAATCATATGTGACATGTGGTCCACATCAAAAATTGAGGTTTAATGCCGAATGTTGTTTCTTAAGTGGGCCAGAGAAGTATCCGACTCAACTAAGCAGCAGATGGAAATGCTGAACTCATAATCGGTCAAGAAGTGTTACACTGTCATGACATGCAAAATAAGAAATAGTTAAAGCGAAAATGCAAGAATAACAACCTACAACTAAAGTCGAGAAGAAGAAGAAGTGAAACACACGCGCCGTAGTTCTAAGGCGACACACGAAGCTTTAAGATACTTCGGCCATTCGCTGGCGCGTCGAGTAATTGGATTGAAAAAGCGTATTTCGAGCTGTTTCACTAAAATATGCTGGTTTGAATGAAATAACTCGAAATACGCTATTTCAAGTTGAACGCGACCTTAGTTAAATCGGTATCATGAAGTTTTAATTTTTAAATAACTTCAGTTAGGAATAGATCTTATGTCACCGAGGGTGGTTGTAAAATATCTAGGAAGCACTTAGTATATACTGACAACATAATAATTTAAAATATTATTTTGTGTAGAATATTATAAAATATTGAAACAGAAATGTTTTAGCAAACCTGTAATTTACAACAGGAAAGTTGCCGTTGCTAAGTTGCTGCTGACCAAAAGTTGCTGCGTGACCAAAAGTTGCTTCAAACGAAAGTTGCTGCAACGATCGGACACCTTGCCGAGCCAATATCCTCCATCGCACAGCACCCAAAGCGACGCTCCTCCATCTCCGCGAGCGAGGCCGGACCACACCACACGACCATGCGCGGCTTCTTCTCACTGGTCGTAGCCTTGCTGCTGTGCGTTTGCCTGCTGCCCGCCGTCAGTGGCTCGCGCTTCCAGTTCACGCTGACGTCTCGGTCGGAGGTGCGTTCGAGAGCCCTCACACAACCCCACGCACGGTCTCCTCGGTCGATTGATGAACAGGCGCCCTCACAGTTGCCGTCTTCTCTGTTCTGCACTATCTACAGGAATGTTTCATGGAGGAGGTGAACGCCCGCGCGACCAACAACAAGGTGCTCTTCCGCTTCGGCATCCTCGAGCCCAAGAGCTACGACCTCGTCGACGTCGTGGTACGACCAGTGCAATTTCTTGACCACTTTACGGCAATGTATAACTTATTAACCTAAGTATCCTTTCGTTGCCGGTCTCATAGGTTAAGAACCCGTCGCAGCGCGAGGTGCTAGCGTGGAAGTCTGATCAGAACAACTTCGGCTCGGCCACGGTGCGCGAGAGCGGGCTGTACCACCTGTGCTTCCGCAAGCTCAAGGGCGCGTCGTCCACGCTCACGCTCTTCTACTCCTTCGACTTCATCTCAACCGGCGCGCGCAGCTTGACGCTGATCCCGAATGTGGCGGCCACGGTGAGCAAGGACGCGCCGACCATCCCGGCGTACACGCAGATGGCAGTGACGACGGTCAGTGGCCAGGCCACCAAGATGGGCGTCATGGAGTTCGACCTGGTTGGCGTCTCGCGCAGCATCATTCGTGGCAACACGCGCGTGAAGTTGCTGCTGACGGTGGACAGTATCAAGGACGGAGAGGAGGTGGACATCGCCCTGGCACTGCTGCCCAACCGAATGAGGTACCCAGTCACCTGGGAGACTATGGAGAGCTACGCGGCCGGCGGCTACCGCGACCACGTGATTGATAACGCTGGGACGGAGATCGGCAGCCACGTTGCCTTTGACATCACCGAACTCTTCGAAAGCAAGCTGGACGGCAAGACCGAGACGATCGCCTTCTCGATCCACGCACATGAGAACAGCGACGCCGTTGTTTTCGGCGTCCACCACGTCGCGGAGGACTACTTCCCCCAGATCGTCGTGGAAGGTGAGCTTGACATGCATCAGCGTGTTGCATGACGAACTCTTTGTAGCTAACGACTGTACTGTCCGGTTCATACAGACCTTGGATTGGAGCTCATGCACGAGGTGGCGTTCTTCAAGGAGTCGGTCTTCACTCTACGTGGCGACATTTCGTTCGTCAAGCACCGAGAACGCCTGAGTCGCGATGGTACGTTGCACTCATGTCGGTTCATGCTGAACTAGTTACACGTGCTGACCATCAACCTGTATGCTATGCAGCTGCTGAGAGCACGAACGCTCGCGTGAAATGGATGTCCCTGATCACGAACGTCGTCCTCGTGGGTATTGCGTTCGGCCAGGTTATCTACATCCGCAGCATGCTCGAGAGTGGCTACTAATTGATCCGAGCAAACGTGAAGCATATTGGCGAGCTAAAGCTGACATGCATGTCATTGTCGCATCCTGCGGTGTATCTTTCTTACCCACCAAAACGATAAGAGCGTGAAATTCCAACACGAGAAATAGAGAAATTGTGCTTGCGCTCGTCAACACTACGGGTAGCCTTACGTCGATGTTGCAATACCACGCTAGTGAATTAATACTGTAAACGAGCGTCTAAAGGTCCACGTCGCGGTCAAGGCCCCAGCAGGCCAATGTCTCTTCCGCCGTCTCGCGCTCCTTAAGCAACGAAAACTTGACCTCGCTGGGGGTGGCCGAGTAGGCAAAGTTCGAGGAAACCTGACGGCTGTTGTACTTTGAATGCATCGACATGGTGTAGCCTCCGGTGTCGTGGATCACCACAAAATCGCCCACTTGAATGGGCGGCAGCAGCAACTGCTTGGCAAGGAAGTCACCCGAGAAGCAGAGCGGGCCCGCGATGTCTTGACGCACGTAGGCACTGCTGGGGTCCGTTTTTGGGCGGCCGTGGCTGTCCAGCACAGAAATGCAGTGCGACCACAGCTCTGGCAAGTAGGCCGTGCGCGGGAACTGGTCGGCACCAACATGCACCACCGCGATGTGCTGGCCGGCCCAGTCCTTCACGGCCTCCACCTTGGACACCGTCACACCAGGCTTGACGAAGATACTGCGTCCAAACTCGGTGATGATGGACGAGAAGCCACTCGTGAACAACTCGGGCACCTGCTTGCGCACCGCGTCCGCGTACTCCTGGAAGTCGTACGCCTCACGCTCGCCGCCGTCGTACACGGTAGGCATTCCGCCACCAATGTCAAGAACGCGAACTTGCGGGTGTTCGACGTGGGCATTAACCTCGAGTGCAAAAGCGACTGCTCTCTTGGCTCCTGCCGCCAACAGGTCAAGAGGGCAGCCCTGCGAGCCGACGTGCACATGCACACCCTGCAGCCACGGGTTCTGCTTGAAGATCGCGAGTAGTCGGGGCTTGGTCTCCGCAGTGAGAGGCAGACCAAACTTGCTGGTCACAGTCGCCGTGCTCGTAGCATCGATCGTTCCTCCGCCCACCACGGGGTTGATCCGCAGTCCGATCTGCGCCGCGTGCTGCTTCTTGGCCTCCTCCGAGTCGCCCAGCTCCGCGAAGATCTCGTTCACCTTGCGGATCTCCTCCTCATTGTCCAAGTTGATGTATACGCCAGCCAACAGCATCTCCCGCAGCTCGCCCAGTGTCTTGCAGGGCGAGTCGTAGACGACCTTGCGCGGCTCGAAGCCGAGCGACAGCGCGTGCTTGGCCTCGGCGATGGACGCGCACTCGGCGCCGAAGCCCTCGGCGCGCGCGCCACGCAGCAGCCCGCGCGTGGGGTTGGTCTTGACCGCCAGCGCGTGGTTGAACTCGGGCTCGGGGAAGGCGGCGCGCAGGTTGGCGAGGCGCCTCTGGAACGCGTCCCAGTTGAAGAGGTTGGTGAGCGGGCTGTCGTCGCGCAGCAGCTTCTGGGCGACCGCGGCCTCCACCACGCGCGTGACGGCGGCGCTGCGCTGCTGGTGGTGCAAGTGCGCGACCTCGGCGCTCTCCTTCTGCTGCTGCTCCAGCAGAGGCGCCACGTAGTGGTCCGCAGCGGCCGCCTGCTTGGCCAGCGCCTGCAGCACGAGTGCGGCGACTTGTTGCGGCGAGGCGGCGGCGTCCGCGGCCAGGTTGTTGTCTTGACAGAGCTGCTGCGCCACCTGCTCCACGCTCTGCGCGCCCGAGCGCAGCGCTTCGACGTACGGGCCCCACGCGACAGAGTCCATGGCGGCAAATGGAGGAATGGAACGAGCTCCGATCTTCGCTTTCGCCGAAGCTTTTGAAGCGCATCCAAGCAGCAAAGATGAAGTGCCTCATTGGCAAAAACTGGTTCACAATCACAAAATATAGTCCCTATTGGTCCCGTACCAAGTTGTGGGTACACTTGACGGGGCTTGTCACGCATAACCTGTCCACTGAAGGAGTCAGAAACATGCCGTAACGCAGGCTGACCCATCCAAGAGACTGGAATAGCCGGCAACGAGTAGAGGCGGAGCAGCATGATGACCAGCTGGCAGGGCTTCTTCCTGCACTGGGCGGCGGTGGAGTCATTCGCTGTCGCGGGTGAGACCAACAAGCAGCGGCGCACTACTAGAAGCTCCAGGGCAGGACGGACGCGCGCCGCAGGACCGCGACCGGCGGACTAGAGGGCAATACACACACAGACAGTCAGGCAGGAAGGAAGACCCAGAGACAGACAAGCAGCCAGCAGGTTCCGACAGGACAGTAAATGACGGCGACGGAGGACGCGCTGGAGACCGCGCGCCTCGTGATCATCTCCGCCGCGGCCGTGATCTCGTCCGTCGTGGCGGTCGTGCTCTTCCGCAGGATACCGGACCCGGGCTACTCGAGGGGACGACGGAGAGGCCGCAGTCGCAGCCGGAAGCCGCCGCTGCCGCCGCCGCACGCCACGGGCCCCGCGCTCTTCTACTCGGTCATCATGACGGACTGGTTGTTCTCGGTCACGGGCGCCGTGAGCCAGTCCATGGACATGGTCATGGGTGCGGGCGTCAAGGTGCGCACGGTCATCGGCGCCAGCGTCGACTCGTTCTTCTCCGTGAGCTTCGTCGTGTCGCTGCTGTGGGGGATTGTGCTGGCGATTTTCGTGCTGCGGACGCATCGGTGGGCGCGCGGACACCAGGCGACGAGTCCGCCGCTCAAGAGGTTTGCGGTGCGGACGAGCTGGCTGGCGATCTGGACGGTGGGACTCGGCGTTGGCCTGGTGTCCACCGCGCGGCTGCAAGCGCTAATCGTGAACGACGACTCGGCCGACGAGCTCCAGGACTGCCTGCGCTACTTTTTCGTGGCTGTGTACGCGCTGTCTGCAGGCAGCGTGGTTGGAGCAAATGTGGTGCTGTTTCTTCAGAAAAGACGGCTGAAAAACGTGCAGGAGCTGGCCCCTAATGCGGACACTGCGCTAGCGGACTCGTCTCTGGGCGACAGTGCTGAAAACGCCGAGTTGGCGTCCACCAAGACGTTCCAGATGCAGGCGGAGCAGGCGCTTCGACTCGCGCACGAGCAGCTCATGCGGTACTTCCTGGTTGTCCAAGTGCTGCAGTTCCCCATGATGCTCTGCTACATGCTGGGCAACGACGTTGTGAGCTACGCGACGTACGAGGTCGCTGACTGTCTGTTGTTCAGCGTGCCGCTGTTTAACGCCATCATGTTCGGCTGCCGGCATTTGGGCGAAGCGCGACTCCCGCAGGACCGAGACGAACTGCGGAACCAGACAATATTGCAGACAAGTAGTAACACCTCCCGGCATGGCGAACGACCACGAGATCGCATGGGGACGGGACTATTGGCTGGTAGCGGCAACGGCGGCGGCGTCGCAAGCGTCTTCGCTTCGTCTTATCGGACAGTGTTCGGCAGCAGCGCAGCAAGCAACAACACAGGGAAGGACTCCATGAAGAGCACGTACGTGGGCAACGAGATAGTGACTTTGGAGGAGTTGAATGGACTCTCGAACGTCTCATTTATCGCCGAAGGTGCGGCTGGAAGTGTGTTCAAGGCGCAGTGGCTGGGCATCGAAGTTGCCATGAAAGTGATCAAGCTTCCGAATGTGGGCGCGAATGGCGTAGCGGATGTGGACCTCTACCGCACGATTATCCAGAACTCGGAGGAGGCTTTCATCGAAGAGGCCAAGCTGTGCTCTCGTCTGCGGCATCCGAACATCACGCTGTTCATGCGTGCCGGATACTTTGAAGGCAAGTTGGGAATTTTGACCGAGTATTGCTCACGAGGCAGTCTGAAGGATGTACTCAAGCGCCACTTCCCTCTAAGCTGGCGGCGCAAGGTGGCACTGGCACTCCATATCTCGAAGGGTCTGACCTACCTGCACGCGCGCAATCCGACGTACATCCATCGCGATCTCAAGGCGTCCAACATTTTGGTCACGGAGACTTGGCAGGCGAAGCTGGCGGACTTCGGTATTTCCAAAGTGTCGAACTTCGTGAACCGCGTACGATACAGCGAACGTACCGTCACCATGGCAGATCAGAACCCAAGTATCTCGGACGAACTGACGTCGTTCGCAGGTACCTGGCGGTGGAATGCTCCCGAGATTTTGCAGGACCCGCACAACTGTCGATACAGCCGCGCGACGGACATGTACTCGTTTGGAATGGTGTTGTGGGAGATTGCGTCGGACGGCGCTGTTCCGTTCAGCGACACCAAGTTTGACTTCGAGGTCCGCGAGAAGGTGCTTGTCGAGCAACGCCCGCCCATCAACCACCAGCGGTGTCCATCACGCTTTGCGAAGCTTATCGAGGAGTGCTGGGCCCAGAACGCCGCGCTTCGTCCATCGGCGCCACAAGCTGCGGAGATTCTCAACACGATTCTGGACAGCATGTCGAAGGATTCAACGGACTACTCCACACTGTCGTCCATGTCCGGATCCGAGTACACGAACAGCATCTTCTCGTCGCTGCGGACTGGGGAGGGCGCGTCGGATCTCGACCATCGCCCTAGCTCTTTCCTGGGCCAGCGGATCACGAACTTCTTCCGCGGTCGCTTCTCCGGTCGCAGCAGCACTAGCAGCGCCATGAGCGAGGAGTACCACGATCACCATGAAAGCGAGCACTTCTACAAGTTCACGTCCCCGTACCCCGCCGAGAACATCAGTGTGCTGAGCGGCCGGGGCAGTGCAGCTGTGGAAATGATTCCTGGGACGACGGACTCGTCGGGCTTCCCGATTGTGGGTCTGCCCAACGACAGCCGTCGCGGTGACGGTTTGATCGGAGGACGCCTGTCGTCGCTGGACGAGTACGACTTCGAGATGGAGGGAAGCCCGTCCGACATGACGACCTACAGCCGAAGTCCGTCGGAGCGTGGCGGCTCCACGATGCTGCCACCATTCCGCCAGGTCAACACACAGCCAGCCAGACGCGAGAACGTCCGACCGAGTGAAGACCCCCGGCCTAGCGACGACGGCGCCGAGTTCTCGCTGGGCGCCAACGGCCGAATCCGCCATCTCCAGTTCTAGAGAAAGCGAGAGAGAGAGAGACAAGCTGAGCCACGAGCTCACACACGTGACAAGCGGGCCCAACCGCTGGCAGTATTTATTAGCCACGAGCGAGGTGGTACATGTAGCGAGGAGGTCGCACAGACAACTCGTCACTTTACGGAGGCTTTCGAGACCTCGTACGATAGGTTAGACAGCTAAAGAAACACGAACCATGGTCCATGAGTAGTACTACAGCATGTAAGTGAGTGAGGCTTGCCTCCGCTGGTTGGGTTCTTTGATCTAGCGACATCGGGCGGAACGCTGGTGAGCTCTTGACTTTCTAGCCAACATGTTACACGGTGGACTGCTCCTGGAGGAGCAGCACTGCAGAACATGTCGCCTCAGTGACTCGTGAGAGGTTCTGCAACTACATTAGTTTGCCTAACTCGATGTGTTGCGTTACGCCTATTGTTTGATACGCAGCAAATGCATTTGATGGAGAGCATCAGTCTTTTAGTCTTAGGTTGGTCTCAGTGAGGCCGCTTGTTCAGCGGATTCGTCAGAAACGAGGAATTCACTCTGAGCAGACCGAAGCCCGCCCAGCATGAACGACATCACGCGCTGCTCCGGTTAAATAACACGAATGGGTGTTGTTGCACTACTCTATCCTTCCGACACTTCCAAGCTGCCGAGTGTGCTCGAGGGAGGCAAATTGTAAACTGAACTTGTCCAGTACAGCGCAGCGCCGTTTCAAGTCAAAAGCGGCGTCGTCCACCCATCTCAAAACCTGTTGTTACTGATTTACCCCTTTTATCGCATCCATACTAAGCCCTCCATTACCTCCCTGTTCTAATACACAATTGACACGCCAAAATGCTGCGCAGGGTCCGATCCGTCGGCGTGGCCGTGGCGACGCTGACGCCTCTGGCCGCTTTGGCCGTAGGCGAAGCAGCTCAGCAGTATGACGACAGCAACAAGGTCGTGTACGCGAAGCAGCAGCTCTTGAAGTGGCGCAACGCTTCCGATACAGATCCCAGCGGTGAAGAGTCAAAGTCGGCTGTGGCTGGTGCCTCCGCCTGGCTGGGCAGTGCGCCGCCCAAATTCCCGTACTTGCTGTCGATCTCCGCCGGCGACAACCCGGCGGTCGTCACGAACACGTAGGTGGCTCTGTTACTGCTACGTATTGGTAGGTTTGACAACTCATAAGCTACTTTTTGGTGGAATTTGTAGGCTGCTTGGTGGGGCGAAAGTCTTGGGGTCGTATAAGGAACCAACACGAGAAACGTTGAAAAGACTCACAGCTCCAACCTCGACGCTAGAATGTGCTCTTCATACTATTGCGATGCGCTACTCGGAGCTGAAGACGGCGTTGCATGGCGATGTGCCCGAAGACTTTGATCCGCGTGTGGGATTGAAAACCAGTGCGGAGGACACGATGATGGATGCACTACTGGACGCGCTGCGAGATCTGCAATACACTGAACAGGAGAATGAACGCGGCACTGGTGAAAATGAAGGAAACGCGGCGACAGACGCGCAAAACGGCCCAGTTACTGCTCTCCCGATGTTCTTGCTTAGGGATTTCGACACACTCAGCGACCAGGATGCTGAGAGATGGCTCCGCTGGACGCACCAAGTCTCAAGCGAAGGATTAGCTCATGTTGTATTGCTTACTACTTCGAGCGTTACGCCATCGAAGGTGGAATGGATAAAAGAGCGCCATCAAAGTGGACACAATGCTGATTCTGATGCTATTCAAGACTTCGTAGCCATCTTGCTACGTCCTGCAAATGGTCTCGTGGATAATACATCGGCAGAAGAAAAACTTCGCGAAATATCGGTAAGTTTGTCATTTGCCTACTTCCTGTATTGTGGCAGTGAATAACGTGGCTAATGTACATTTACAGGAGTCGCTCGAGCTGGGCCTGTTTTCTGATGAAGCAGGAGCCGCCGCAGGTACAGAGGACCGATCTTCGATCGATCAACCAAGCATGGATGCAGCGAACATATGCAAGCGCGCTACCGAGGTGGGGATTATTTTGAACGCCGCAGGAAACTGGTGGAGTGATATTGAAGCAATTTGCCGAAGGCTACGGGATAGCAATCTAAACGAAGTGACACTTCACGAGGAGCGCGTCGGTGTGATTCATGAAGCCTGCCACAACTTCTTGCAAGATACCGAAGCTAGGTTGCTTCAAGCACTGCACCTTGATGGAAGTCTGCAGCTCCCTCGCGACTATTCCTCAAGTAATCACTCGGAATCGCAGCCCACAGATACGTCGAAAGCTTTCAGTGCACTGGAAACGTGGAAATGTCTGGAAGCACTGGCCGATGTCACTCCGGTTACTGGCGGCAATGCGCTGATTGGGTCGCCACAACAGCTACTCAAGCAGAAAGATAAAACTCCTCTGAATTGTGTGAGTCCCGTCGAGGCTTTGCTGCCGTTTAACTACCGTGAGGAGGGCGAACAAAAATTCTTGGACCTTATCGATCAGCAAGTGCTCTATCTCCGACCAAAGGTTCGTGCACATAACAACAAGTGGGGTGGATTCATGTCGACGTTCTAAACTCTTTTTTTTTACTGATTCTTCATTACAGGACGCTGTGGAGATTGGTGTGATCCCATGCAAGAAAGCTGCACTGGTTTCTCCATGCTGGGTACAGACTCGTCCTGTCATTAAGAAGGCCTTCGAGAAGATTCACGTGAGTGGATTATTCCTGCGGCTTGGAATTTGCTCTCAGCACTGATTAGTCTCTGTTGTGCTACGCTTACAGAGGAGCGATGCGTACTTCAGGGTCATTTTAGATCTGGACCGGTTTGCTGCCAATGTGGAGGTGCGTTGGTTTGGTCGCGAAAACATTGACACATTTTGTTCACACATGTTCCACATTCTATCGCTGACAGATGCGAAAAGAAATTGAGCAGTATGAGCAAGAAATTGCGGAGCGGCGTCAGGCTTTGCTGGATATGAAGCGTGATTTTGCCATTCTTCAGTTTTCGATGACACCAGCAGATAAGTCTCAGCGCAAGGCCGAGGTACCTTCTGCTATTAGTTTTTTTTAATCTTGAGCAGTCCGTTAACGACCTTGTGACTACGTATACTATTCGTGATAGCTTGCTCTTATTGACGTCGAGTTGCAGGCCAAGGATGTGTATTTGGAGAAACTTCGATCCTTGCTGACTCCGTGAAAAATGTACTTCTTGATTACAGACTGGATAAACCACTGTGCTTTCATTTCGAAGTGAAAATGTCGGCCCCAGGGGCTGGCGTTGACTGGAACATCGCCTTCATCGCATCAGCTGACGCTATCCCACGTTCTTGATAGTATCTTGTCTGGAGTGCTTTCATGAAGTCGGGCACGTCCACCTTTTTAACGAGAGCCACGATGCAACCTCCCCAACCAGCTCCAGTAAGGCGCGCCCCAAAAGCACCAGCTGACATTGCAGTATCAACCAAAGAGTCCAGCTCCTGGCAGCTACACTCGTACAGTTCTCGACAGCTTGAGTGGCTTGCTGTCATCACCTCCCCCAGAGTTTGCAAGAGCTTGAGGGTGGAAGGTGATTGCGGCGTTTCCATTTCTGCTGCTAGCAATGCACATTTTGCTCGAAAATCCTCCACATGCTCTGCCTCGCTCCAGACATGCAAAGCACGCTGCCGCAGCTTAAACGATGTTGCTGAAGCGAGCACAATCTAGCACACATACGCAACAGCATTGGTGAGTAAGCACGAGCCTGCAGTAAAAGAAAGGCAGTGCCTACTTTCATACCTGAAACGATTTTTCCAGCGAAGATCCGACAAAAAGCCCAGCAAGTGGTTCTTCAAGCTCAGCCTCGAGGTGGTGAATTGAGTATTCCTCGAGCGGGCACAACGTTGATGCCAGCTCTTGTAGTCTCCAGTAGGTAACACTCTCCCCTTCAGTATTCTCCAGCGCCTTTTGAAGATCCACTAAACGATTTATCTGAAAGGCACGACCAGTTAGACAGTCTCTGCAATACTTTCTCAGTGATTTCACAAAGCGTACCTCCCCCCACTTCTCAATGCCCGCTTTCTTTCCAATCATTTTTGCAGCTAAGGCGCATTCTACCACGCGCTTGTTATATCGAGTTGCTGCATCAACAGCTTTTTCCGCGACAACCAGACTGTTCGCAACGACGAAGGTCACTCCAGCAGCATCGTTAGGCACAGCCACGGGGTTACTACGCGTTGGTACACTCGAGAAGTCAAGATGCAGTGCAACGCCGCGCTGCGCCAGACATGACACTGCCTGGTCCATTCCTCCTCCCATCGTACCCACTCGATGCTCTGCACGTCTACATAGTTCCGCCAGTTCACTTCGTCGTAATAAATCTCGCCCCGGCGTGCTCAAGGCACTGTTCGTGGCCAGCGCGGCCGCCACGACGAGCGCACTGGAGCTGGAGAGGCCGCAACCAGCAGGGATATCTCCATCCACCAGCATCTGGATATCTCCCTCTTCACCATTAAACAGCTCAGAATACGCGTCTTGAACCCCCAAGACTCCGCACAACACGTATTTGGCCCAAGTGGCGCCTTCCTGCTCGAGCTTCTGCATGTTGTCCTGCTCTTTCGCCTCCAAAGACAACGTAACAGCTTTGTATTGTGGCTTAGCGTTCGCCACACTTAGAGTCTTCACCCCTCCACCACTTTTATCCTTCTTTGCTACTGTGCTGAAAGCCACGTAGACGCTCTGCTCGATGGCCATGGGCAGCACCGCGTAACCTTCGTAGTCCACGTGCTCACCAATGAGATTCACACGACCAGGAGCGCGCGCGACGCCAGTGGGTTGTCGGCCGTAGCGTGCACTGAACTCGGTTATCACTTGCAGAAGGCGCTTGGAGCTGTCGGCCTCGGCATCGGGCGCAGGCAGCGGCAGCGCGCGGAAGACGTCCATGGTTGAAGTGACAATCACTCCCTTCAAAAAGTATCTTCGTACTTAGGGGGACATATTCGGAGGTGGTCCACATGAAGGGCTACTATTTGAGTGATTAAATTTTTCATGTGACGGCGCGTATCAATCGCGCATATAGCATTGCCCCTCTTCCTGGTGCATTCACCGCCTCTCGTGCGGCTTCGAGGATATCGAGCCATGAAGATGACCTCGCAACTGCTGCGGGCACAGAAGCCGCGCGTTTTGGTGGTCGGAGGCGGCCCTGTTGGCCTCGCCACTGCCTTCATGCTCGAAAAGCTCTACAACGTGCCCACCCGCGTGGTGGAGCGCCAGCGCAGCCCCACGTCGCACCCGCAGGCGCATTTCATCAACCTCCGCACCATGGAGGTGCTCTACGCTACAATGCCCGAGTTCCACGACCGACTGTTGGCTCAGGCGGCGCCTAGCGTTCTGGTAAGAGAGAGGGCAAGACTGTATGTGTCAATGGGGTGACGACTAAGTTTTGGGTGCAACGGCTGCCGTGTGTTGACAGTGGCGCGACTACATTTACTGCACTGGAGTAGGCAAGGCTCGGGAGATCGCGCGTATCGATCAGTTCGGCCCCTGTACGTTATGCTGGATTGAATTGGAGAGAAACGTCGACACTGAAGTTGCCGCTGCTGTCGATGTTGTCGGACAGGCATCCCACGCGATACAATCGAACAGGCCACAGCTAATGGTGACAGTCTGCGCAAGTCCTTGGCGGCACTTTCGCCTACGCAGTTTCTGCATTTCCCGCAGAACCGCTTCGAGACGATGTTGGACGAGTTCCTGGCCGAGAACAATGTGCGTGTAGAACGTGGGGTCGAACTTGAGAGCCTGAAGTTGCCGTCCGATAGAGAAGCTACAGCACAACCTGAGGTCACGCTGCGTCACTTGTATGTGACATGCATTCAAAATGTCGATGCCAGCCACGGATATTGATAAGGTTTTGCGTGCTTTGTGCAGAGATACCAACACACTTGAGGAAGCGTCATATGACTATGTTGTGGGAGCCGATGGAGCACACAGTTTAGTGCGCCAGCTCTGCGGAATTGACATGGTTGGAACGCGCAATCTACAGAGCATCGCGAACGTGCACTTTACCAGCAAGGCGCTATCGGAAGCTGCGCGCGAGAACCCAGCAATGCTGTACTTCGTGGTATGAAACATTCTCTTGCTGTCCAATATGAACTTCGCTCACCTAGCTTTTGTTTGTGCGTTTCAGTTCAACAAGGATATTGTTGGTATCTTGATCGCCCACGACCTGAACAAAGGCGAGTGGGTGTTCCAGATCCCATTCTTCCCCCCGCAAGAGTCGATCCCCTGGGACTTTTCTACGGCCCAATGCAAGGAGATCGTCCGCCATGTTCTTCCCAAGAACGTGAAGGTTAGCGACGAAGACATCAACATTCTGTCGGCTGGTCAATGGAGAATGGGGGCACGCGTGGCTAAGCAATACGATGCAGGCAAGCAGCGCGTGTTCCTTGTTGGCGACGCAGCGCACCAGTTCCCTCCTGCAGGTGGGTTCGGCATGAACACGGGGCTACAGGACGCTCACAATCTGGTCTGGAAACTTGCGCTGTCAATCCAAGCGAAAGATGCAAAGTCGGCTACCAACGGCGAACTTGACACCCCAGCTCTGTTGCACTCGTACGGACGTGAGCGCCAGCTGATTGCCAAAACAAACACCCAGTTCAGTCTGAGCAACGTGGCTCGAACTATGAAGATTCCGCGAGCACTCAATGTTTCCCACGACAATGCCCAGACGCTGGCAAAGTTTATCAACTCGGCGCCGATGCAACTCCTTCCTCTAAGTGCCCAGCGCGAGATTGCGCAGCGTATCATGCGCGTTGGTAAGCTGCCTCTGGGCTTGCTGGATGAAGCGAAGGACGCTGGCGGACCGGGAAGCGCACTGGGTAACCGTATGCGCGCCAGCGTTCAAGACATCGTGACGAAGCGGAAGACGCTTGGCATGATGTTTTACCACTTCGACATCGGTTTTTCCTACGACGCGCCTTTGTGGGCATCCCGCGCGAAAAAACTCATGGAAGACCCAGCGCTGGACCAGTCCGTGGAGTTCCGTACCAAGATTGGCGATGGCGAGAGCATCATTTACTCGCCCACCTTCCGCGTTGGCGAGCGCTTCCCGCACTTTTGGTGCTCTAGCGTCAACTCGAAGGTGTCGACTCATGACATGATGCGTCTCGCTCTTTCAGCTGAGGACGCAGGCAATGTGCAGTTTACGCTGGTTGTCGGTGGTCGTGATGCTGCACGGGTGATCAGCTCGTGCTCGTCTGCGATTTCTCCGGCGGTCGCGAAGCACGTGTCCCTCGTTGTGTTGCGTTCGAGTGCTGACGGTGAATCTGCTAAGGTTGACGCTGCGATCGCAGAAGTACAAGCGTCTGCGGCGTTTAGTTCTGTGCTCTCGTGGCAAGTTGTTGAAGATGAGAGCGACAACAAGGCGTGGAGCTGCTTCATGGACAGCATGGCCGCCGCTCTTGTGCGCCCAGACGGCCATGTTGGTGCACTGTGGAAGGTTGAAGACCTTGACAGCTTCAACGGCGCAGCTCTCACGCAGTCGATGCAGCATTCCGTCCAGCTCAGCTAAACAACTGCAACCTGAGTACTTCGATGCTAGAGCCACACAAAGACAACTTGTCGTTTTTGCGAAATAAAGAGTGAATTTGATGGTATCATACGATCGCTTCGAGCTGCTGCCGAGCAGTAGGAATCTCCCTAAAAGGCTGCAGTTGCCGTACTGGCCGCCGCATCTCCTGTCGGGAGGTGCTGCTGGTGTGTACGCTATTGCTACTGACCGTGACGACAGTTGGGGGTGCGAGGAACGGCTCCAGCTCGCTTGTGTCCGCGCTCATCTTCTTCTTGGAATGCCACACGTTCGAGGAAGGAACTGCAGTCACCGGGGCGACACCAACTTCCGTCGGCATAAGCGACGCGAGCGGCTTCTCATCCACAGACGCTGCAACCACTGGAGGGTTGAGCGTGTACATCGCTGTGCTGATAGCCACCAGTGCCATGGCCACCAGTGCGTTGTGTCCGAAAGGTTTGCCATTGAAATATGTCTCCAGCAGCGCCGTGAGTCCCATTCCTCCCACGACCGCGAAGCTCTTCTCCACATTGCCGCAGTCGCGAATCACAAAGCCGACCAACACTCCACCCAGCGCTTGGCACAGCAGCGCGGCCAGCGTCATGATGCTCCAGCCCTCCCACATACTGTCCTGCGAGTCGGCTCTTTCCGCACTGCCATCATTGGCCGGCATGAGACCGCCCTGCACCACCGCCAGAGCCAAGAGCGTCATCTCCCCCAGACAGCTCAACTCCACCGTGACCATGTACTGGTTGCGCTTCTCTCGCTGCAGCGCTCTCTGGATGATACTACCGGCCAGCGCGGACAACACGGCACCCAGCAGCGCCTGGTACATGCCCGTGAACACCGCGGCGTCCGTGGTTCTGTCCTCCTCCTGCGTCTGCTCCGTCGTCGACGTCGTCATGAGCACCGCAGCCACGCAGAGCAGCCCCAGCGCCACGATCTGCAGCGGGGACTGGCGCGTGCCCAGCAGCAGGTACACGAGCAGCGCCGTCCAGATGATCTTGGTCTGGTTCAGCACGTTGAATGTGACGCCGTCCAGCGCCACCACCGCCGCGTGGTTCAGCAGGTTCTGCAGCACGTAGATGAGCGCTGGGAGTACCGTCGTGGCCATGGCGGCGCGCAGCTTCCACGTCTTGAGCTGGTTCACGAGCCCGGCCTCGCCCCTCGTCAGGCTCAGCGGCACGAGCGCCAGCAGCAGCTTGAGGAACTCGACGACCCCCACGCGCAGCCGCACGTCGCGCGCCTCGCTCGCGTACCAGCCCATGAGCACAGGCTGCACGCCCACCTGCACCGTCAGCAGCAGCAGCAGCGCCGCCTGCCGAGCCGTCGACGCCATGACCGCGGGCTCCGGGGGTAGGAACTGTATTATCGACTGATTTGTATTCCGGACGTTAGGACACATGAGACAGATGGGATACACTTGACGAGCAGGAGCTCGAGTCTGCTGCGGCTGGTGGTGGTGGTAGGACTGCACTTTGACTTGCCTGTCAAGTGCACTCGTGTTGCGGTACAGCTTGCTATCTCGTGTCAGAAATTGTCAAGCACAGCATATATTTATGTAGGACTGGCCTGGAGCGACTTCCCATGGAGCGGACAGTGGCGGGTCTGTCTGTCTCGCATTATCCCAAGTTGTTCTGCTGCTGCTGGGGGGTTGATATGCTTGGCTTGGAGTCCAATCCGGTGGTCGCACCAAGTCTGCAGGAGAACTGGACTGAAGCTGAAGCGACCGTCATGTTAGGCTTCGTGTCGATTCTTGCTTCAGGATGACCTCCTCACAGCTCCACCAGCAGGAAAAATAAAACTTGTCCAATGATCCTGCTCCGATGATCATGCATTGCGGCATGGCTTCGCTGCGTGCTCACGGCGAGCCACCAAGCAAGCAGTTTGTTGCCAACGACAACTGAACGAGGCGTCTCGTGATCCGATTCACGTCAACTGAGACCGCGAACCGACTTCTTTCCGACTAGCGCGCCATGATTGGTCAATTTCGCCGCCCAGATAAACACGCAATTGGGTAAAATCGCGGACAGTGGCACTCGTGTAGAAGTTGACCATGGCAAGCGGCTGGCAATTGTGCATAATGCGCCTCGTGGACACGCACACCGGGACACACGGCGCCTTTGCCGCGCGAGCCATCGCGGCCCCATCTTAGGAGCTCCAGCCGCGTTGCATTCCACAATTGCAGCCGCAGTTGTCATGACGACGATGCTGCAGCGCTCCGCTGCGCTACTGCTCGTCTTGGCGGTGTGTAGAGCTCCTCAGATCGTCGCGGACGAGTCCGCCAATGCTGCCAAGGTCCTGCTGGGGACAAGGGCGGAGTCAGCGTACCCCCATAGTACAGGCATTTCAAGCATCGGCAGTGTTGCTGCTGGTTGCTCTCAGTGCCGGGACAGCGGCAACTGCTCCGTCGCCATGAACGACACGGCGTCCGGAGTGTTTTGCGGAGATCTTCACGCTGCTGCGAGTCTGCAGCCGTGTTGTTGTCCGTACTACACCGAGTGCCGAGTAACCAGCAAGTCGTCGACGTGTGAATGTGGTGGCGCATGGCCATTCCCAGCGCAACTGGAAGCTCGTCGTCACGAACGACTTTCAGTAATGGAAGCAGCGAACGAAACAGAGGCCCAAGTCGAGGAGGAATTCGTGCGCGATCCCATGGACGACCAAATGTCCGTGTCTACAGAGATCCTGATCCACTTGTCGGCGTATCTAGCGCTGTTTGTGTTCGCGATGTACGTGGATCAGTGGGTGGAGTGTTTCAGCGACTTCCGAAGGAATCAAATGGTCGCCTACGGGGAAGCGGTTGACATGAAGTTGCTGCGCTTTCGCCAGCGGTTCGGCAAACGGCGGCGCGACTCGGAGCTGGATACTGCCGAGAGCGATGACAACCTTCCACTGTTGGTTCTGCAATCGCCTGCACCGACGTCGTCGCCGGTGTTTACTTTCGACGAGGAGGCCCTAGAAGCAGATTTAGCAGATGCCGCTCAAAGAGAAGAGGACGTCGTTGTGGTTACTGTTCCAGTTGATGTCGTCCAAGAAGTGAGTGCCAATGCCAGCCCACCGGAATCTCCGTCGGAGCTGGAAGAAGTCCCGTTAGAGTGAAGAGTATTTGTCCGAGTCGTCGTGTATCATAATATCAAACTACATTCACAATAACCCCAAACGCTTGCCCGCTTCTCGAATCAGCAAGGACGCATAGCAATTACTAGACGGTTTGAATCGAAGCGCCATCCTGGCCTTGCCTTGTAGTGTCTGTCTGCACCTCCTCCGCCGACTGGGCGCCTGCCTCAACATCATCGCTCGCAGTCGCATCTTCCGTTGGAGACGAGGCCTGAGCTCGCAGCGGCGTCGTGTCATCATCCGCATCAGCTTCTTCAGCAACCTCAACAGCCACAGCAGTAGTAGCAACTGCAGCAGCAGCAGCAGTAGCGGCGTTCTGGTCCCTTGCGCTCTCCTCTTCGTCCGAGTCGCTGTCCACGGTATCCACGACACTGTCCTCTCCCCTGGCGCGCGCCGCCGACGGCGTGCTGGCCAGGAGCTGGTGGTTGCTGTTCATGACCTTGTACGGGCCGGCGCACATCTTGTCGTAGGCCAGCAGCGCCCAGGCGATGAGCGAGAGCCCCACGAAGAGGTAGAAGCGCGTGGTCATGATCTCCTCCTCCCGCGCGCCGTCGAAGCACTCGCACGAGCCCGAGAAGATGGTGGTCATGCACTCGTTGCGGAAGGCGCAGCAGCACGGCTGGAACGTGGACAGCACGTCGCCGCAGAACACGCCCGACGACTGGTTGTGCACGGCGAGGGAGCAGTTCTCCCCGTTGCGGCACATGGCGCAGCCGCGGTCGGCGGGCGCGTAGAACTCGAGGCCGTTCTGGTGCCGGATCATCATGTGGTCGCCGCCTCCGTAGCCGTACATGGCCTCGCGCTCCGCCCGGGCGAGGCCGGCGAGCGCCACGTAGAGCAGCAAGAGGAGACTCGGGGCTGGGAAGCGCGCCATGCTGCGACTGGGAATTCGGTACCGCGAGGTGGCCGATTTTTGACGTGGTCCGCCCTTCCAGTTTGGCGAAAAGGGAGTGCTGGACAGTCACAGCTGGTCAAATGACAAACCGTAGGTTAATTAGTTGATACAGGTAAAAATTGGCGCATGGTCTCTTTTTGACTCAATACTTTACACTAGGTTATAATTTACAAAAGGATTCAGATTAAAAGGTGGTTACTGTACATTGGTGCATATGGGCATGTTGAAGTGAACTCACCGAGTGCAGCGAAGGCAAGCAAGACGCACGTGCAGATAGGAAGAGTCTATTGAGGACACGAACGATGGCGCAGGTCTTATTTACGAAATATTAGCAGGCTTGAAGACGTTGAAGCCGTCGCCGGCCGTGCTCATGAGCACGCCTGGGCACTGCGGGTGGAAGTGCAGCTCCTTGATGTCGGTCTGGCCCTGGTGGATGAAGAGCAGCTGCGGCGGCAGGTCGAGCTTCGCCTCGCCGTTCTCGCCCTGCACGGGCACAGCGGCCTCCGCGTCCTCTTCGACGGACATATCCCAGACGGAAATCTGATTGTCCGCGCCTGACACCGCGAGCACCGACTCATCGGTCGGGTGCCACTCGATAGACGTGACGGGCGCCGTGTGGTACCGGAAGTGCGCCACCGGGTTGTCGGCCTTGAAGTTACGCAGGTCCCAGATCTTGAAAGAGCCGTCGTCCGAGCCGGACGCGAGCAGGTACGCGACGTTGCGGTTCCACGAGATCACATTGACGTCGTCGTCGTGAGCAGCCACGTCCAGCATGCTGCCGGCCTTCCGCCGGGTGTCCCAAATGCGCACGGTGCGGTCCGCCGAGCACGACGCGAACACGGACGCCTCCGTGGGGCTCCACTGCAGGTCCTCCACCGAGCTCTTGTGGCCCGTGAAAGGCACCTTGTCCACGCTCCACGCGCCCTCCGAGTTGGCCCAGAGGTAGATGAACTTGCTGCAGTCGCCCGTAACCAGACGTCCCGCCTGCACCGGAGACCAGTCCATAGCGAAACCTTCGTCAGCGTGTCCCGAAAAAGTGTACACGGGCACCTGCTTGGCCGGCAGCGGAGCACCAGCCTTGCCGTCCAGCGACTCGAGCTGCTTGGCAATGTCCCAGAGCTGCACCTTCTTGCGGTCCGACCAGGTGGCCACAATGTTGGAGCTTTGCGGCATGCAGCGGATGCGGTTGACGCCGCCAGGGTGCGGGATGGAACGCGACTCCAGCACGGGGTCGCCCTCCGTCTCGTCCTCCGAGTCCGAGTCGTCATCCTCCGAGTCCGAGCCGTCGCTGTGTTTGGTCTTGTGCAGCTCCGACATCTTCATGACCGTGATCTGGTTGTCGTCCGGGTTGGTGGCCTGCGTGCCCGCCACCATGAACACGGTCATGGGGAAGCGCGTGCGCACAGCTCCGAGGTTGTCGCGCACCACGTCGATGCTGAGCGACGGCCACTCGGCCGTCATGGCGTAGTACATGTCGTAGGCGCTGCTGTCGTAGTCCAGCACCTCGTCGTCCTGCAGCTTGTCCACGCCGGGCATGAACACCTTCTTCACTTGCTTCTCGGCCTGCTCGTCGCCTTCCACGTCCATGTCCACGTCCTTGTCCGCGCCGTCCACGACCTCCTCGTCGCCGTCGCTCTCGACCATCTCCTCGTCCTCCATGTCGTCGCCGAACGGGTCCTCGAACACGAGGTCCTCCTCGCCGCCATGCGGCTGCTGGCCCTGCGCCGTGTGGCGCTTCACGTCGCTCTCGAACTCGGCGGCCGCGCGCTTCTTCTGCTGGCTCATGGCTGCTAGTAAGTACTGTAGCTGGTGCTGTAGCTGTAGCCACGACAAGTCAATGCGCGTCGGTAGCGATACGCGCCGAATGACAGGCCGCGGGCCAATGATGCAGGTCACCACCGGTGCAACTTGCGTGATTGGCCATAATTGAATGGCCGCGATGGATAACCACTAAATCGCGTACAGTACACAAACTATGTAGCACACACAATTATGCACATTTCGGTGGTTGTTTCAAACGAGCGGCCATAATGCTGAGCTCCTTGCGGCGGCGTCCGGCGGCGCTGCTGCCGCGCAGAGCGATCGGCGCAGCGCGCGCCAAGCACAGCAAGGAGGACCTCGAGATCCGCGAGTCTGTCAGGTGAGGAGGCGCGGTTAAACGGCTGCAGTACGGTGAAGTTTCCGGCATTGACGCAACAATCACTGTTCCCGACAGGAAATTGGACTACGACGGATACGTGTGCGGCCTGCTGCTGCCGCTGAAGACGCGGCCGTCCTTCTTCGCCATTGTACGACGCTGCGCTAAGAATGATATTCTGCTGTTGCTGGGGCTAATTGATGCATTATTCGCTTGGATTGTTGACTGCCTGCAGCGCGCTCTGAACGCCGAGATCGCTACCATCAAGGACTCGGTCCACAGCAACCAGATCACGGGCAAGATCCGCATGCAATGGTGGCGTGAGCGGATGTACAATTTGTACGAAGTTTCGGCTTCTTCGGGTGTGGAACGACCGGAGCAGTCGACGATGCTGCTGCGAGGACTGGATAAGGCGGTGCAGGAGCACGACCTCACGCGGAGATGGTTCGAGCGAATGCTGGACGCGCGTGACCAGGATCTTGACCGGGAGGAGGTGCAGAGCTTGCATGAACTTGAGGTTTATGCGGAGCAGACGGCGTCTTCGCTGCTGTACCTCACGCTGGAGTGTCTTGGCGTTCGCGACGACACAGCGGACCGCGTGGCAGGACACGCCGGCGTTGCTATCGGACTTGCGACGCTGCTGCGAGGCACGGCTTATCACAGCTCCCGGCAACAGTCTTATCTTCCCGAGGACCTCATGAACAAGGTACGGATCAGAGATGCATTTGGGCGGATTTGGTTCCTAGAATCCTTATGCCTAACGTTGATTTGTGCGTTGTTGGTTCGGCATTGTTATCATGTACTGTAGCACGGCGTAACCGTGGAGGATGTGCTTGCCGCCGTTGAAGACCCCAAGCTCGGCGAGAAGGTGGCGCCTGTGGTATTCGACGTTGCCTGCCGTGCGATGGAGCACCTTCACCAAGCTCGCTCACTGCGGAAAGATCTGCCGAGCGAGTCGCGCAGTGCGTTCCTGCCGCTGGTTAGCTCCTCGCTGTACTTGAAGGAGCTGGAAGCTGCCAACTTCAATGCCTTCGCGCCCGAACTGCAGCAACGCAACATGCTGCAACTGCATTTTGAGGTGTTGAAGCACTTCTTCTTGCGCAAATACTAGAGCCCTGTACACCTGCACACCAGCAGCTCGCAGAATAAACGCAATTTACTGAACGATGCACGTCTCGTCCTTTTGTTCTTTTTCATCGGTTTCTTGCATCGTATTGCTGCAGCTTCTACCGCTGATCTCGAAAACTTACTTGGTCAATTGAAGAGGAGGAGCGCTCCTATCTTACTCCTTGTAGCTTCCTCGCCCGGGCCATAAGATATACACGGAAGCCAGATCCTCGGTTCCCGTCGCTTCGCACATGTAGCCCGGCTACCTGGTCGCTGCACCACCTCGACTGTGGAAGAAGCGCCGCTGAACAGTGCAAGGCACCGCCTAGGAACTTAATTCCTCTGCTTCTTGGCGGATCCTACTGCTTTGTTGCCACTGTTGCCGCTGCCGGAGCTCCCCTGCTGCGACTGCTGCTGTTGCTGCTGCTGCCCGCCCGACGACCGCCGCTTGGCGTCCAACGCGGCGAGCTGGCCCTGCAACTGGTCCTTCTTGAGCTTGACGCGGTTCTCGAACTCGAAGCCACTCTTGAAGTAGTCGAGACGCGACGGCGCCGAAATGTGCAGCAGCTCCTCCTCAATAGCACAAGCCTGCGAACATCAATATCAATATGTATCAGTACAAAACAGCCGCAGCAACATTCCTGTAGTTGTGGGGGATCCTCACACTCACCACTTGCAGCAGGTCCTCGTAGGTCGTGCAGCGACTCGTGTAGGCGTCGCGGATCTTGGAGCGCACGGCCTGGCGCTCCTCGATGGTCAGGTACATCCTCCAGTCCTGCATGGTGGACGACTGGGACACGCTGCGCGTGGCGGTCGTGGCGCTGACGTTGGTGCTGGCCACGGAGGAGCCGCCGCCCACGCCGCTCGAGAGGCCGCCGCTCGTGGCCCCTCCCGCGCGGAAGGCCGAGTTGCCCGACGGGCGGTTGTACACGCCCGAGGAGGTCACGGCGCGCAGCATCTGCGGCGGGTTCGTGCTGGGCGTCGCGTGCAGCACGGACGGGATCGAGTTCATGTTGTTCATGCCCACGCCCAGGTGGCTCGCCAGCCCGCCGGCGTGGCCATGGCCCACGCTGCTGGCCGCGCCGCCGCTGAGCGTGCGCTTGAGCGACGGGATGGTCTGCGCCGAGCCGTTGTTGGTAGGGTCGTTCTTCATCTGCCCGAGGTTCATGGCGCCCCGAAGTTACGTGTGCATCCACGGTCTTTTGTGTTATGCTGCGGCAATAGGGGGCCTGCTACTGTACCGAAAAATGAGAATCCAGCGGTACACTGTACCAAAAATACACAGTACAAACAGCTGGCTTTTTTTTAGTGGAGACTTTCACGTTGGTTGACCTGCACCTTGTGGCTCTGCTCGGCTCTATTAGATCTTATTACTGCAGACGATCATGCGGCCACACCACCGGCTGGAACGCGTCGCAGTACTCGTCGAAGAGCATGTTCAAGTGCGTCTCCAGGGCCTTGATTTGTGGATCTGCCGCTGCATTGTGTGAGGCGTCGGCGCCCGCACGCCGCTTCCACTTCCGAGCAAGCTCGCGCGTTCTGGCGGCTTGAATCTCGCGCTGTAAATGGCCGGATCGACTGGCGCTGGCAGCAGCAAGAGCTTCCGCATTTACTTTATGCCTCTGCTGCTGCTTGGGCTTCGGATTCGGCTTGGGCCTCCTTTTCCTCGTCTTGGCTCGACGTCTCTCCTGTTGTTGACGTTGCATTTGCTGCAATTGCACCGACGACTGGAAGCGCTCTCGCCACTCGTCACTCAGTACGTACCCGTACTCGTACTCGCCATCTTCATCTTCGTATTCGTATTCGTCTTCCTCCTTGAGCTCTTCTCCTTGATGAGCATCAACCACTGGGATGTGCCCTCCAGCAGGGATTGACTGGGCAGCAGGCTGGTAATAAGGTGTTGCCGGGGTTGCCGCCTGCCATTGCGCCGGTGCAAACGTCGCCGGAATGAGCCACTGCCTGCTCTGACGCCGCTGTTGCTCTGCAAACACCCGCGGCCAGGCCTCAGGGAACGGAAACGGCGGCGGAATGAAGGAGCCGTCCATCGACTCGATGCGCAGAGTGTAAGAAGTTGTTTTGGTGTGGTTCACCAGGTTAATGTAAAGCAAATTTCCGAAACATACATATACCGGCAAACCTGAGGTATTTCAACCCATAGGTTATGACACTCGATGGTATCATCACTTGAGCCAGTCAAAGGTGCAGTCACTTGTAGTGTTGGCACTTGCAATTTCACAGTTAATATCCGTGAAATTTAAATCAGGGTTATAAACTGTTAATAACCGTGCTCTTCCGATTTTCATATTTATCTACTCATGGACCAATTCCCGAGTCTTTTCGCCTTACAGACTAATTTCGCCGTCTAGGGGGGGGGGGGGGTTCGAGCGGCCGCGGCCCACTGCTCGGCCTCACAGCTCTATCGTCCAGAAGAAGGCACCCAGACAGCATATGCAGGAGGAGATTAACGGCCCGGTGATATCCATCGCGTCGAACGCCAAGCAGGTAGCGTTGCTCAAGTACGCCGGGCCAAGCAACTGGCAGCAGCAGCCGCAGAAGGCGAAGAAGTAGCAGCGACAGTAGGGCGGCGGGAGTGCCAAGGAATTCAAGTTCACCATGAACAGCTCGTGGGTCTTCACGCACGCCCACCCAGACCAAGATCGAGGGATACAGCAAGAAGAAGGAGGCTGACCAAGAAGGAGAATGGGTGAATTCAAGACCCCATATGCAGAAATGGACGCGATGAAGGTGCAATGTACTGTCCGCATTTTAACATTACGGGGGCTATATAATTAGGTACTGAGTATGTGACTTCGTGTCCTCTAGATGACGCTAATGTAGCGCTAGCCTCCACCTTGAGTTTGTGGCGATCTTAGAGGAAGACGCCGCCGCCCCTTTCGAGCACGCCGACGATGATGAACACGATGAGGCACGGCAGGAACGTCTTGGGGAGCGTAGCGCTCGTGAACGTGTCCGGCGCAACTGAGCTTGGCCTCGACCGCCTCCTGCACCCAGTAGGTCGGCAGCACCACATCCGTTGGCAGTGGCGGCCGTATGAGATCGCTCATGGAGGCGTAGTTCGCAGTGGTTGAGGCGGACAGCGCGTACGAGATCTGCAACCGCTTGCGCGCGCTCATGGTCCGGCCCGTGCCCGACGCGAGGTCCACGAACATATCGTACGCGTTGAAGTAGCTAAAGACCAGGTTGCCGTCCGAGTCGTATATGGTGTGGGTCGTGCCGTCGCTTTTGGCCATCTTCACGTCCTCCAGCAACGACGAGTCTCTATAGACGAAGAACGGGCCGGACTTGTACGACAGGAAGCCCGAGACGAAGCTCGGCTGGAGCAGGCCGTTCACGAGGATGACCGAGCCGATCGTGGCGTGCTCGTCCGAGTACGCGTAGACGTCGATCGCGGTGCCGAACCGGTGCAGCAACTCATCGTCGATGTCCGCTTCCGTGCTCAAGCTTGCGATGGAGGTGGAGATCTCGACCGAGCCCAAGTACTACGCGAAGCCGGCGATGGTGGTGTGCTTGGCCACGCCATTGATGGTCACACCGAGGGCTTGATGCCGGCTTTCGTTTGCGAAGAGGACGAAGGATAGCATGAACAACAATAGTATAAAATCTGTTATTAAAGAGCAATATCGAACATATATTATCTTGTTTCCCATGTTACCGCTCTGCGTACTTGAGAAGCTGGAGGGGTTCGAAACATATTCTGAGCTGGCGCTGCAGCTTCTTGCACGACTTCACCCGCTTCCTTTTCTTCGCACTCAGAGGTAATAGCAGTTACCGCCGCCCGGTGGTGGTTGCTAGCGACATTTTCATCTTCTTCGTCTTCGCTCTCATCGCTGATGTCGCTGTCGTCGTATGCATCTGGATAGAGCTGGTATAGGATATGGTTCACTTCGGATTTTCGCGCAATATTCGTATAAACGAACACAAGCTTGTTCACACGCTCAAGCGTGAGGCGATTTCGCAGCTTCGTGTGGATAAATCCGTGGATACTCCAACTACGCTCGCTGGACGCCGACGACGTTGGGATATACAACAGCAACTTTGCGAACTCCTGCACCAACGCGTAGGTGTTCGAGGTTTCTAGCGACCACCATGCGATCGGGCTGTAGGCGTTGTTATCTTCACGCGATTTACCTGTCCACGCAGACTTCATGAGGACAAAGTCTTGCAGCTGCTTGTGAAATTTCTCCGCCAACTCTGTCGGTACCAATTGCAAGTCCTGGGCAAGTTGCGCGGCATCGTTAATCAGTGCCTTGACCTCCAGATCGTTCGGATCGTACATGGTCTTGGTCTGGTCAAGCAGGTATGCAATTTTCACCGTCGGCGTGCATATTTTTCCTCGTCGGGCATTTATCAGCCCGAGCACCTCCGCTTGTAGCAACACGCTACAATCATCAAGGGGCTCGGTGTAGACTGGATGTTTGCATAGCCAACTAAACTGGTGATACACCAACGACAAGCTGCAGGCGTCGCGCTCAAACGCAGCGAGGCACTTGTTGACTGGCTGGATGAGCTTCAACACAACGGCAGTTTTTCGCCAGAAATCGTCATCGCGAAAAATAACGAGTGCCTCGTCTAGTGATGCTCCCTTGTAGTTCTTAAGCAGCGCCGTGTCCGAGAAAATAGCTGCAATGATGTCTTTGTTGTGAAAGACGTTCGCGACGCATTTTTCATGTGTATACCACCGCGTTGGCACTGGTAGCGAGAGGCGCCGCCGTTTTTCCCCTTTCTTTCGAAGCGCTTTTTGCAGATCGCAAAATCTTGACCACAAGCCCCGATGATCCTTGAAAAACCGAACCAGTTGTTTTGCACGGTCAAGCACATCCTTGAAAAAATCCAGATTGAAAATATCTTTCATCAGAAGATTCATGCCGTGCGCAGTACAGCCCGTACATACAAGTCCGACGCGCTGTTTTCTTACGAGTCGCCACGCCTTCTTCATGTTGGCAGCGTTGTCCGTCACTACTGAAGTGACTTTGCCTGAACCAATTACAGACTCGAACTCCAAAATGGTTGACCAAATTGTACCAGCGATATACTCTGCCGTATGAGCTTCAGCTTTTGAGTTGATCGACTTCCAAAATAAAGGTGGGGTCCGAGGGTTCACAAAAACAAAGTTGATAATGCTATCCCCATTTGTGTTGGACCACCCATCCGTAATGAGGCCAAGTTCGTTACGCCACTCTCCGTTATTCTCAAAATCAACTGAGTCTTCTCGCGGTCGTAAAGGACGTCCAGCAAACGCCCCGAAATTTGACGTCGAGAAGGCAATTCATAGTCAAACATAGCTTGGAAAAGAGGCTCCTCCACAACACGAAAAGGGATCCCAGTCGAAATAAGCCCAATTGCAACCCGCAAATAATTCTCTTCTTTGATTTCTTGGGCCGACTTCTTTGGTGTGGGTTGTGACGATGGTGATGGCCGCGGGGTCTTGCGCGGGCGAGATGAGCCGCTACTCCGTGGTGAATTCGTACCAAAAAGTCGCTTCGTCAATGTTGGCGTTCTTGGGCCCCGAGGCTTCGAAGGGGTTGTCAGCTTCGCCGCTTGCTTGTGTCGGAGGTCCGCTTCGTGGCGCCGCCACCGTTCCTTTGTCTCCTCGCCGATCTTGTCGCACTTGATCGTATGCTGCACCAGTTTCGCGACGGCTGCGCGTTCGGCACCACCATTTCGCAACCCAAGCACATGGCATCAGGATGGGGTTTTACACTCTTAATTCTGGGTGCGTGCTCACGAAACAAAGCCCAAATTTTGTGTTTCGGCGGAGCCATTGCGCCCTCCTTGCTGATGTTCACAGGTGTTTGCGGGACACACCACGGCTTTGGAGCAGTACGCACGAGGGTCTACGGTAACGGAGTCTGGAGGTTGGACACGTCAGAGTCGAGGGCAGACGGTCAGTCGTTCAGGCGCCGAGAAGGTCGCGCCTTGCACACCAGCAGCAGCAAGTTCACAAGGTAGTTGCAGTCGTTGAGGGGCACTGCCAGTTGCGTCGAGGAGCTCGCTGCCAACGACGAGTGCAGGTCGCGCGTCGTAGGTCCTACGCGCGTCGGCAAAGGCACCAGTTCGGCCAAGCAAGGGCCGGAGCAGGCTCTGGGGGGATCTATGTGTGAAGCCTCTAGATTCCGAAGGGGGAGCGGGGAAGACCGCCAAACTTCAATACCTCCCCTCTGTATTGCGCAACTTCGATATTCACAGTGAACATCAGCTGTGAATTACGTGTGAACATTCTTTTTAACTGAATGTAACCGTTAATAACTGGTATTTAAACGTGAATTGCCAACCCTAGACACTTGTCGACTTCGTTTTTTGCGCTCTTCCGCCCAACCAACGGACACCAACGAACTACGACCAACCATGTCTGCCACCGTGATCCCCTCGGTGGGGCCATCGATGGCTGAACACCTCCACGGCCTGCGCGGCGGTGCTCGACCTGACTTTTAGGAACCACTCCCCTCGCCTGCGCAGCTTCAAGAGCTCTTCGACCATCACCGGGCTGATGTTCCCCTTGAGGACTTCCTCCGTCGGGTGTGTGAGACTCGGCCTACTGGCACGGCCACTGCCACCTTTCCATTGATGCTTGACTCCGGCAACTTCTTCCAAGGGGTGTCGATGCCACGCATCATGGACTCTCTTATTCGTGACAACGGGAACTCGGTTCTCAAACGTCTACTGCGTGAGCATGCTTTCGGCGCGATCGACAAACGCCGAGATGGCGGCTTACGCATCCTGGTTCGCATAAGCGAAGCGCAGCAAGCTTTGAATGGCGAAGAGGTATCGATCATGGGGAGGAAGTTCCGGATTGGGCTAGAATCGCCTCTGGCTCAATGCTTCTTCCTTGATGTGATCGGCCTCACTACCGCGGAGGAGGCACTCACCGTGTTCGGGTCCCTGGCCTCTCGTGGGGCTAAACCTGTGTACTTCCGACCTGCTGCCGACGATAAGGTCTCAGGCCTTTGCTCTACAACGTGGCGTTTCTACTTTCCAGGGGTAGAGGCTCCACCAAGCCTCTTCCGCGATGGGAGCCTACGCTCCTACGTCCGTGTGGGGAGGAAATCCTACCGATGCTTCGGTAAGAATGACGCGTCTGGGGGCCGACCTCGCCGTCAAAACCCACCGGGGGAAACCCCGGCACTGCGTGTGCATCAGCGCACGAGAGAATCAAGTGGTGACGACGGACCCACGGCTGCAGTCACCGGAAACGCAGCTGCGGCCACGCCAGCTCCTTCAGATCCAGGACAGACTGTCGCTCCCCAGGAAGCTGTACCGTCGAGTCACTCACCCCAGCCTGAGGAGGGTGGTGGTCGGTGCGGTGGAGCCGGTCCACGATGACGAGGCAATGCTGGAGCAAGTCTCGGGGGGGGGGGGGAAGCGCGCTCACTCGCCGAGCCATTCTCCGCCTCGCTCCCCAACGCTGCGGGTTAAAAATCGCTTTAACGTGCTTGACGATTTCGACGGCGATGCCGACCTAGAAGTCGCCACAGCCAACGAGGAGGACGCTGTCATCTATCAGATTCTGCCTAGGGTGTCTGCAGCTACTAAAGCCCGAGTCCGCCACCGCTTCATGTCGAAGCGCCCAAAGCACTCGTCTGGTTCCCAAGACCCCGACGCCGATGAAGCCAGCACCAAAGCTCTGCAGGAACTCGAGGAGGCATCGCTAACAGCTCAAGCAGCAGTGGACGCCGACGCCATAGGGGTGGCCGAACGCCACGTCGAGGCGGTCAAGTTGGAGTTATCCAGGGCCAAAAGCGCGGAGAGTCTACTTAATTCGATAGTGGCGGCTCCTCATGCCTGGCAACTTGCACTCCAAGCTTCCGAGGTGGTCGATCAGTTCGAAGACTTCATCTCGCTACACGCTCTGAACCGGCAATTGCTCCGCCTGCCAAACGCCAGCTCCAAGTCGTTCACAGCACGGCTCGCGACTGTCGATCAGTTCCACTCTGGGTCCCGCTCTCAACTCATTGCCTCTATCACAGCTGCGGCAGGGTCATCCGAAGAAGGTCGCATTGGCTGGCTCCACGCGCGATGTGTCAGTCTCTTCGAGCTGCTATTGATTCTTATGGCTACTCACACGTTTCGAGACGACTCGTGGCTCGCCATCTTCGCCACCAGCTCCCCGTCCTTCTTGAAGCGTAAAGGGCTGCGTCTTCTGGCGGAAGCCACGCTGCGAGATCTGATCCACTCCAGCTACGGTGTCACGGTTGTCACGGAAAGCCTTCTTCGGCTGCCAGGCCTCGCCACTCTACTCGAGCTCTCTGGGTTGCAAGCTTCCGCCGACACGGTCTGGATGGACCTGACGCTGTCAGAGGTGAACCCAGCGGCGGCCGACCAGGATATGGGCCCCGACCGCAGCTAAGGTCTTGCCGGACTGGCATAACCTCAGCGTGCTCTCCGCCAATTTGAACGGGATATCTCCAACTGGCACGGAAGTGGCCCACCTCGCCCGGCGCCATGCCATTGTGTGTATCCAGGAATCCAAGCTGCGTGATGCGTCTCAAGCCTCGACGTTGCGTTTCGTGGTGGAGGCTTCGGCCAAGCGCAAAGCTTTCATCAATGACAGGAACGAAAATCACTCGGGCTCAAGGGCCACTCGTAGCGGTGGCATCGTGACGGTCATTGACCCCAGCTTACCCGGTTTATCATCTGCGGAGGAACTTGTTCAGCACCGTCGCGAGGGCAGATACTCAATCGTACGACTGGTTATCGGGCCTTCGGTGGTGTATATCCACAACATATATGCCCCCAATGACAGCAGGGAGCGCAATAACTTCTTCGCAACGTTACCTCGGTCTTTCCCTGAGGATGTTGTCCACATTGCGTGTGGCGACTTCAACTTGACGCTGAACCCCTCGCTTGACGCGCTACGACCCGCGTCAGACCCGAGCGAAGCTGAATGTCGGGACTGGATGACTGCCCTGGCACTGGAGGACTGTTGGCGGACCCATCATCCAGCGGACTATGTTTTCTCCGGGCCCACAAGGGCAAACAGGATAGACTACATCGCCGTCTCGGAGGACCTCTGCACTCATCAGTACGCTGACTCCGCGTACGTGAACCTGGACAAAGGAGGAGATCACCTCGGCGTCCAGCTCCAGCTAACCAGTTGGCATCATCCACACGGTCCGGCTTCGTGGCGAGTGCCCCGGTGGTTACTCGACAACGAAGGTATCCGAGAGGAAATTCGTACGGCGGCCGCCGAGCTGCTGCGTAGCCTCCCTAGCTCTGACAATCCAGGCGTCCTCTGGTCAGCCTGGAAATACCGGGTCCGTAAGTACCTCCAACGCCAATGCAGTTTCCTCCGCGCGCGAAATCGTCATGTTCACGACGCCCTTGTCCGCCGTCTGGAAAGGCTGTTATCGCTGCGAGCAGTGGACTCCTCCCCAGCGGTGGCCATCGCATGGTATAGTGTCAAGCGGGACGTCGAACTCATGTTGGAGGAACGTGAAGTCTACAGGAGAAGCTATCGATTTGACTATTTAGCGACTGCACTGGAGACCAACTCGTCGGCCTTCTTTCGTCCACCGGAGCCTGCGCGGCGGGTACCGCTCGATCGCGTCGAGCTGCAGGATGGGACCGTATCCACGGATCCGGCAACCGTTTACGAGACTTTCCAGCAGAAATGGGGCTGTATCTTTGGCGATAAACGATTTGTCACGGACTCACAAGACGTCGCTGTCGACCTGTCTGCTCAGGACCAGCTCGTCAATGCAGTGGAAGATGTGCTTGCACCAGCCGAGGCTCTGGACCTCGACAGCGAGTTCACCACAGAGGAATTTACAGAGGCGATCATTTCGATGCGGAGCGACGGTGCACCGGGCCCCGACGGATTAACGGCACGCTTCTATCAAATCGCTCCAGACATCTTTGGGGAAGTTTTGGCTCGGGTATTCGACGGTCAGTTCCAGCGCGGCACTCTGTTAAGCCACCAGAACCTTTCCGAAGTCTTCTTGCTGCACAAGAAAGGGTCGAGAGCGCGTGTGGAGAACTACCGACCGATATCGTTGATGCCAGTGGAGGTAAAAGTGCTCTCCAGGGTTCTCGTCGAGCGCTTAAAGCCTCTGATGCACAAGTTGGTCCATGAGGACCAGCAAGGTTTCATCCCCGGTCGCTCGCTCCATCACCACCTGTTGTTGCTTTTGGACCTGCAAGCCTTCTGCCAGTCCACGGGTCAATCGGGGTTCGCCGCTTTTCTAGACTTCGAGAAGGCTTACGACCGAGTCGATTGGAAGTACTTGCTTCGTGTCATGGAACGACAAGGGTTTGGTCCCCTCTTCCTCAAGTGGATCCACATTCTTTACTCGAAACCAGCTTGCTCCCTCATGCTGGACGGCTGGAGCCAACCCAAATTATTCCCGTCTCGTGGTGTGAAGCAGGGTGATCCGCTCTCGCCGTACTTGTTCCTGCTGGCAATGGTCCCTCTGGGAGTGATGCTTCGTCGTCAACCGGGCGTTGGTATCCCTCTGCCTATGCGCCGCATTGCTACAAGCCTCTTCTTCGCGGATGACTCGTTGCTCCTCGCAGCGTCCATCGAGGGGGTACACGCCCAACTTCAGACAGACCAAGTCTATTGCGCGGGCTCCGGAGCCAAATTAAATGCCTCCAAGTCTAGACTGCTTCCGCTGTCTGGCACCTCCGCCAGGATAACTTCGGCTCCGCTGCCGGTAGTCGCAGCCGATGAACGTGTTCGATACCTAGGCATCGACCTCGGGTATAATGTTAACGCCGAGGCCACGGAGCGGGACCTTGACCAGAAGCTAAGCCAAGCACTGCGACGATGGCAGTATCGCGCCCGCGCTTTCGAAGGCCGCAAACTGATAGTGACGACGATGGTACTCTCCTTGCTCTGGTACAAAGCCCTTCATCTCGTCATCCGTCCGACCACGATCCACAGATGGCAGCGCATGATCATTGACTTCGTCGTTTACAAGAAAGTACCACCCGCCTCAGCTCGGATCCGCCTTACCACCGCAGAATTAGCAGTGACTCCGACAGCGCAAGGAGGCCTCGGTGTCCCAGAACTCGCCTTGTTCCTCACGCGCCACAAGATGCGACTATTCCAAGAGTTTGCAGCGACGGTCGAATTGTCGACCACATCTACGATTCCGCTCTGGGCAGTTCTTCCCCTTTAGGCCGCCTACGGCGGTGAGATTTCACACTCGACCCGTCTCGACGACATATTCTACCTATCCGCCCGTGGTCGTCAACCTGGCCACGTCACGTCATGGTGGAAATGGGCGTGGCGCCAGTGGCATGAACTAGCTCCACGTATGCAACAGCCACCGATGCCCAACACCCTTCATCAACGCCGTCTTCTCCACGCGCCGCTGTGGTGCAGCATCCTGCCACGCTTGCAAATCCCATCAAGCTCACGAGACCATTTCGAACCTCTATCCGACGGACTGCCGACATTCCACGCCTTCTGCGATCAACTGGAGCGTCTCGGTTACCGGTCTCTCTTCGACTTTCTGGAACCTATTGAAGCCACTTTCTCTCTAGCTGACTTCATGCACTGGTTTCTCGGCCGCCATGAACTGTTCCGGTTTCGTGATGCCCACGCTTTGTTGATGAGAGTCTTTCAGAGACTGTCCGTGGTGATCCACGCCATTACAGCCAGCACCGGTGGTCTACTCGTCGTTCTCCAACGTCCAGACTCAGTCGCCGGTCTACTCGGCGTCATGACACAGTCACGCTTTCGGTTCTTTCCTCATCTCCGCAAGCAAGATTGGACCGCGCTCCTCCGTCCTCCGACCTCGGCATGGGAGTCTCGAGCCAAACGCCTTCATTGCGAAGTTAGCGCGCTCAAAGGTCACTCCAACCGACTGGCGCTAGTCAAGCGATGGATGCTGCCTACCACCTACGACATCCAGTTTCGGGTGCTCCATGAGCTGATACACGTGAACAGCAAGCGTTTCTTTCTCCAAACCGGACGCCGCGACCCGACCACCTGCCCCAGACAAGATTGCTACCAGCGCGAGAGTCTGGCCCACTGCTTTTGGCTCTGCTCACCAACTCAGCAGACGTGGTCTGCACTGGTCCCTGCTACTCCGTTGCACGCCCTCCTGGTTGGGCTTTCTCCTCGGGACCACGGAGCTGCTTCACTCGAGCTGGGCAGCGCACCACGAACTGGCATACGGCTTGTGGCTGATACTCCGCGGCATTTTCATGCGAGCCACCTGGATCAACCGAACCAACGACGCTTTCGGTCGGGAAGCTGCTAGCCCCAAGGTCATTGCTGCCGGCGTCAAGTCCTCCTTCATTGCCCATTTGCGCTCGCTCAACCGTCGACGCCACATGATCAAGGTCGACACAGCCACTCTGTACTCCTTCATCCAGCGCCTTGTCTCCGGCCCTGAGGATGACTCGACGAGCCGCTGCGCGGATACTCCACGCCCCAGAGTGCCGCCCATCGTTAAGTTGCATATTTCCGTACTTAGTCAAATCAGCATCAAACGAGGTCCACCCGTAATAGAACAACACCTTTCAAGCCAAGTCACTTGTCAACCAGCAGCTCCGATCCGACCGACATGCCGCCCCAGAAGAAGCGCTCTCGCGGCTCCGGCAAGGCGCCGCAGGACCCCAAGGCCGCGCAGAATGAGAACCACGAGGTGGAGATGATGGAGGACGACTCGGACAACGACAGCAGCGACGACAGCGACGACGACCTCACGTTCGCGGCGGCGCCCGACGGCGCGCAGGACGAGGACGACGACTCGGACGACGACATGGACGGCGGAGAGGCCGCGGCCGCCGCCGGGGGCAACGTCAGCGTGGACTTCCTCTTCTCGGACCCGCGCGAGGCCCATTTCCACAGCGTCAAGCAGTTCCTGCTGGCCTACCTGCCGCCGTCGCAGCCCTTCGACGTGTCGGGTCTGGCCAACGCCGTCGTGGGGCAGGTCACGGCCGGCACCATGGTCTGCGTGGAGGGCGAGGACGACGTCTACGGCTTCATCACCGCGCTGAACCTCAAGAGCTTCGCCGCCGAGACGAGCATCCAGCAGGTGCTGCAGTACGTGACCAAGAAGTGTCCGAGCGCGGAGCTGCCCAAGCTGCAGCAGATCCTCAACACCAAGAACGTGGGGCTCGTGCTCAACGAGCGCATGGTGAACCTGCCGTACCAGCTGGTGCCGGCGCTGCACTCGGCGCTGCACGAGGACATTGAGTGGGCCATCGAGAACGAGGATACGGAGGAGCTGCGCAACAGCTTCAAGATGGACTACTTCTTGATCCTGGCCACGTGCACGGAGGAGAAGAGCGGCAGCAGCGGCTCCAAGAAGGGCAAGAAGTCCAAGACGGCCTACGAGCAGACGGCCAAGTTCTTCCACAACTTCGAGGACGAGTTCCTGGAGCAGGAGGCCGAGATCAGCTTCTCGTTCGACACCCCGTTGACCGAGCGTGAGCGCGTGGACAAGAGCAGCAAGACCACGGTCGTGATGCTGCTCGAGCGCGAGAAACACAAGGCGGCGTTGGCCAGCATCTCGGTCATGATCAACGTGTAATTAGAATATTTAGCGCTCGCGTTTGACCCCCGCCGTGCCTGTTTGGTCCTCTATTATCTTCTACGCGTGACTGTTCTTTGCCATCCAGTCTTTGGCAAGGCCGATACTTGTTCGGAGATGACGCAGCTCTTCCTCCTCTTCGGGCCGAAGAAATCGACGACTTAAAAGAGACGTCGGTTGCCGCTTTCTGGAAGTATCAGCCCCAACAGGAAGGTCGTTATTGCTCGATCTGTTCGCTCTGGCTGGGAAGTCCTCGTCTTCGTCTCGTGCTTCGAGGGAGATGCCGTTTCTCCAGTACGAAGGACCCTTTCGCAATGGCGACAATGGCGAGGCTTGCCATTCCTCGGCCTCTCGACGGCTTGGGCTGTGCTTTCCGGGCAATCGACTGGAACTCGGCGATGATGTTCGTTTGTGCTTCGCCGCGACCTTCTTATCGCTGCTGCGACGATTTGGAGTGGCCAGCTCGCTCTTGACACGGGTTAACGACTCGGGTGAGAATGCTGCAAGTTTTTCCTCTAGCGCTTGCAGCTTTGCTCGCTGCTTCGAAACTGGAGATGTCGGCACTGCGTACCGGGGAGAGCGAAGTGGATTGTGTCCAAGTGGCCAGACGCCTTGGTGCCGCCGCGCTTTGGTCGAGCTTGCAGAGCTACTCCCTGTCGATATGGAGGTGGAGTCGCGTTGCTCGTCCGTCGCCCCACTGTGCGTCATGGCTAGATCTTTCAACAATGCTTGCTGTGTCTGATCTTGCAGCTTCTTGGCTGCTGCTAGGATGGTTGCATCGCATTCTTCTTGTCGTTTCTGGATCGAGGCATACATTTCGTCTTCAATCTCGGCAACCTTGTTGAGATATTGCTGCTGGAAGACCTCCAGGCGCAACGCATAGCTCTGCGTGCGAGTTAAATAAACAAGTCGATAAGTCGAGATAGTACGAGACAATGGCATGCCCATGCGTACCTCCCGGATAAGTTTCACTTGACTTTCCAGCGCGCGCTCTTCCTGGTTTTTGACAAAGTGGAGCTCGTCTACCGCTTGCTCCAGCATACTGTGCACCTGGTTGGCAGCTAAGCGAGATCATTAGAATCACTGTGTTGAGAAGTTACAAACCAGAGTGACATACTTGAATCGCGCTGCGCTGAATGCCGCTTCATTTGCTCCCACAGAGAGTTCATGTGCTGGTCAATAGCTGCTTGTAAGGGCCTTCCCGTCTTAACCGGCTGAGTTAGCCTATCAACCGCTCTTGTATCGCTGGTTACGCTGGCATCGCTTGAAACACTGCCTCTCCGACGATCTACAGAGTGATGTCGCTCTCCCACACTGGCCCTAGACGGCTCTCGGTCCTCCCGCGACTTCACTCTACCTTTGGGACTGCACCGTCGTTGCTGATTGCGGTCTTTTGTCTTTGACTTAGGTGGACGATTGAGGAAGATGCGACGCAATCGCTTGAACTTCTGCTGTGCCTCGCTCTTCCCCTCGAGCCCCAGATCGAGACCGTCGCTGGATACGTCGCTGTCACTGCTGCTTTCGACCTCGCTTTCGCTGCTTATGCTGCTGCTACTGTAGCGTCTGATACTTCGGTCATCTGTAAGGTGTGCGCTCCGTCCTGTCATGGTTGAGGCAACACGAATTGTTGTCAACTGTAGCAGCACTGCTGTTTCGTGCCCTTTCGAGCCAAAACTGACGTCACATATGTACCATTTCACCGGTACAAGTTGAAGTTGTATGATCCGATCGATCAAATCGACGCCTGGTCTCAAGCTTTCTCCTAGCTTATCCTAACGGGTGTTCTTACTGTCTGCTACGTAAGTCATGAGTTTACTGGGCGCGTTTTTCGCATACGCGGGGCTGGTCGTGGTGCTGGTGGGGCGGGTGGTGGTCAAGCTGCTGAGCATGGGTGCGGCTCCATTCGCGGGACTGAACCAGAGCGTACTGGGCAAGCCCCAGGTCGAAGTGCCAGACGCGGACAAGCAGCTGCTGGGGGCCGAAAGCGTCGACGAAGCAGTGCACAAGGACCTCGTGGACGAGTGGGTCGACGTGTCGGACGAAGAAAACTGGGAGCCTGGCGCGCGCAACCTGCTGGATGACGCCCAGAAGCCAAACCACGAAGCCCCCGAGTCCTGCACGGAGGACGAGCTGATCGAGCTGAGCGACGGAGAAGAGATGCGCTCGCCGATCTCGTCCCTCTACCCGGTCAAGCGAAGCAGCTCCTCGCTCTCCAACCACGTCTCCGAGACGGTCTCCGCTCCAACAGCATTGGCCAACACTACAGCAACGCCGCTCCTCTGAGAGAGAAACTTACGCGCAAGCACATAACGGATTGGAATGCTATGCTAAGAGCTCAATGCCAACGAACCACGCCATCATTGCTGTCATTGTTCGACCAGGTCGGTCAGCTTTGATGTCTCCTAATTAGGAGTCACTTTCATTTTCCTCCAATCACAAGCGTTCGTAGCTCCTCGCAACGTGGCATTACACATTGGGACGACCATGGCGCGGAGCTCCGTGAAGCGCTCGCTGCTGGCGTTCTTCGTGGCCGTGATCGTGGCCATCGCCTGCATGTTGGTGCTGGCCGTCCAAGTGCCCAGCGTGGTGGCGGCGCACGCGCATTCGAACGACTTCAAGCGCTCCGGGATCGGCGAAGTGGTGGACGAAGACGCGGACGAGGACGAGGAGGACGAGGAGTGGGACTTCATGGACGACGACGCCATCTTGGGGCTCTCGGAGCGGCACAACGCGGGGATTGGGGCTGACACTCAGACCACCAAAGAGATCTGCGTGGCCTCTTTGCCCGCGGAGCGCGTGGACGACGACTACTGTGACTGCGAGGACGGCAGCGACGAGCCCAACACGTCGGCGTGCTCCCACGTGCTGCTGAGCTCGACAACGCCCCCGTTTGGTCGGGAATTCAGCTGCAAAGCTGACAACAAGCAGGTGTCATTGGCCGCTGTGGCCGACGGCGTGTGCGACTGCTGCGACGGCAGCGACGAGAGGGGGGGACTGTGTGCTGACACTTGTCAGACGGAGTGGCAGGAGAGGCTGAAGAAGCTAAAAGAGAGGCTGCAGGTGGTGCAAAGCGGGTATAGAACGCGGAAAGGATACCTGGCGCGTGCTGTGGACACGGTGACGAAGCTGAACGAGGACTTTGAGCGCCTTGCGCAGTCGTACGAGGCAGGGCAGAGGGCGTTCGAAGACCTGCAGCAGCGCGCGCAGCACAACCCGGAGCTGCGTGGACACCTTGAGCAGTCGTACCATGTGCTGCGCACAGTGCAGTACGTCATGTACGTCCAGAACCGTGTCGTTGACCGCAGCACATTCACAGACGCGGCCTGGAAGCCTGCGTTCGTCGAGCTTGTGGGCAAGTGTTTCTCGTACACGGTGGACGAGAAGGAGCTGAAGGGCGGGACTCCCAACGTCATCCCTCGCAAGTATGAAATGGTGCTGTGCCCGTTCCAGAATGTCTCGCAGGCAGAGCCGTCGTATCCACAGTGGACTAGGGCGGAGCGTCAAACCAAGGTCGGAGTTACTGCGGCGGACGAGGAGGAAGAAGAGGTCCCACGTCCTATTGGTCTGGGCATCTGGAACGAGTGGCAAGAGTCGACAGACTTCGCGCGTGTGCAGGACTACAACCACGGCGAGCCCTGTGCTGACGGACAGGAGCGTCAGACACATGTGGAACTTTCGTGTGGTGCTACCAATCGCGTTGTTGCGGTGGAGGAACGTGAAATGTGCGAGTATGAGATCCGCTTCGAGACGCCTGCAGCTTGTGAGTCGAGAGAAGAAGAGGCGTTGCTGGACGAAATCACGCTGGTCCAGCGATTCCCCAGGCAGCAAGAGCAAGGAGCTGCTAAAGTAGAGGGTCACGAAGAACTATAGAGGTAATAGAACCGTGCGTGGAGTTGATCAACATATCCGATTGCGCTTCCGGAAGATGGCTACATTAGCCACAATTACCTAACATGGCTACTACTACTGTACATCTGTAGTACAAAATAACCTCAGCCGAGGTTTTTCCAAGATCCCTCTCCAAGAACACGGCTCACCTCTCCTTACAAGAGCGCCGCATCAGCCCCCCTCCAAGAGAACACAACTTTGCGAGCCAAAGCACGTGTGCAAGGCTCGAGCCGACGGACGTTGCGCGCGGACGGCGATATCTCCCCTCGCAGAGCAGCTCCGAGCGCGCACTAAGTCTCATCGTATCCTCAACGTTCCCGCGCACCTTCCGACCCCACCAGATCAGCCATGAGCGGCGTGGAGAGCCTGCTGCTGGAGAGCGACGACGAGGACCTCGGGGAGCTGGATCTGTCCGCCATCACGCTGGAGGAGATCCTGCGCGAGGAGGAGCTGGCCAATAAGAGCGCGGAGGTCGCGGCGGACAGCGATGCGGACGAGCTCTTCTTCTCGCCCGCCACCTTCACGCTCAACATCGAGCCGGGCCCCGGCATGGACGTGATCCCCGCGGCTTCTACCGGTTCTACCGCCGCCGGTTCTACCTCCGCTTCTACCAAGACCGAGCCCGCGCACTTCCGCACGCCGCTGGAGATCGCGGAGGCGCGCGAGAAGCAGCTGCTGAGCTGCGTGGGCGTGGAGCTCATCTCCCCGTTGCAGGTCAAGCGCCGCCTGCGCGCGCACGCGCGCTCCAAGGCGCTCAAGTCGCGCCGCGAGGGGCTCGTGGCCATGAAGAAGAACCAGCGGAAGAAGCAGATCGCGGAGGGCGCGGGCGCCGCTGCCACGGCCACGGAGAAGAAGTCCACGGGCGTGGTGAAAGTGGAGCCCATGGAGGCCATCAGTCGCCAGCTGCGCAAGAACATCGAGTTCAAGGAGTACGGCCCCGGGTCGCCCACGGTCGTGGCCATCCACTCCAAGTTCATTGCCATTGGCACGTCCAAGGGGCTCGTCATCATCTTCGACCACTTCCAGAACATCCGGCAGGTGCTGGGCAACACGAACGACGCGGACGGAGACGGCCCCGTCACGGCCGTGGACGTGTCGCCCGGCAGCGACTACCTGGTGTGCGGCTACCAGAGCGGCCGCATCGTGCTGTGGGATATGATCAAGGGCACGTCGCTCAAGGCCGTGTCGGACGCGCACGAGAACCCCGTCGTGAGTCTGCGCTTCCTGAAAGACCAGAAGCCCGTGCTCGTGTCTGTGGACACCAACGGACTCGTGAACAAGCTCAACTTCTCCAAGATGATGGGAATGGTGTACGTCGTGGACGTGGATCCGCTCTACGACGGCTCGGCCGGCAAGATTCTGTCCATCTCGGTGCTGCCGCAGTCCGCGGGCAACGCTAAGATCTCGTACCTCACGGACCAGTACTGTCTGGCTGCGCTGAGCACGGAGACCGTGACGTTCATCATCGCTATCGAGCCGGAGGTTCGCGTCATTTATCGATGGGCAAGGCCTGATGACATTGCGCCGGATGATCCCGTGCTGCCGACATTGGCGTTTGCCTGGATCTCGTTCCCTGGAAGCTCAAGAGCGCTGGCGCCCGTGCTCGCGCGTGGATGGGGCAACCGCGTGCAGTTCCTGGAGGTGGTGTTCCCTGGCGGCAAGAACCACTCGCACGCGCGCCATGGATTCCCGACGTTCGACGAGCACGACCAGATCGAGTCCTCCAGTGCAGTTATGGCGGTGCAGTGGCTTGGCGACCAGGTGGTGGTGTACTTGAACTCACACGATGAGATCTGCGTGTACGACGTGATGTCTCGTCAAGAGCTGGAGATTGTGGATGTGTCGTCGCTGGAGCTGGTGTTCGCTTCGTACCGTGGCAAGAACGCGCGCAGTTTCTCCAACAGTTTCCGTGGTTGCTACAACATTTTGTATCTGCTGGGTCTGAAGGAGTTGCAGACGGCGCGCGTGCTGCCGTGGACGCAGCGTATTGATTTGTTGGTGGATGATGGAGAGTGGCTGGAGGCGCTTGCGCTAGCGCTTGACCACTATGAGGGACTAAAGATCGCTGCCGCGGATCGGGCGGCAAGAGATCGGTTCCCGCCCGTGTTTTTCCGTGACAAGCAGAACGACCAGTGCCTTGTGGATATACTGCACATGTGTCAGACCAATCAGCGCACTGGCGAAAAGGAGGATGTTTTCCGACATGAAGAGAGCGCTGACGAGGTTCGTTGGGTCTGCGGCGAGGTTCCGTACCCACCAGATATTGCCAAGAAGCTCGAGGAGACTCTGCAGAAGGCTCGCAGTGGACAGGTGACAAAGAATTTCGTGCCTATCAGTGTGGCTGAACGCGTGGCAGATCTGCTCATGGAGTACGTTCGCCTTGCTATCGCTAACGCCCCAGGCTCTATAGCTGCTGCGGGAGGAGAGCTAAGCCTGAACAAAATCGGAATGAAGCTGGACTTGGCGAAGAGCCACTACCAAATGCTGGCAGGTGTTTGCATCGAGTACTGCGCGCTCATTGGTCGCACAGACCTCCTTTTCGGCGAGATCTACACACGGTTCAAGGAAGCGAACAAGCTCAGCGTGCTCATCGAGTTGCTGGAGCCTTACATTCTGTCGGAGAAGCTGCGCAGCCTTTCGCCGGTAGCGATGGAGGAGTTTGTCAGGCACTTCAGTGAGCAGGGTAAACTTGCTCAAGTGGAGCAGTGCCTTCTGCACCTGAATGTGGCTGAGCTCAACGTGGACACTATTCTCAAGCTCTGCCACGACCACGAGCTGTACTCAGCGCTCATCTACATTTACAACGAAGGAATGGACGACTACACGACTCCCATCGATGTGCTACTTGAGGCTTGCTCCGAGGCGAAGGCTTCAAAGTCAAAACTCGCTGCGGATCCGGCTCCAGTTCCTCGAGCTACTCGTGCACCGTCCGGTACCCATGTGAATAGTTTGGCATCGGCTTTTGGTGGCACCACTCGCACGGCCAGCTCTAAGATTTCGATTGCAAAGCCTGCCGGCTTGTCGGCGCGCGAGAAGGCAGAGGAAGAAGCACTCAGTGGCCCACGACGCCGACGTTTGTATGGGTACAAGTTGCTCTTGTACATTTCATACGCCTTGAGCGGTCGTACGTTCCCGAAGCACGAGCAGATCTCGCCCCTGAAGTTAGGAAAGGTGCGCTCGCAGATATGCTACCACTTGTTCGAGAAGGAGGTGGCAGGCTCCTCAATCCCGCGACCGTACCCGCGACTTGAGACGCTCATTGATCTTGATGCGCGTGAGCTCTTCAACATCATGGGACGTATGTTTGACACCCCGAGTGTTGAGTTTGAAGGCGAGAAGAAGGACGGCACGGATCGCCCTACGAGCCGATACGACTCAGCCCGCAACGCGGAATTGACGAAGTGTCCCAGCCGTCTGTCGATCGTGCTTTCCCTTGCCGAGGTCATCTTTGGCCCCAATAGCCCTTTCAGCTCAGTGGAGCATGCCCACTTCTTCATGTTCGAGGCTCGTCTTCTCAGTGGTGGCTCTATCGAGCCGCAGGAGTACGCGGACGCCCGTGCTAATGCTATCGGTGATGCTGGCTCCAGCAGCAGCGGCGCCTCGATGATGGATTCACTGATGAACTTCTTGGCCCTTGGTCCTGCTTCACTGCTGTCCAAGGGCTCCTCGGCGGTCTCTGCTGAAACCTCACAGGAGGAAGGTTTCGACAAGGCTGGTCGCGAAGCTATGCTGGTGCGTCTGTTGACCAAGTTGAGCAAGGCCACGTACAACCACGAGGCTTTGTTGGAGAGTGTCATCCGAGAGAAAATGAACCGCGCGGCCGTCTTGCTGTACAAGGATATGGGTGACTTCAACCAGGCTATTGCATCTTACCTGGCCGATGAAGACCACGAGTACCAGATGAATGCCTTTAGCTACATCCGCGTAGAGACTGACAAGGCTGTTGATGGCGAAGAAATGGAGGGCCGCGATAGTAACGAAGGCGAACCTACTCGTCGTCGTCGGAAGGTTATCGAGGAGGCTGTGCTCAACCACGCCCCTGCACTCATGAAGACGGACGGCTACGCGTTCGTGACGCTGATTCTGGGCCAGTTCCCGAACCTGAACAACAAGGTCATCCAGAAGTTCCTGTCCATGGGCAAGGGAGGTGCTGAGCTCGAGTTCCTGTACCTCAAGCAAGTGCTCATGGCCGCGTCGGTCACGAGTGGCGGCAGCGCGAGTGACGAGGCTGATGTTGTTAAGGACCTGCTCGATCGTTCAAAGCTGCGCATCGCCGATGATCCTGCAGTGCAGGAGCGCTTCGTTCGTCTTCTCTGCGAATTTGAACCAGCCGGAGTGTTCCCGTACCTGGAGTCCCACGACAGCTACAAGGTGGATGCGTGTCTGCGTCTTTGCAAGGAGTTCGCTATCACAGACGCAGAGGCGTATCTGCTCGAGCGTACGGGTGACGTCACCGGCGCCCTTACGCTTATCCTACAGAGCTTGGAGCAGAAGCTCAAGATCCTCAAGCCTGCTCTGCGTGGATACAACGTCTCCGCTGCGTCCTCATCCTCCACGACAGCTTCTGACATGCTGTCGAGCACTGCCGGTAATGGCAGTGGTACCAGCGGTGCCGGGTCGCTCGGATCAACGTCGAGGCACCAGTCCGACCGCGTCATCGACAGCGTTCAGGAGGGCAAGGACGCCATGAAGACGCTGGAGGTGGCACTGACGATGTGTCAGCGTAACTCTCTGCGTAACCGTGACGAGCAGGCCGAAAAACTTTGGTTCACGCTGCTGGACAAGTTGCTGCGTATCCAGAACTCGGTGAAGCGCAGTCTTGGCTCGAAGAGCTCGTCTCGCAACGTTCCTGTCTCCCGAAGCGGTAGTAGCAGTGGACACAGCGCGATGACCGCCTTCCAGGTGGCGCTGAATGAAATGATCCGGTTCATCCTGGAGCGCATGGCGTCGTCGGTGTCACTCAAGTCGATCCTGTTCAAGATTACGAACGAGCACGGCCGTGGTGCCTTCGGTGACTTCCGACCCACGATCTTCGGTATGCTGGACACGTACAACTACGAGCAGAACATTTACCAGACTGCCAACGCCCTTATCAGCGTGGACCTGTTCGACCAGATCACGACGCTGAAGCAAGCCAAGTCTCGTTGCTACGCGCCGCCGTCAAATGTGTGTGGGTACTGCCATGTTGCGCTGTCCAAGCCGCCATTCGGTATGGGTCAATCGGGCGCTCCTGGCACGGAGAAGTGGCACCTGCACACGTCGATGGTGCTCGTGATGTCAGGCCAGACCTTCCACGAGTCTTGTGGTAAGGCCTGGCAACAGGGCGTGGACACGAAGACGCCGGCGGCACGTGGAGCTGCGGGTGGCAAACTCTCGCGGAACAACAGCTCAGTCAGTAGCATGACTAGCGACGGATTGGCCGGAGAGGACGAAGCAGGCAGCCGTCTGCAGCGCAAGCAGCCCAGCACAAGACGATACCTGGCGCGACTAAAGACCCAGCGCCGAGCATCGCGGCGGCAGGTGTCGCCTCACGTGGTGTTAGAGAGTCTCATCCGCGAGGACAACGGACGCAACAAGTACCTCAAGAGCTCGCGTGCAGTCTTCTCTCTGCGGCCGGACCCGGAGGTGGCTGCCAGCAAGGTCAAGAAGCGCCTCGGAACGCGCAAGCCTGGCTCGCTCCCTGTGGCGCCCATCCAGAAGGGCAGCATCTAAGGCGACGACGATACTACTAGTATGTTGTAATGAGGGGGCTGATGAGAATGTGTCCAAACACTGTTGTGCATGTTTTAGGGATAAGAGGAGAATGAAATGGATCGGCGGGCTGTGTGCGCGTGGGTCGCTTGTGCTTAGATGTTAACAGGGTCGTGCTGGAGAGCCGCGGTTATTTTCTCTTGTGTGGTCGAACGGCAGCATGAGCGACTCTAAACCCGCCCCAAAGGCTGGAGGAAGTGTCATCTACAGCGTTGGTTCGTGGCGACTTGGTGACGATGGATCCATTCACCGGCGTGGGCGGCTGAAGTACTCGAGTGGGGACGTGTACGACGGCGAGTGGGTCGACGGCAAGCGTCACGGCCAAGGAGTGCTTACTTTCGGTTCGGGCGGTAGCTATACGGGTGAGTTTGTGAACGATCTGTTCGAAGGCTTTGGAGTGTTGCGCGTGCCCAAGGCGCAGCACCCGTTGACGAAGCAATGGCTGCGTGGAGAGAAGTATGAAGGAGACTTCTTTCGAGGGCTTAAGCACGGTCACGGCACTTGGCAGACCCGCAGCGGAGACCAGTATGACGGTGAACTGAAGCAGGGATTGTACGACGGCCGAGGAGTCTGCGTGTACGGGGCGTCGGGTGATGTGTACGACGGGGAGTTTGTTCATGGGCTGCGTCACGGGCGCGGTGAGTTGCGCTTTCGCAACGGATCGACCTACAGCGGCGGCTTCCGGCTCGACAACTTCCACGGCTTCGGTCGGATGTCGTATGGATCTGGGGGGATCCATGGCACATACGCTGGGGAGTTCGTGGACGGTAAAAGGCATGGACAAGGAGTGCGCACCTATGGCAATGCGGAAGCTAACAAGGCCAATAGGAGACGATACGAAGGTGAATGGGAAGACGATGAACCTCACGGTACCGGCGTCCTCGAGCGTGATGGCTGCACTGCGGTGGGGATTTTCGAGCGAGGTCTGCAGACAGGTCCAGGAGCGATGCGCTTTGCCAATGGTGATACTTACGACGGGAACTTTGAGAACGGAGATCTCCACGGTGAAGGCCGCTACGTGTATCGGGACGGTGGAGTGTACGAAGGTTCGTTCGTGCGGTCCAAGCGTCATGGCAAAGGCACGCGCGTGTTTTCTAACGGCGATCGATACGAGGGTAACTGGGTGGACGACCAGATGCATGGGCGAGGTGTGCACACGAGCACAGTTATTGTGAAGCCTCGAAGCAAGAGCAAGAAGAACGGCGGGCGTGGGGTCTTGGTGTACGATGGGGAATACTGCAATGGACACCAAACTGGCGAGGCTCGCATCGTCTACGAGTTCACGCCGGAGACGGAAGAAAGACCACAGACGCCAGAGCCTGAGCAACACAAGCGCACAAATTGGGAGTGGAATGGCGAATACGAGTTCCCTGAGGACTCCGGCTGCTGGCATCGCGGGCGAGGCAAGACAACCTATGAAGGGGGCGTCCTTCGCGGCCGGTTCCACGGCCAAGGCGCGTTGTGTTCACCTGATGGGAAGTTGTGGCGTGGAGAATGGGCCCACGGACAGCTTCACGGTCACGGCGAGCGTGTGTACCTCCCGCTGGAGTTTGATACGCTGATGACCAAGGACATGCTGGAGAGGGACACCCCTGGCTTGACTTTGGCAGCAGGGGGTCCGATGGGGCTGTATGGAGTGGCGCAGTACGTTGGAGAGTTCGTAAAGAATGTGCGGCATGGTGAAGGCGAGCTGCTGTATACGAATGGGTATCGTCTTCGTGGGAACTTCGTGAACGGCTTCGTTGAGGGTGTGGCGTGCTATGGTTTCGGCGGACAAGGTCAAAACGCTCGGTGGCGATACGGAGAGTTCGTTCGGGGCGAGCGCAAGCGATGGCTGAGTGAAGAAGAGGAAGCAACGATAGTGAAGCGCAAGAAGGACAAGGAAGACGCAGAAGCACGTCGGCAATACCTGCTACGAGCGCTGGTGTCGCAATAGGGCCATAGCGTCGCGCATGGTTTCGCGCTTGCTGTTTCTCTTGGATGGGAATGGTTTTACTACATGTACTATGTAGCTCGACAACTGTCAACCGGTTGAGTCCTCAACAACTTGTACAGTAGATCATATAACGACCGCGTAGCTTTCTACTGACCATGTACGGTGCTGCTGCGTGTGATGAATCGTTTGGCATTACTCGAAACCTGGACGGGATGCGAGAGGCATTCCTAGCCGTTGTCACGGGACGAATTAAACTCGATGTTCGGGGGTGCACGTCTGGACCAAGTACTTTCATGGGGTCTGTTCCGAATCAAGGACGCTTTGCTCGGGTGTCCTTACATACTGTTTCTGATGCTGGATCGAAGTGGCGCGCAGTGGCCTGAAATCGTTCTGGACCAAAGCCGAAATGACCGGCAGGGGTGGGAGCGATTGAACTCGGATGCTGAAATGGATTGCATTTATCGTAGACGCAATGCATCTTAGCTTCATATCATGGTGCAAGTAGCATGCACTGCTCCTTCGGTCTTGGTTTTTTGGCGAGAACATGCATACCTAGGCGAGCGTTCAGTACAAACACTGCCAATTGAAGAACTAAAGAAGTTCGTCTTCAACGAGTACTCGCACTACATGTAATTTTAAGCGGTGTTGTTCTGCTAGCACAGAAACTTAAGTAATTGAGCCGTTGCCGCTATGCTATGGTATCGAATGCGGGGCACATGAACCTCTCGGTAGCGCCCTCATAGCGCAAGTGCCACGCAAACTTCTACATGTAGTTTTGTTAACTTTTCGGTTGTTGCCTCCTCTCTCACGACCGTCGACGTTTCCGGTTCTCGTACTTCTGGTCGAACTTTCGTCGCAGGTTGTGCGGGAGGTTCTCGGCGGGCTCCCACGTGAGGTCGTCGTAGCCGACCCACTTGACCTTGTACTGGTACGTCTTAAGCCTCGTGGTGGGGTCGCGCTTGCTGCGGCGATCCACGATTTCCTCCACCGTGTACACGTCTTCGCGCACGGGCTGGCCCTCGAACTCGTCGATCAGGTCCTTGGAGATGTTGGTGGCGGGCTCCCACGTGGTCTCCTCGTAGCCTTCCCACTTGACTTCATACAAATCCGGGTCGCCGTAGCTGGCGCCGGCCTTCTTTCGCAGGATCTTCTCCACCTCGTACACGTCCGGGTCGTCCGTGTCGAACATCTCGTTGGGCTCGTCGTCCTCGTCCGAGGACAGTACGATCTCCTTGGGTGGCAGGTTGCCCGAGGACGCCTTCTTGCGCTTCTTGGACCTGCTGTCGCTGTCCGAGTCGCTCGAGTCGCTCGAGTCGGACGACGACTCCTCGCTCGTGCTGCTGGACTCTTCAAGGGACAGCACGTCGTCGTCGCTGTCCAGCTGCACGTGGCGCTTGCGGCCGCCGCCAGCGGAGGACGCTCTGGTCTTGCCGCTCTGCTTGCTCTTGGCCTTCTTCTGCTTGGCGGCAGCCTTCTTGGGCTTGGCCTTGGCCTTGGCCTTGTCCTTGCCTTTGGCCTTGTCCTTGCTGGCGCGCTCGCGCTCCTTGGCCGCGGCCCTGTCCTTCTTGCGCTGGCGCTTGCGGCGCCTCCGGTCGTCGCTCTCGGCCGCGCTCTCGCTCGTGAGCTGCGCGTGCTTCTCCTCCTGCAGCTGGCGCTCGCGCTCCTTGCGCTCGCGGCGGTCCGTCTCCCTGAGCGAGTCCATGCTGATCTCGGCCGACAGCGGCTGGTCCTCGGCCGGCTCGTACGCGCGCATCCAGTCGCGGATCAGCGCGAGCTTGCGCGAGTCCGGGCCCACGCCCTCCAGCAGCGGCACGGCGCGGATGGCCGCCAGCGAGAGCTGGTCCTTGGCCGTGTTGTACAGCCCCAGCGACTCGGGCAGCTCCTGGCACATGGTCACCAGCGCGCGGTCCATCAGCACCGACGACTCGTCCAGCGACATGGCCGCTCGGCTACAATTACCCTATGTACTGTAGTGTGTATTAACTAACACAGATTATTTACTGGAAGGTCACTTCAAATTATGCTGGTTTCATCAAAATTAAATCCGCAAGTGGCCCAAGCCACCCCATACTTTGATGGTGCCCTCGGAAGCATCTAAAACATGCTCTGCACGTTTTCACGCTGTGGTTGCTGCTAGTTCAGGCGTCATTAGCACTCCTATCTTCCTAACCATGAGACCACCCCTTAGCTGTCCATTTTCGATACTCAAGCTCAGTTGTTTGAAGGGTCGAGCATGCGCTATTTTTAGAATCGACTCGATAGCAGCATTATCAGTGAAGTGGTTGCACATCATAGCATGCTCTGCTTTTAATAATGCTCTTCCTCCTAAGTGCAATTGCGTATCATTTAGAGCACACGCAGCGCTTTCCAACGATGTTTTTATCCCCATGTGGAAGGACCTAACGGATTTAAAGACTTTTGACCTAGCATAGCAAAAGGCGGCTTTTCGTGACCTTCCAGTAAATAATCTGTGATTAAAATAGTGACTGGCAAAAAGTTACTCGTTCGTTCACATATAACTGCAACTATAACGGCTACGAAACGTTGGTAACACACGTTAGAACTGCCCCATACTGTCACCTGTCGCTATTGCCTGGCGGAGATGGCGCCGTGGACGCTGGCGCGGCTGGAGCGCGTCGTGGAGGGCTTCTCGGCGCAGCTGCAGTGCGCCATCTGCCTGTGCGCGTACGACAACCCGGTGTCGCTGCCCTGCAACCACTGCTTCTGCGAGGAGTGCATCCACCGCGCGCTGGAGCTCAAGGCCGTGTGCCCCATCTGCAAGACGCCGGCCAAGAAGCGGCGGCTGCGCTACGACACGACGGTGCAGGAGCTGCTGCGCGCCACGGAGATGCTCTGCGCCGCGCCCGACGCGTCGGCAGCGCCAGCCGCGGAGGCGCCAGCGCCCATCAAGACCGAGAAGACCGCAGCAGCTCCAGCTCCAGCTCCAGCTCCAGCAGCGTCAACAGCGCCAGTTATGGAGCTGGACGCGGACGAGAGCGACGCTGCAGAGCCGCCGAAGCAGGTGAAGAAGGAGCCGATACAGGTGCAAGTGGCGTCGCCTGCTGCCAGAGTGAGAGCGAAGGTGAAGGCGACGACGGCGACGCCTGAGCGACGGTCGTCTCCGCGACGAGCTGCTGCGACCAAGCGCCTCTCCAGCTCGCAGACCAAGAGCCCGTCGACGCAGACGCTGATGGACGCGTGGGTGAGCTCACAGCCCCGCAACGGCGTCAAGATCAAGACGGAGAAGACGTCGACTCCAGTGGCGACGCCCGTGAGGAGGTCGTCGCCCCGACGGACGCTGGCGCATGAGTTGAACTCGCAGGCCCACGCGTCGCCGCTGTCGCCCGCGCTCTTTGAGATTGCTGCGCCTCGGACTGTGAATGCGCAGAGTGTGAAGATGAACGGTACTGTGACGAGGGAAGACGAAGTGGAGGAGCGGACGACGCGGCGGCGGCGGTCACGTACTGATACGATGGATTCTGAGGAGGAAACACAGCTGGATGTGGAGGAACCGAAGGCGCAGACAGTCCTACCTCCGCGGCGGCGGCGGCGGTCAGCTAACGATGCAGTGGATGTCGTCGTCTGTGAAACACAACTGGAAGAAGGCGAGCCGGAAGAGCAGCACACGCCGACACGGCGGCGGCGGCCAGCGACAGATTCATTGCACGATCAGACTCAACAGGAAGACGCAGGTTCTCAGCATACACCGATATTGGATCTACGCTCACGGCGGCAGTCGGATTCAGATGAAGACATGGGCGCATCAGATTCCGAGTCGGAAACGGGAGCCGCAGAACCGAAGCTTCAGACACCAACACCACGCAAAAGGCGGCGATCGTCTACGAATGGAGTCTCTATAGGTACAGGTACGACGGCAGGAAACACTACAAATGAGGCAGCAGCACACCAGTCGAATAACGGATTAGCGGAAGCTTCATCGCTGGCTGTTGATAGCCAGATCCACCCTCCTGACGTCGAGGTCTTTCAAGTTGGGGATCTCGTGGACGTAATCGAGCGTCAATGGGTCGGTATCAATAAGCGAGGAGGGGCGGCGCGTATCACGAAGGTTCACGGGGACGGGTTCTACGCTGTCAAATTTCTGATTGGGACGGGCTCGGACAACCGCGTGCCAGGCACGTTCATCCGAAGGCCGGCGGAGGACCTTGTTTCAGACTCGACACCAAGTCGTGCGGTAAGAAAACGCCAGCGTCGTCCTCCGTCTGACAGTATGGTTTCACCTGATCTATTGGCTGCCAAAGCAAGACCCTCGCCTCGTTCTTCAGAGAAGTCGAAAGCCAAGAAAAGCAAGCCCAAGACACAGGGAAGAAACTCGGGTATGGTGTTCCTCTGCTCGGGATTCAAGGAGTCTCGAATGCAGCAGATCGACGAGTGGGCCGATTTGCTTGGCGCTGAAGTTGTGCAGTACTGGTCTAACCGCGTGACGCACCTGATTGTGAAATGCGTCAATGGCGACGACATGGAGGAGGAGGCTCCTTCGATGGACGATTCTGACTCTGCGTCCTCGCCTCAAGGTCCCAAGAGTGGTAAACGCAAACTGTTTATCGGGCCGAAGTCTGGACGCTGGGTGAAGATCCGGTCGCTAAAGTACCTCAAGGCTCTGGTTGGTGGTCGCTGGATTGTGAGCGACGAGTGGCTTCAAGGTAAGAGTATCAGAAATTTATTGGGTTTCCGATGTATTGTGCGATGCTAATCTGTATTTTTCATTGAATCGTTACAGCTTGTGCAGACCATGGCGGCTATGTGAGTGAAGTAAATTATGAAGCCGACGGTCATTGGAAAGGGAGAAGGATTCATGACGCCGTCAAGCGATCACGACTAACGCGAGAGAAGCTCCTGCAGCTTTCTGCGCCAGACGTATGGCTTATTTACACTTATTGTTACGTTGTGGCTGGCATAGAGCTAATCTATCTGTATTTCCTGGCATTTTTCCAGGTTGACCGCGCGAATGTCGGCACGATGCTGTTTGCAGATTTCTGCTTTCACGTCATCGGTGAATTTCTCCCACCCATGCCGCCGATCACCGAGTTGAACACGTTGATCTGTATGGGCGGTGGGGAGCTGATTGCGTTTATGGACGAGATTCCCGAGGAGATGCACAAGCGCGAGAACCGTACTCGGAAGCTCATTATCGTGTCCGATAAGATTAATCCGATCGCGCTGCGCCAACTAACAAGGCAACTGAAAGCGCAGCCGCAAGTCAACGCGGTATCCTCGGCGATCATTGTGAATTACCTGTGGGTGATCAACAGTATCAGCGAAGCGAAGCTGCGCGAGCTTCCCTGATTCCGCTCGCCAACTTGTGTCTCGGGAAACCGGTGGCGTTATTTAATGGACGAAGTGAAAGGCAGGCGATTAGAGCTGGGTGTGTGAACTGCATCAGCAGGTTCATTTCTAGTCTGTTTAGGCTTTACGAAAGCACTGGGGGACAACATGAAACAATGTGAGTATCGACATACACAGACGGTGGCCTACCCAGTTTATCAATGCACTTACCACAATCAGAGGTTTCTCCTTCAGCACAACTCCATGTACTTGTAGTAACGCGCCGGAAGCGAGCTCAACCGTGGGGTACTTCACAAAGGCTTGGCATTTCATCCTTCCCTCAGTGAAGTGGCGAATATCCAAAACTCTGCCGCACAAACAACAAAGTTAGCAGTGGTATGGTCATTCGGGCCAAGGTGTTGATTGCCTCGTACTCTGGCCCTGATTCGGGGGGAAGGACTGCACTGAAAACGGCCAGGAGATCCGCAAGCTCCACTGCCTTGGCCAGATTCTTGACGTAGAGTGTGTCGGAAGGCTGACCGCGTTGATACTTTTTCATGACCTTCTCCCCAGCGAGTTGTGCGTCAGGTAGGCGTTTACTTGCAAGCTGCTCCAAAGTCCAAGGCTGCACCGTGGGCATCACATGGAGTGAATCTGGTACTGCGCTTTTGAAACTCTGAAGCGCCAACATATCAGTAGAGGGTAAGAAGGAGACACATAGCGGCGAAGTTATCCTCGTCGCTGTCGTACCACAATCAACGTCCGTCCGTCTAGCTGTAGGCCATGCAACTCGTCCACTGCTGTGGTTGCTACCGCTTTGTTTGGGTACGTAATTGAAGCAGAACCCGTAGCTACCGACAACGTGATTTTCATGGAGCTAACTCGACCAATTGCAACATTCGCACACCGTTAGAGCTCCGACATTTTCACAGGTATAATATAACTGTATCACCCACTCCAGAGCTGAATCCGATGGCAAGACGTAGCCGAAAACAAAGCGCAGGTCTTTTTCATCCACCCCACGCGCGATATTCTTCACCAAAACAGTGTTCGATGGCGATCCACGCGAATAGGACGCCAATAGCGGCTCCTTGAGTAAATCTGTACGCAGAAACGAAATGGTTCGAGTTACAAGCGATATAGCTATCAGCTCATTCACGTACTTACAAGTATAGCATACCTTCACGTGGAACTCGCTGTCGTTCCAACTCGCTCTTTGATATCACACCTGGGCGTGCCAGTTGATGCACTTCGTGGCTGATTCCACTTTCAGCTCCGAGTTGGAAGGCTCCGTGAAGAGCGGCGTTATTCTTGATAGCGGACAACTTGTTCTGTCGTACCAAGGGCTTTCCAATAAGCTCGGGTCGTGAGTCGCTATCATTCGTTGCGGGTGAGCTGTGTCGGAAAGTGTTTGCATCCTTCACGTTAGTGCGCCCACCCAATTCAAACACTTGTGCTGGGTAGACTTCAGGAACTGGGGTGTCCTTCTGATTGTCGGTCTCCCCAGTATCTTGGTCCTCTTCTTCATCTTCCTCCTCGTCTTCTTCCACGATCTGTTCATCCAGACATTCACCCGTCCTCGGTCGTTTGCGATTCCGTCTCCGAGCACTCGCCATGTCGGACTCCTGTTCATTTAATTTGGGCTTAATTGAAAATCTCCCTGGAATCGCGTCGTCATCGAACGGCGGCGGCAAATTCATTTTGTTCATGAGATGAAGCACCTGAGTATAAAATCGAGGTAGCGCGATAAGCGCTGCAACAAAGAAAGAAAGGAGATACAAAACACCATTTCAGTTGCAGGCACCTCACAACTCCAAATGCATTATCGCAGCAGTCCCAACCATTCGCAATGTTGCGCACGATACTCTCGGTGGCCTTCGGATACTTGTACTCGAGCAATGGTGACGGCGCGTAGTGCAATCTGCCGCCCATACACAACCCGCAGTTAGAACTTGCTCCGCCACACTATTGCTGTCAATTACAATTATTAGTATACTTGCCCAAGATGCGGAGCCAACGGTGCAGGAGCATAGAGAGGGTTCTGCACAGGAGCTGGCGTCGGTGGGAGCGGCGGAGGCAAACCTTTAGGAAGCGGCGGTTGCCCCTTCAACGGCAGCGTGTGGCCAGCATCCACAGCCTCCGGTTTCGCCTCAGTCGACGTGGTTGCAGCTTCATCGCCAACCACTTCCACCTGAAGGTGGTGGCCAGCCAGCTCCAGCGAATTCAGACGCCTCTGAGCATTCTGCTGCGCTTCACGAGTTGCAAAAGTTGCAACAGCTTTCTGCAGCTTCTTGGGTGCCGCTGCGCCCGGTTCCTTGCCACTGGACGCTGCATTCTGGCCAAAACACACGACACACAACGGAATTTGAGCATTGATACACTCGGACTTTTGGCAGTGCAGAGCTGGACGCTACGTACTCGGCGCTGTAGCACACGGACGCGAGTGGCGCCGTAGTGGGTGAGCAAGGACGTGACGGCCTCCGTGGACAATACAGCCGGCAGGTTCCGTACGCGCAGGCTAAAGCGCTCGTCGAGCGGGGCGCTCATTGCCATGACACAAATGACCAAGTGAGCAAATGAGACAATCAAATGAGAACGTTTTATCTGACTCAAAGTATGATATGGTGTAGTGGATAAAAAGCTTGTTCACAAAAACAGCATGCTAAATTGTCTCTGTGGCTCTCTTCATCGTCCTTGCGTAGCTCTGGCAATGGTTTCTTGCTGTGACTCTAAGCAACCGACGGCTGCGTAATTGCGGAGACGCTTTTTACCCTTGCAGCATCTCTTGGATGGCACGCAGCACCTCGTTTTTCTGTTCGACTGTCAGCTGGGCCACGAGGTTCAGAATCAGCGCCACGGACGGCGTCTGCGAACTGCACAGGATGGCGGCAAGACACGTAGGCAGGCAACAATAGTTAGAGGGGTGATTGTATAGCCTTTTAGCCCAAGCGAGTTGGTATCACGTACCGAATAAAGGTGTTGAAGTAGACCGTGGTGAAGCAGTTGGTGATCAGTTGGCAGTCCATGCGGTCCATGACGCCACCGTGGCCCGGGATAACCGAGTCGAAGTCCTTGAGGTTGTACGTGCGCTTGATAGCCGACGCGTAGAACCCTCCAAACGGCGACACAACCGAAGCGAAGATTGCGAACCAGACGGAGTGCAGCTAAACGTTCATCAGCAACACAAAAGGAGGGGGTCAACGGTTGCTGTCTTCTAAGCCCGACAATACTGCAAGAACGCGCACCTGAATCGGGAGAAGCTGAATCTGTCCCCGGCCGATTAGGCGCGCCAGGAAGGCCGGAACATCGTAGAAGTGCGGGAGGAACACGTCGTTGGGAGTGCACGTCAGCGGGTCAGGGATCAGCTTGAACTGCAAATGCATAAGCGAGTGTTAGCCATGACAGGTTAAGTTCCTTTAACTGCCAATGCAGTCTTACCTCGAAGCTCTCCACCGGACAGATGATCCAAGAAAACTGCAGTATACACAGCAACGATCACCAAACGCATAAGTAACGAGTCCATGCAAACAAACCTGCCACATAACGCAACATTCTGTTCACTGCATACCTGAGCGATGAAAGCGCTGGAGAAGAAGGCGTAGATGATGGTGCAAATGAAAGCACCGATGAATCCCTCCCACGTCTTGTTCGGGGACAACCGCAGGAACGGCGTCTTGATGAACTTGCGGCCAAAGAGCTTGCCGCAGAAGAAGGCAAAGCAGTCGTTGCAGATGACCAGCGACACCGGGAAGAAGAACCAGAACAGGCCTAGACACGAATCATCCCATTAGTCTCTTCAACCAAGCAACGATTAGTCCAGCTATTGAAGAGTTGCATCGCATCGTACCGTTGAAGATGTTCGTGAGGACGTATTTCATCTGGAAGACGATCAGACCCAGCGTCACAATGGTCCACGTGTATTGACCTGTACAAGCGCCACCACAGCCACGGTACACCAGGTAAGTTTCCATACGTTCCCTCTTGCAAGATACCGACAAATGCGCAGCAACGTACCCATCTGGTACTTGTAGTACCCTATCGTAGCAAGAAGCCATGGCAACATACATTGCAATGCCACACATCGTGTTAGTTGAAGGCATCATCAGTTAGTGTCGGTCGCCCAGTTGCAGTTGACATCAGACTTTCGAGCTGTCGAGACAACCGCACGACCCAGCAGTCCAGTAGACTGCACGCACGCACCTTTCTTGAGGCTGAGCACGGACATGACGAAGAGCATGGCGTACATGGTGAACGAGACCCACGTGTGGTAGCGCAGGTAGTGCACGATGGCGGGCGGCACGAAGCGGATCTTCCTGCTCTCGATGAACGCGCCGAACGAGTCGCCGTAGTTGTAGAACAGCGCCACCACGAACCACATCCACTACAGTACAGTACAGTACAGTACAGTACACACCGCCAGATCAGTCCTCCCTCCTCCCCCTCTTACAGCCAGCAAACACTAGCAGCAGCAGCAACAGTTGCCCACCTGCACGGAGCGGAACCACGGGATGTTCTTCTCGGCCGCCGCCCGGTAGCGCACGTTCACGAGCTCGCGGAAGAGCAGCGTCTGCAGCACGACCACGAGCCCCCAGGCGTACATGTGGCCGCCGTACAGGATGGCGATGAAGCCGCCGATCATGGCGAAGCCCGCCACCACGCGCGTCATGAACTTGGTGAGCCCGCCGCCGGCCTTGGGCGCCGCGGGCTCGGGCGCCGCCGTCTGCGCGTTCTTGGGGCTGCCGCTGCCGTCGGGGCTCGAGCGGCGCTTGCGCATGGCCATCGTGCGTGCGTGTGTGTGAGCGGGTGAGCGGGTGAGCGAGTGTCGCGGCGCTGGAGGCTCCTTGCGGTGTGACGAGTGTTAGCGTTTCTGCCCAGGTTGCCCTTGCTTGTCTGCAAAAGGGGACCTGGTCGCTATTGGCTGTTAATGGACCGGATTTCCGCTTCGTTACGTCAGCACGCGGTCCGATTTGCATCACGCTTTAGTCCGATTTGAGACTTGAAGAGGCGCAAGCTTTTCATCTCAGATTCGGGCGACATGGCTCGGCGTCGAATCTCCGCGGCGATGCTGTTGGCGCTCCTGCTGCTCTGCGCGGGCGTCGAGGCCTCCATTGACCTGCTGAAGAGGGACGCGACCCCGTCCGACATCGTGGCGGCCACGCGCGGCCTCATCCACCGCCGGCTGGGCGCGCGCTTCAACGATCAGGTCTGGCCAGAAGATCCCATGGACGAGTATTTATTGTACAGTTGATTAACGCTCTAATTGCGTTTAGATCACGCTGCGGGTGCTGCCGTCAGACGCTGACGGTCTGGACGTGTTCGAGCTCGGGAGCGCCGATGACAAGCTCGAGGTCGCCGCCAACTCGGCTACAGCCATGGCGTACGGCCTACAATGGTACCTCAAGACGGCGCTGCACACGCAGACGGACTGGGACGACCACAAGCTGCAGCTTCCCTACGTGCTGCCGAAGGTTGATAAGCGCGTGCGCCACAAACGCAGCGCCAAGTTCTCGTACTACCAGAACGTGTGCACGGTCAGCTACTCGTCGTGGGCGTGGGGGTGGCAGAAGTGGGAGAAGCACATCGACTGGATGGCTCTCAACGGTTCGTGGCTGCTGGCATGTGTCCCCCAAAATGTTGTGGTAATAGACTGTCTACTTACAAGGCAACGAGTTTGCTGCTGTGCAGGGATCAATATGCCGCTGGCGTTCACCGGACAGGAGAAGGTTTGGCAGAACACCTTCAAGAAGCACTACAACGTGAGCTCTGCTGGCCTGAACAAGTTCTTCGCCGGCGCAGCCTTCTTGGCGTGGGGACGCATGGGCAATCTTCGCGGTAGCTGGGTGGAAGGGCCGCTTCCACAAGCCTTCATCGACGGGCAGTACGAGCTACAGCTGAAAATTCTCGAGCGCATGCGGGGATTTGGTATGGTTCCTGCATTGCCGGCGTTCGCAGGCCACGTACCCGAAGAGCTCAAGACTTTATACCCGAACGCAAAATTCACACGCTCGCCTAACTGGGGAGGCTTCTCGGACGAGTTTTGCTGCGTGTACATGCTGGATCCACAGGACCCACTCTACTATGAAATCGGTAAGACGTTTCTGGAGGAGCAGCGTGCGCTTTATGACTACACGTCGTCGCTGTATCAGTGCGATACATACAACGAAATGGACCCCGACTTCACCGACCCGGCCAAGCTTCAGGCAGCCTCGCGTGCCGTTATCGACAGCATGACAGCAGCAGACCCGAACGCGGTATGGCTTATTCAAGGCTGGCTTTTTGTGAACAGCCCCAACTATTGGACGAAGGAGCGCGTGCAAACCTATCTGGACGGCGTCCCGAACGATAAAATGATCATCCTCGACCTCTACAGCGAGGTTCGGCCTGTGTGGAACAAAATGGACAACTATTTTGGCAAGAGCTGGATCTATTGCGTGCTTCACAACTTTGGCGGGAACACCGGAATGCGCGGGGACTTGCCGACGCTCGGCACGGCACCTGTACTAGCGAATCGCGCCAGCAGTGGGACTATGATCGGCATGGGGCTGACAATGGAAGGTATTTTCCAGAACTACGTGGTCTACGACCTCACGCTGCAGATGGCCTGGGTGGATGCCCCGCTCGATATGGACGAGTGGGTTCCGAGCTTTGCTGCGCAGCGTTATCACTCGCAAGACGCGCACACGGAACGAGCGTGGGGCTTTCTGTTGCAATCGGTGTACAACCGCACGCTGGGATACGGAGGTGTCACCAAGAGCTTGGTCTGTTTGATTCCGCACTGGAAGCTCGTTCGGGATGGCTTCATGCCAACACTGATCACATACGACCCCATGGATATCACGCGTGCTTGGAAGGAACTTCTGCTTGCCGGCTCGGAGTTACACGCGGTGGACACGTACCGTCATGACCTAGTCGACGTCACGCGACAGTTTCTGAGTGATCATTTCATGGCCCAGTATCTCCACTTGGAGGACATGTACGCAGGGAAGGAGACTCCAGCGGATCAGTTGTGTGCTTGGACGGATCGCATGCTAGTGACGATCGAGTGGTTAGACGAGATCCTCGCGACGAATGATGACTTCCTGCTCGGCAACTGGGTCGCTGATGCACGCGCTCTAGCCGACGAAGTTGGGGCTGCTGAAGTGACCAGCCTCCAAGACTACTACGAGTACGAGGCTCGCAACCAGGTGACGCGATGGGGGGACAACAACTCGGAGTCCATCCACGACTACGCGGGCAAGGAGTGGGCCGGCCTCGTAAGCGGCTACTACCTGCCTCGCTGGCGCATGTGGTTGACCGAAGTCTGCCAGTCGTATACGCAAAAGCGCGACGTCAACGAAGCCGCGCTGAAGAAGGCGCGCGTCGATTTCGAGCTAAATTGGCAGCTCAGCCACGAGCGTTACCCGACCACCACAACGGGCGACACGCTCGCCGTCTCCAAGCGCATTTACGAGGAGTTCGCTGGGGTGAGCAGCTTCCAGGCTCCATGGTCCTGGAGGATGACGGGATACCTCGCGGGCAATCAGGTTGTAGCGTAGCTGTCCGCAAGGCAACGTTGAAGTTGTTGACACGCTGTAACTAAATGATAGCTTGAAATGGAGTGGCGCACACCATATTGCGATTGGAAACGCGCAGTATTGAAAGCCAAGCCAGCAGATCGATCATGGAGCAGCCCGTGGACAAGGAGACGGCCAAGGCCAAGTTCCGCTCCTCGCGTCTGTCCTGGAGCAACCAGGCCGAGCATGTGCGTGCTGCAGTGGCTGAGCAACGTGCCTGTATTCTACCGTAAGCTAACTGGTGCCGGTTGGGTGTTGCATGCACAGAAACTGAAGCAAGAGCTGAGCGACATCGCCATCGCCAAGTGCCACAGCGTGGCGGAGAAGTTCGCCGAGTGCGCCAAGGCCAACGGCATGATGGTGGTCTTCAAGTGCCGCGACCACAACAAGGCCCTCAACGCCTGCCTGCACCAGTACACCAACGACAAGCAGTTCGAGATCTACCGCCAGAAGCGCGAGCAGGAGCTGCTCGCTGAGGACAAGTAAGTTACAGTAGACCACAGCCAAGCTACAGTCAGTACCTACCTCCAGCAGATGAACACAACTAGAGAGCTAAGGAGTAAGCGTCAGGCTTGTCATTAGCAAGAAGAGAAGCTATCCCTTTACGGTAGTTCCTGTTGTGCAACTTACTTACTGCTTGCGCTGACGCAGGCTGCTAGCAGATGCGGCATCCACCGGGAAGGTGGCGAGCACCTCCTTGGCCGTAGCCATGGCCTCCGCCGCGACGATCTTGCAGGCAGCCTCGAGCTCCTTCGGCGAGTGGATCGCGGTGACCGACACACGCAGGCTGGGCAGCGGCTCCATGGTCTGGTGCGTCTTGTAGCGCGGCGAGCAGATGGCCACGCCCTTGGCGAGGCACTTCTGCATGACCGTGTCGCACACCTTGCGCTGCAAAGCGCGCTGGTTCTCCTCGCTGCCGACGCGGGCCACGACCTCAGGCAGCAGACGCACGTGCAGGATGGGGGACACAACGGCCTTGGAGATGCTGTACACGCCCTGGACACCCGCGGACAGAACGTCGTGCGCCAGCTTGGTGTTGTCGCGGAGCTTGGTGAAGAGCTCCGGCTCGTTCCTCATAATACGGATGGCCTCCGAGCAGCAAGCCGACGTGAAGGGCGGGGCCGAGGCGGAGAACACGTAGCCGGCGCTGTTGATACGCTGGTAGTCCACGACCTCCTGCGAGCCCGTGCTGAAGCCGCCCACACTGGCAGTAGATCCAGCCAGAGAGCTGCAGATGATGGCCACCTCCGAGACGTCCATACCAAAGTGCTCCGTAAGGCCGCGGCCAGACTTGCCCAGCACACCGAACGAGAAGCTCTCGTCCAGGAAGAGGCGGAAGAAGTACTTGTTGCAGAGCTCCACCACCTTGGGCAGCTCAATCATGTCGCCGTGGTTGCGGAACAGAGCCTCCGTCACCACGTAACGGCGCTGGCAGTCCGATCCGCGGTTCTTGCGCTTGTCCTCGTCACGCACACGCTTCAGCACGCGCTCCAGGTCCTCCATGTCGTTGTGCTTGTAGTAGAGCACGGTGCAGCGCGCCAGGTTGGCGCCCACCAGGATCGAGTCGTTGCAGCCCTCGTCCATGACGATAAGGTCGCCGCGCTTGGCGAACGCCGGCAGCACGGAGGACGACGTGGCCTCTGTGTCCGAGAAGGTAATCGAGTCGGTCGTGCCCATCATCTGCGCGATGTCCTTCTCGAGGATCTCGTGCGTGTCGATGGTGCCGTAGAAGCCGCGAGGGCCGCAGGAGCCGCAGCCGTACTTGGTCAGCGTCTTGATCGCGACCTCCTTAAGCTCGGGGCGCGAGCCGAGGCCGAGGAAGTCGAAGGTCGCCAGGTTGAGCAGCGGCTTGGCGTAGCCTTGCAGCTTGAGGTGCGTGTCGGGCGTGGCCTCCACGATGCCGATGGGCTTGGACTTGTTGACGTCCACCACGGCGTTGGGCGGGATGATGGGCTCGGGCGTCCACTCGTCGCAGAGCTCGTCGATCTCGCGCTCCGAGAGCTTGGCGGCCGTGCCCTTGGGCTTGTCGCGCTTGACAAACGTGATGTAGATAACGAAGACGATGAGGAACGTCTCGATGATCACGTGCTCGGGGCTGCGCTCGTAGATGGAGCGGATGTACTCGTAGTACGAGCTGGGCGCGTTGGCGAAGGCCGCCTTGATCTTGATGGTGTCCAGACTCAGCAGCGCCTGGTGGTAGCAACAGCAACGCACAGGCAAGTAGTAAGCATCAACAGCCACGGGATCCGATAACTGCAGCACAGGGAGACGCCGCGCCACGCACCTCCGCGAAGGGCTGGCCGATGGTGGCCCACCACTCGCTCATGCTGGCAGACTAGTAGCGGAGAAGGGGGAGGGCGAGGAAGACGCACGAGCTTCGCGCTCGCTCGGTCGGTCACTTGCTCGGGCGAGAGGAACGCAGAGAACTGATGCCGCGGAGGCGCTATGCGCTTGGGTCACGCGACATTTTGCGCGGTCAACTGTATGATTGGCCAAAAAGGAGCCGTATTATGGACGAATCCCCGCCTGACCCATCACGAGCAGGCCATTCCCTCGGGTCGGGTCTGCAAGCCGGCCCGCCTCACCTTTCGACCCGCGTCGCCTTTGCCGTCGTCACCTTGACTTCGCTGACGACTCTGCTGCTGCTACTGCCGCCGCTGCACCGCCCGTCACAACAACACAGACAGAGCCATGGAGCTGCGGAACCGAGCGACGGGCGCCTCGAAGCAGGGCCAGCGCGGCGTGGACGTGGCGCTGGGCCCCACCATCTACAGCGGCGAACGCTACTCCAAGATGAGCGAGCGGCTCAAGCGTCTGCACAAGAAGCCGTCCGAGGTCGCCGAGGCCAGCGCCCAGCGGGTGCGTACTCTCACAGCTCCAGTGCATTTTATCCTTTGTCTCCATTGCTGACTGTGGTGTGAGTGGGCATTGGCTTGTGCTGCGACAGATAATGCGGTCGCAGGTGATTGCGTTCGTGGTGGCGCTCGTCTTCGTGCTGCTGTTCGTGTTCTCGATGATGTACCAAGCGCACGTCCGCCGCTCCAACCGCAAGCCATTCGACGCGTAAATTTCTCCGGACAGACGGCGCGGCGGATATTCCGCCGGCATGTAGTTAGTTTGTTAGCGGCGGAAGAAGCCGTTGGGCTCTCGGACCGAAAAATGACCCACACCTTCAATAGACGACAAGTGCCTTCTGTTTCCACTCGACCCGCTGGACCAGCGGCTGGTCGCTGGAGTTGAGGCGCTGAGCGGTGCTGCGAAAGACTCATGGTGCAGAAGCTCTCGCCTTGACAAGGCAGCTCTGCTTGCACAATGTTCCCCCCTGTCCACGCAGCGGGGCACGGACGGATAGTTGAAGATGTTGGGGATCACGAAACAACTCGAAAGGCAATTCGTTAGCATAAATATTAGAGGGCATGGCGGCGGCCCCACCGAGGTCGGATCTATCTCTTCTTCTCCGTGCAGCTGCCTCGCCTGCCCAACAGCGACGCTGCTCTCATCGTCTACAGGAAGGATTCCCGATGTCCAACGTAGACGCTCAGCTCAGCTCAGCTCAACTCAAAACACTCAACAGACGGGCTTGGAGGCGGACACTGCGGGCGACTTCTTGCGCCCGATGCCCGAGATTTTCGTCAGCCGCGTGTACAGCTTCCGCACGAGGGTCTTGCGGAAGTCGCGCAGCTCCTTGTCCACGACGGCGAGCTGGCGGTCCTCGATGACCACGACCGAGGACGTGATGGCGAACTCGTTGGCGTCCGCGCACGAGCAGCCGCAGCTCAGCACGCTGGACACGCGCTCGGCCTCCGACCCGTAGCTGCCGTCGCTGGACAGGTGGTCGTCGTCGGGCTGCGTGTCGCGCGACGAGAGCTTCGAGTCGCGGAAGCCAGCGTCCGAGACCGCGACGTCCTTGGGCTTGAGGATGCCGCTGCTGCGGCGCAGGTTCTGCTGGCTGGCTCGCTGCGCGAGGCTGCTCCTGAGGTGGTGGTGGCGGTGCTCCGGGTCGCTGCAGGCTTCGTCCGCGCAGCCGAGGAAGTCCGTCTCGGTGCCCGCGGTGCTGCGGCGGCGGCGCATTGACAGTCGGCCGTGCGTGGCGCAGCGCGGCAGCTCGGACGTGGCCGAGGACACGGAGCGCTGCGAGGACTGCGCCGAGAGCGGCACCGCGAACGCGAGCTCGTCGATGGAGGGGCTAGGCGCCGCGGGGCGCAGCAGGAGCGGCATTCTGGCGTCGTGTAGATGGCTAGCTATCAATCGATCGATCGATGAAGGTGCCTGGGCTGGCGGCGGTGGAAATCGCGAAGTGATCGCTGCAAGGCGATGGGGGGACCGACGACGGCTCTCTATTCAGGCGTGGAATAGGGCAAGGGATGTTGGACAGAAACCGTGCTGGACTCTGAAGACTTCAATTGGCAATAGACGTGCAATTGGGGTGCACGCCGCCGCTGCTGTAAGCGAAGCCGGCCGTGCGAAAGCAATGCTAGCAAGCAGTGGTGATATGTCCACCGTGTACTGTGCTGCTTCAGTGGCGGTGGCGGCGCAGAAATTCCAGTCTGCGAAGCAGTTTCGGCTGCTGAGCCCAGCTGGAGCGACCGCATTTTAGAATCATCTGCCTCGATGAATGCGGTTCGCGCGAGCAGGCGATGGCTGGCGCCCGCGCTTTGCCCGGCCGGGTGGAGCAGCGTCGGTGCGCAGCTCGGGCTCCGCTCCAGCTTCGAGCTCAAGCGGGGTTGCCGTTTCTCGGCCGCCTTGATTCATGGGGGGGGAGCACCGCTGACTAACGTTGCCGCTGCTTCCACAATTAGATCCCGGATACTGTAAGTGCTGGTATCCCATCACTGCACCGCGCGACCAACTAAACGCCAAGTAACGGCCGAGCAAGTGAGGTGAATGGATATTTGCTCTGCGATCGCACGCATGAGCGCCGCGGAGCGCGGACTCTGTGGCTCGTGGTGATCGCCGCAAGGAGTCAACGGAGCTTCCCGGCCTTGCACCGTGCATCAAAGGCGACCTGGACAAAGTCGCACTTAATCGAGCCAAGTACACTGGCCGCCTTAATACTGGCCCTTATCGTGCCTGATTGGTCAGACCACTTCAACGCACGCGAGCGATTCAAGTTTGAATCGTCAGCAGCGATCTTTGGCTGAAGCGGAATTTTCCGCATCGAGGTGAAGACCAAGAGCAGAAAAATGCGCCTGCTTGGGATCATATCGACAGCGCTGCTGTTGGCGGCCTCCGCGGCCGACGCGGCCTGCGACCCGAGCAAGTGGACGCCGCCCAGCGACGGCGTGTACAACACCACCAGCCGCGTCGACCCCGGCAAGCTCAACGTGCATCTCATCGCGCACTCCCACGACGACCCGTAAGCGCTGCTCCGTTATCATTGCTGCAACACTGATGCTAATACCTACGATGCTGTTGCTGTATTGTTATTATTGCTGCTGCTGTGATAATGGCTGCTGCCGCCAGGGGCTGGCTGGTGGGCGTGGACCAGTACTACATGGAGAAGGTGCAGTACATCCTGGACACGGCCGTGGAGGAGCTGGTGCGCAACCCGGACCGGCAGTTCATGTTCGTGGAGCAGTCGTTCTTCCAGCGCTGGTGGCACCAGCAGGGCTCCGAGGTGCGCGGCGTCGTCAAGCAGCTCGTGAAGGAGGGCCGCCTGGACCTCACGGTCAACGGCGGCTGGTGCATGCACGACGAGGCCACGCCGCACTACATCGCCATGGTGGACCAGACGGCGTACGGCCACCAGCTGCTCATGGACGAGTTCGGCGTGAGCCCGCGCATCGGCTGGCAGATCGACCCGTTCGGCCACTCGGCCACGCAGGGCTCGCTGCTGTCGCAGGGCGTGGGCTTCGACGCGCTCTACTTCGCGCGCATCGACTACCAGGACTACGGCAACCGCAAGAAGAACAAGGACCTCGAGTTCATCTGGCGCCCCAGCAAGTCGCGCGGCAAGGCCTCGCAAGTCTTCACGGGCGAGATCATCGACCACTACTGTCCGCCCGGGAAGTTCGACTACGGCAACAACGGCAACCAGATCCAGGACGACGCCGACCTGCACGACTACGACGTGTGTGACGAGGTGGAGCAGTTCGTGAGCAATGCCAAGATGCGCGGCGCAGCTTCAAAGGGCAACCACGTCTTCATCCCCATGGGCTGCGACTTCCAGTTCGACAATTCTCGCCGCTGGTTCAAGAACATGGACAAGCTGATCCACTACGTCAACCAGGACGCGCGTGTGAATGTGCTGTACTCCAACTTGTCGTACTACACTGACGTCAAGCGGGCAGAGGGGCTCACTTGGAGCGTGAAAACCGACGACTTCTTTCCCTACGCTTCAGCGCGGGACGACTACTGGTCGGGATTCTTTACTAGCCGACCGACGTTGAAGCGCTTCGCCCGTGTAGCTAACACGCTGCTCCAGCAGATGCGGCAGATTGATGCTCTGTACCAGAGCCATCACTCCAGTAAACTTGTCGCACTACAGCGCGCTGTCGGGCTAGTGCAGCACCACGACGGCCTCTCCGGAACTGAGAAGCAGAGCGTGGCCGACGACTACGCTCTCCGCCTGAATGACGGCATCATCCAGGCCGAGAAGGAGCTGAACGAGGTGCTCTTCGTCATCGGAGAGAAGGAGCCGTATCACCTCTGCCTGCTCGCCAATACCAGCGTGTGTGACGTGTCCACACACAACGCCGAGTTCGAGGTGCTGGTGCACAATGCGCTGGCCCGCACGACTGTGCAGACGGTGTCAATCCCGATCACACACAAGTCGGCTGCGGCGACGGTGCTGTCGGGAGACGCAAGTATCCGCGCGCAAGATGTGTTTGTGGCGTTGCCGGTGCACCCTGTGACGCAGGTTGCTCCGTACTCGTTCGTGTTCAGCGTGGAGCTGAAGCCGTTGAGCACATCTCGACTGCTGGTGAAGCAAAGTGATGCCAGCGATATTAGTATCGGCAACACTATCGTGCACGAGCAGAATGTGAGTGAGGACGTGGATGACGAGGTGGTTGTGCTGGAGAACCACCACCTCCGAGCTGAGATCAGCAAGAAAACAGGCTCCATTACCAAGCTTGCAAACAAGAAGAAGAACATCCAGATCCCGCTGTCGCTGGATGTGGCGTACTACCAAGCGTTCCAAGGTGACGGACCCAAGTCTGGTGCGTACATTTTCCGTCCTGACTCGAACAAGACATACCCGGTCACTGATGGTGCTTCCAACGGCGCCGCGTCGGCCCCTTTGCCTGATGTTACAATGGTGGAGCTGCAAACCACCAGCCGCAGTAATGCTATGAGTGTGCCCCGCGTGGCGTTCAAGATCGGCAGCTGGGTCACACTTGAGTATCGGGTCAATGACGACGACAAGTTCCTCGAGATCGAGTGGACCGTCGGTTCAGTCCCAATTGACGACAAGAAGGGCAAGGAGGTCATCATGCGCTTTGACGCTGGCGAGAGTATCGCGTCCGACGGCACGCTGTACACGGACTCGAACGGACTGGAGTTTGTGAAGCGCGTGCGCAACCACCGTGACACGTGGAATCTGACGTTGCACGACGACCAGGAGGGTGTGTCGGCCAACTATTTCCCCATTACGACTGGCGCCTACATTAAGGACTCGAAGCGCCAGCTGAATCTAGTGACAGACCGTGCGCAGGGAGCGGCGAGTCTGGTGGATGGCCAAGTGGAGGTAATGGTGCACCGACGTCTACTCGCGGATGATGGCAAGGGTGTTGGAGAGCACTTGAACGAGACGGAGTCCGTGCTCGACTCCAACGCGAAGAAGCACGTAACCAAGGGTCTGGTGGTGCGCGGCAACTTCTTCATTAACGTCGACTCGGCCGATGATGGCATGCGCAGCCTGCGATCAAAGATGGAGTCGCAGTTCTTCCGTCCGCTCACGGCCTACCGCAAGCCGGTAACCAGCGACGTGAAGGCGAAGGTGCCGTGGCTGACCGTCGGCGAGTTCCCTCCGAGCGTGGGTCTGACGACGGTACAGGAGCTGTCGAAGCAGTGTCTGATGGTGCGTCTGTCGCACCTCTACGCCGTGGAGGAGCACGCGACGCTGTCACAACCAGCGACGGTGGACTACTCGACGTTATTCACTGTGAAGAACTCGGTGGTGTCGGAGGTGACGGAGCTGGTGCTGACTGGCACGAAGGAGCTGGGCGCAGAGGACAACCGCGTTGGTCTGGAGTGGAAGACGACGGACGATGCGTACGGCTGGTCCCCGCAGTCGCTCCCTGTGAAGGGCACGACGGTGACGCTGCAGGCGATGGAGGTGCGCGCGTTCCGCGTGTGCTTCTCGAAGGGCGATGTTACTGCTGTGGAGGCGGAGGAGTCTGGTGAAAAGAACAAGGCTGAGGATGTGGAGGACATCGATAACTGGGAGCAGGAGGAGGGCTATTCGTTCGGTGCTGCGCTGCAGGACCTGGCGCAGATGATCGCGGTTGAGTGATAAGTGTGTCCAGGTGATCTCGTCGATTTAGCGGCACTAAGCACAAGGAGGTCTGTTGATCTATTGTATCTGTTGATCTATGTATCCGAAGTACACA